ATTAAAAAGAAATGAGAATTTTTAAACGATAATTTATTGAAAAAATATCACTAATATTAAAATAGAATTATGTAGATATGTCTTTTTGCCACAATGGCTTGAAAAAGAAAGTTATAAATTCTAAGAAAATAATAAAAAGGAAACTTCAAAAATAAATTTAGATTATTTTAAAACAGAAAATAAAAAAACTCTAAAAAATAGTCTACCGCTTTTTGCTAAACTATAGCCAAACCTGCCATACAGATGTCATCCCATATTACTGGGCTGAGGTATAATTCTAGCTGAAAATTGAATTATTTTTTCCCTTATTTCAACAAAATTTGTTGCTCTTTCAAAACTGTACCTACCGATACACACATTTTTTGAAATATCCCCAAAAAACCTATTAAATGTAGTTTCTAAATAATTTTGTACCTCATACCTAACACAAATAACTTTGTACCTCTACAAAGCGCGGTGTGAAGTCCAGTAGAACAATTAAATTTATTAGAATTCATCGCGACGTTCTATTGAAATGTATATTGGTAGACTGGACTTCAGCCGGCTAAAAATTTAACATTGATTTCCCTATTATGCGCGAAAAATTTTCTAACACTGTATACTGAGTGACAAAAGTAAAAGAACACCAAGAAGCAAATTTTATTTTTCATTCAAACTGTAGAGATAGTGTGTACAGCACCACGGTGGTGCAACACATTATTAATTTTTTTAAAGTTTTGTTGTTAATTTGATGAATTAATTTTAATCATTTGTTTATTTTTCTCTTATACATGTAACTAGAATAAATGGTTAAATTTCAACAACTATTTTTTGGTGTTCTTTTACTTTTGTCATTCAGTATACATACAGGGTGGCACATTAGTATAGAAAAGCTCAATATATCTGTTATTATAGAAGATATCAAAAAAACTTCAATACAAAAGTTGTAGATCTTTTTAAGTTGCACTTTTTAAAATTAGTTACATTTATGCAGAGTGTCCCGTTTTTCTGTAATAGATCAAACTTATACTTTTTTAAATGAAAGCTTAATTTTTTTCTTCAATTTTCCTTTCTAGTTTTATTTAATTGGAATATCTTGAAAAGTGTTAACTTTAGGTATAGGGAATGGTTATTAAGAATGAAAGTACTTCAAAAATACTTCCTGTTAACGATATAAAATATAAGGTGATTCATTTAAATTAACAGAGAAAATATTACTTTTGCGTTTGGATCCACCCTGTAAGCAGTATGATTAAAATTGACAAAAAATATTCATTTTGTACATTTTCAGGATATTTGCAATGTTGTAAAACGTGAAATTTATTTTCAATTCAATCCATTTAGTTTCTACAGAGTGGTAAACTTAGTACGATTTTCGTGGAAAATTGGTCATAACTTTTAAACCACTCAGTATAACGTTATACAAAATTATATTTTTGGAAAGCTGAAAACGAGCTAATTTCAATTTTTAAATAAAAACAGGGTGTTCCATTTAAAAAAGTATAAGTTTGACGGAAAAACGGAAAAACGGGACACTCTGTATAAATGTTACTAATTTTAAAACATGTAGCCTTAAAAGATTTACAACTTTTGTAATGAAGTTTTTTTCATATCTTCTATAATAACAGATATAATGTGCCACCCTATATAAATATGTACAGTGCATTTCTTTAATCCCCCCCCTCCCTTTTATTTTTTGAACGGATTAACTTAGAAAATTGAAATTTGGTATAATGAAACTAATGCATGATTACTATATTTTGAAGTAAAATTGACAGATGAAAATTTCAAGATGACGACTGGGCGCCATCTTGGGAAATAAATTTAAATGGAAAGGAGGGTCTTGTGACACATCATTTTGAAGCTCCTGACAAATACTGTACAACCCTGGAATATAAAGTCAATATCTGCACCCATTACAAAATGGCGGAACATTTAATAATTACCTGAATACAAACAAATTAATATCAATTTTTCTAGAAATATTTGTTTTTCTATGCCAATTAGCAATCCCAACAAACCGATAAGGTTTGACAGGTTATTTTTGGTTAAAAAATTTTTTCCGGGAAACTCATACAAAATATCCAGAAAAAATTAACGTTTGGGCAGGAATATTGGGAAACCATATTGTAACTCATACACAACCATACAAACCATATTGTGGTATCCCTGTTCATTGAACAAAATTTAACAGGGGAACTGTATTTGAATATGTTGTAAACTACTGTTGAGCATTTAATCACCGAAATCGTCGAAACAAATCCTAATGAATTCGATATGGATATTATATTCAAACAAGATGGATCATCACCACATTACTCCAGACAAGTAATGAACTATTTGGATGCTATTTTCCCTGATCGTTGGATTGGTCGTCGAGGTCCTACGAAATGGCCAGTCCGCTCGCCAGATTTGACACCTTTAGACTTTTTGTATAAGGCTATTTAAAGCAAAAAGTGTACGAAACTGAACCTGCTTTCAATATTGGATATACGAGAAATAATTACAGATATTTGTAGAAATATCGACGTTACTATGTTCCAAAATGTTCGGATAGGCTGTTCTTATATTAAGAAGTTCAAGGCAACCATTTCGAGCTTTTTTTGAACTGAACTAAGCTTATATCCTCAAATTATGACGTTAAACGTCGATGTATTCAGGTAATTATTAAATGTTCCGCCATTTTGCAATGGGTGCAGATATTGACTTTATATTCCAGGGTTGTAGAGTATTTGTCAGGAGCTTCAAAATGATGTGTCACAAGACCCCCCCTTTCCATTTAAATTTATTTCACAATATGGCGCCCAGTCGCCATCTTGAAATTTTCATCTGTCAATTTTACTCCAAAATATAGTAATCATGCATTAGTTTCATTATCTCAAATTTCAATTTTCTAAGTTGATCCGTTCAAAAAATAAAAGGGGGGGCATTAAAGAAATGCACTGTACTACATATTTATATGTATATGCGTTAAGGCAACAAGTCGCATGCAACATGTTGCCAATTCTCGCCTTGTGTAAGACAGCCTTTACAGCTTTTTCATTTCACTAATTTCATCGTTACACCAAAATAATTGAAAATTGGCAATATGTCTAACTGTTGCCTTGATGTAACTCGATAAACTAAAACCAACAGATGCTACATTACAGAAGTATAGATTAGTAATAGCGAGATTAGAATAAGCGATGGGTTAAAATAGCATTTGAGTGGGTCAGCACCAGAGTGACCCAACTGCGAATAATATTATCTGGTATTAATCGGGAAAAAGTGCTGCATATTTTCTAAATTTCAAATCCAAATGGTCCAAGTATTATACAGGACTTTTCACGGTAACCGTCCATTAGAAGTATCTTAATAATGAAAAGACTTGAAAATCTGAAAATTTTGTTATAGTATTTTTTGGATAATTTGAATTGATCTAAAATATTTTCATTTTGATTACACTTCCGGTTATACCGGAAGTTGATACCAACTTCGTTATTTTATATGTAAAGTGACAGAGCGTTATATCTACAGAGCGTTTAAAATTGTCTGACAAACATGGCCAAATTAAAGTGCTCATAACTTTGTTATTTCAAATGGATCACCTTGTATTTTTTAACAGTGACCAATGCAGTTTTTTAAGCCCTTTCGATCCATATGGGTGTTCCCTATACCCAAATCCAGTAGTTTTTGAAATAATCGAAGTTTTATTAAATAAGGTATGAATTTTCTTTTTTTTTTTGAGTTATCTAGTTGGCCATTTGATGACCTTATGTCAATGCGACATTTATGTATTTTTGAAAAATTCTACGCTAAATTTAAGAGTATTTTTGTATAAAACATTTTTTCAAAAAATTCATACTTTTTGAGATATTTTTTTTATGAAAAAAATGACAGTTGCGGTCCCTTTTAAATTATCTTTTTACGAGTAAACCCTTAAAGTTAATGAAATGGTTTCTGTAAGGTGACTACCTAATTGACATAAGGTCATCAAATGGCCAACTAGATAACACAAAAAAAATCATACTTTATTTAATAAAACATTTATTTATTTAAAATTTAAAAAAATATGTGAACAGTAAATACATAACAATAAGTAAACAATAAATCATAAACAATCATTATTTTATTAAATCTTGATTGTTATAATCCAACATTGACATTTTTGCTCATCAGTTCAAGAACTGATTTCATTTTTTGGATTGACATAAGGCCATCAAATGGCCAACTAGATAACTCAAAAAAAAAAGAAAATTCATACCTTATTTAATAAAACTTCGATTATTTCAAAAACTACTGGGTTTGTGTATAGGGAATACCCATATGGATCGAAAGAGCTTAAAAAACTGCATTGGTCACTGATAAAAAATACAGGGTGATCCATTTGAAACAACAAAGTTATGACCACTTTAATTTGGCCATGTTTGTCAGACAATTTTAAACGCTCTGTACATGGACTCTAGAAATTCAGTTTAGTTTCATTTAGTAGTATGTCTGGACATCATCGATACTTAATTTCAAGCTTCTAGCTGCATTATTAAGCATTATTAACAGAGATATCACAGAAAATACATTCGACTGATTTTCCAAAAAATATCGAAAAAATTGTAATATCTTAAAAATGGTGCATTTTTGGCATATGGTGTTATTATCAAAGTCTAGTTAAAAAAGGCCATAGAATTCAAAACTGAAGTTAAAAATGGCACTTTGCATATAAAATAACGAAGTTGGTGTCAACTTCCGGTATAACCGGAAGTGTAATCAAATGAAAATATTTTAGATCAATTCAAATTATCCCAAAAAAATACAATAACCAAAATTTCAAAGTTTTAAGTCTTTTCATTATTAAGATACTTCTTCTAATAGACGGTTACCGTGAAAAGCCCTGTAGAGGTGCTCCCCCAGACAACAACGGAAACCCCGTTAGTAGTTCCGCCATCTTTTCCAACCTACCCCTTTGATACATCTACACTTCCCCAAGCACATGCATTTAAAAGATGTCGGGGATTCGATTCGAGAGGTGTTACTTACATTGACGATTAATCTACAGGAAACGTGACGGGATCGCTTTCGACATGTTGCGCGTTAGCGTTAACGTTAGCGTTATCGTTAGATATAATTGTTTTGGGCGGTGAGGTGACGGGCGGCGAAAAATATTGCCAGGGCTGAAATATTTACAACAACATTGTGTACCATCACCGAATTACCATCGGGGTATTTATCCCTTAAAAAAATTTACCTTAGCTCCTCGCAACGTTATGTTCAACAACGTGGGGTGCTGATCGACGACTATGAACGGTATCTCTTCGGGTATGTAACCGTCAGCGTACACCTGGAATATAATGTGAGAATTATTTTATTTGTCACCAAATAAATATTTGTAATAATCCCAGAAATATTTTTTTTTCTCAGATTTATATATTTGTCTCCAAATATACACTGTGTTATTTATAAGATGCGACATAGGGATTCCTGTACAAATGTGTCAAAAGCAAGCTAACTTTTTTACCAAATAACGTTCGCAAAAAATAATAGTTTTAAGATCGTCAAATAATAAGTCGTAATGGACATTTTTTTTTTTTTAATTTGGTTTTGGTTTAATAAAAAAATGTATAATTAAGTTGAAAAAAGTCATACGTCATATGTCACTATTTAAAAATTGTTAAAAGGGGCGGAGCTATCTGGAATGGTTTACGCTCTGAAGTTTGAAAAATTTAGCGGTAAGGAATCTGGTTCAATCCCACGCAGTGTTGAAATTTTTTTTCTTTGGCATTTTTTGGTTTTTTAATGTTTTTTTGTCAAGAATAAAAATATGGCATAATTTTAAAGGCTCTACCTACTAAAGAGATTTTGCGTTATTAAAATTGACACCGAATGGTCGGAGCTTTTATTTAAATAAAAATAAAATTATATCTAAAATAAGCTCGTCTTATTTTAAATATTCCTATTTAACATTTTTTAGACAAAAATATTAGGAAAAAACCAAAAAAAAAGAAAAAAATGTCTTTACTGCGCGGGGATTAAATCACATTACTTCCCGCTAAAATTTTTAAATTTCAGAGCGTAAATCATCCCGACTAACTCCGCCCATTTTAAAATTATTAGATAGTGACATAAAAATGACACATTTATGACGTTTGACTTTTTTCAACTTAATTATACATTTTTTAATTAAACCAGAACGAAATTAATAAAATTTAATGTCCATTTCGACATATTTTTTGACGATCTTTTCAAATCTGCCAATATTTTTTGCGAACGTTATTTGGTAAAAAAGTTAGCTTGTTTTTTACACATTTATACAGGAATCCCTATGTCGCATCTTATAAATAACACAGTGTATTTGTCTCCAAATATACAGGGTGTTTCATTGGGAAAGGGCAATATTTTAACCCTATATAGAGGTCACCAAGGGGGTTACAAAAAAACCCATATACTATGGGTCTTGCGTCCTTTATAACCGAGTTACAGGGTGTTTTTTAAATTTGGCCCATTTCTTTCGACACCTACAACTTTTGAATCACTCAGTATATTTTTTTGATATTTGGCATAGATATTCTATACCTTTAGGACAATTTTTTGCCACATTAAAAAATTACAAAATCCAGGTCCGAATTAAGAAAAATTATTTAAATTTGACCGACCCTAAAACAACACCCAATACATCATATTTTTAAAGATTGAATTCAAATTTAGAAAGAGCATAAAAAACTGAATGTATTCATCAACTTTTTATTTTCCCGCATGCCGTTTTTCTACCAAAATTTAAACGTTAAAATGTACATTATGAGAATTTTGGTCCATGTAAAATGTAATTGAAGGGATTTTAATTATTTTTTCTTTAATAAAACCAGGTTTACTTAACACTTTCATGGAAATTCCTAAAATGAACCTATTGAACTTGAATTAACTTTCACATAAACCAATAAAAATTACAATTACAGATCCTCACTTAATAAAATTAAAATGATTTCAATTCATATAATAATTAATCATTGGTTAATTAATTTTTACATTTCTACATGAGAAAATTCAAAACTTAACTAACCCAACTCAAAATAATTTAAAATTGTGCGCCTAAAGGTGCTTAACATTTTTCCTATTTACCATTTTTTCGTATCTATTATAATAACTGAGTAAACTGGCTTTACCGCACTATTGGGTCACCCTGTATATTCACCCTAGTACAAGCAAAAATCCATCTTCAACAGACCTCTTGGTTCACATTCAAAGGAACCTTTCCGGTCACAATATTTGAGATTAAATACCTAGCGCTCTTACCTCCATTTTGTACTTGCCCGGCAAGAGGATCCTCCAGAATTCACCGTACTTGGTCGTTTGGAAGCCGACGTCACGCGATTTGATCTTCAACGACGCCTTCTCCAGCGGATTGCCGTTTTCGTCCATCACGAATCCCTGGACGCCTCGATGGGCCTCGCCCAAAAATTTAATCAAAGCCTAAAAACGGACGGAATCAGCATTGCTAATTGGAAGCGAGATAAATAGACGCCCTCTGGCGGATAGTGTAAGAACCGAGATAAGAGCCATTGGCTCGTATTCAGCGCCCCTGTTTAACACTAGAGTGACTCTAAAGTCGCGTCTTTAACTTGACAGATTTACATTGTTGTTATGGAGTAACTAAGGAGATTATTTCAAATTGACAGTTTTACATTGTTGTTATGGAGTAACTAAGGAGATTATTTCAAATTGACAGTTTTACATTGGTTGTTATGGAGTAACTAAGGAGATTATTTCAAATTGACAGTTTTACATTGTTGTTATGGAGTAACTAAGGAGATTATTTCAAATTGACAGATTTACATTGGTTGTTATGGAGTAACTAAGAAGATTCTTTCAAAATGACAGATTTACATTGTTGCTATGGAGTAACTATGGAGATTCTTTTAAATTGACAGTTTTACATTGTTGTTATAGAGTAACTAGGGACTCGAGACGCGACTTTAGAGTCACTCTAAAGTTAAAGTGAGGCGCTGAATACGGGCCATTGTCTTTGTTGTTGTTTATGACAAAACATATACTAGTTCAGTTGTGTTTTTTAAGTTTTTGTGTTTGTTGGAGATTTTTAAAATGGATGTTAAAATAAAAAGCAGGAAAATCGAAGGTTTTTGTGGAAACTATAAGCCTGGATTTACTTGGAACTAATTGATAGAAGATTGTTGTGGATATGAACATTAAAAATCGGAAAAAGTGTATCAAATACGATGAAAGTGTGCTCATTACATTTTCTCGAAAGTGATTTTTTACAGGAAGGTAAGTGTATTATGATTCAAATCCATTTTATTCAATTTTTCTCGTTTTAGTTAAAGTAAAACGTAACACATTAAAATCATTTGCTGTGCCGTCCCAGAATCTCTCAAGGGTTAATTGACACATCCCCAGGACCATATTCAGAGAAAAAAAAAACGAGAAAAGTGCCCAACAAAAGTGGGTCTAACCTGTGAACCAATGGATATAAATATTGTGGATCAACAGAAGGAAATTTATTAATTAAGATAGATTTTGACAACCAAGAAGCAGCAGAAGCATTACTAAATGTATATGAATTATTTAATTTTTAATTAAAAGCTTTGTTTCTAAACATAAAAAGTATTTTTTAAAAGGGGTTATGGTTTCTATAATTTATTTTGTCGCTAACCTGACACTATCAACTATCTACAAGACGCTAATAATGTTATAAATGTCCTTAATAATCGAAATCTACTATAAAAATACAAATTTTGATGCGTCCTTTTCTGGCACTGGCATTGACACTATGACATTTGACATCTGTTTCATAACTGTCATGGCGTCGTATTATTATTTATATTTGGATTTTAGATTATTGGATTGGTTTGTGTTTAGTGTTTGCGGTTTATACATAACACTGAGGTAAACAACAATCATCTTATAATAGTTTTGAAACATGAATATTAAAATTTGTCGCTAACTATATACGTCAAAATTGTCAAAGGCTCCAAGACAAAGACACACCGTTAGAAACTAGCGAGTGTCAAACAAGGACGGGTCATAAAAGTACGTCGTGAATATGTTGACGACAGAGTTTACCGCTGTCGACTTATCCACGTTAGTATGGACGCAGGTCAACTGGGCAAAAATTTTATTAGCTGATAATAATTATCCACATCGACCTGTCTCATGATAGGTCAACTGGCCAATATCCAATATTTTTACCTGCCCTTTAATGGCTTTTCTCGTTTGGACAATTCGATAATCTCTTTAATGTACATCCATTTTTTGCATACCTACCCCTAGTAAGTAGAGTAGAGTAAGTAGAGCGTAAGTATTTCCCAATTATAATTGCGTTTTATTATAAAATTAGGATGGGTTCTTTGATCATACTAGTTTACTATGCTGTCTCTGTAGATCAATTTTGTTTTGAGTTTCTTCCCGAATTATATGTTTGAAAATGTACATCTATCTGTACGTAAGTACCTGTATGTAGTTACATCATTTTTCAAAATGACAAATATTAATGTGATTATTTAGTAGATATAGTCCTTTTCAAGATATAGTAGAAAATGACTTTATAAGCTGATGAGTTTTCGACTACCCGGTGCTGTTTAGGGTACACGCCGCACTCGCCGGTCGAATCACGCAGAACCGAATTTTAAGTTTGGTACCTTCGCTGCGGCTAAGCGGCGATGCAAAATACTCATTAAATAACATTTCTTAAGTTCTTACCTGGAAATGTAAATACTGTTTACCACCCGACCCGACCGAAGTGCTTCAACGTTCCATTGTATTGGTATTAGGAAAGTCATTACTTTATTGCTATAATCCCTAAGCTCTCACGCCTCTTTTCTACTATATCTTGAAAAGGACTATACACACAAGATATCCAACGTATCAAAATTTTCTCGAATTTCAACTTCAATTCAAATTTGAACACAGGTAAAATATTTTTTTTAAATGATTCTGATTATTTAATCTATATATGTAAGTATTCTTAGGAATGTAGGTAATCTCTTTGCCCAGTTGACCCTACCCAAAAAGGGGACAGGAAAGAGTCTTTGCCCAGTTGACCTGCCATATTATAAAATAATTGACCATTTTACCCAGTAGACCTACGACGCGTTAGGATCTAAGATAGCGCGTTACCTGTTTGTTGTCCTCCCAGTATTTCGGCAACTCGTGAGCGGGTGGATATTTGCAACAAGACACTTCCAGAGTCACCTCCATGCAACCGTACCACACGTAGTTGTAATCCTGCATGCCACCCGTCAGCGGATACCATTCCGCCCCGTTGGTGATGCCCTAAACAAAACGCAAATTTCGACGCTACTATACTTCATCCATCGAACCAACGGAGTAACCAAAACAAGGTTAGACGCTTGATCATCAAGCACATTCGCATCTATTGGGTAAAATAAAAAAGCCTCCTTACGCTGACCAATCACTGGTGATCACGCGTTGATCCAGCGTCTAAACTTGTTTTAGTTACTCCATTGCTTGGATGGATGAAGTATAGACTCATTTAGAACACTTAATTATCACTTAGGAATCTCTAGACTCATTTAGAACGCTTAATCATCACTTAGAACTCTCTAGACTCACTTAGAACGCTTCATCATCATTTAGAACTCTCTAGACTCATTTAGAACGCTTCATCGTCATTTAGAACTCTTTAGACTCATTTAGAACGCTTTATCATCACTTAGAACGCTTCATCATCATTTAAAACTCTCTAGACTCGTTTAGAACGCTTCACCATCATTTAAAACTCTCTAGACTCATTTAGAACGCTTCATCATCATTTAGAACTCTTTAGACTCATTTAGAACGCTTTATCATCACTTAGAACGCTTCATCATCATTTAAAACTCTCTAGACTCGTTTAGAACGCTTCACCATCATTTAAAACTCTCTAGACTCATTTAGAACGCTTCATCATCATTTAGAACTCTCTAGACTCATTTATAACGCTTTATCATCACTTAGAACGCTTCATTATCATTTAGAACTCTCTAGACTCATTTAGAACGCTTTATCATCACTTAGAACGCTTCATCATCATTTAGAACTCTCTAGACTCATTTAGAACGCTTCTCCATCATTCAAAAATCCATCATCCAAAATACAACATCGACGACGTTTCGTTATATTATACCCTTTTGAAGGAAGTCCTGGACGTTTTGCAGGAGACGCCGCTGCTCATTTTCGCGTGATTCGTCGAATAGGTGAGCGACAAGTGCTTGAAGATGTCGTCGTCGGGCGTCAGCGACGGCGCCGAGAAACTCTGGAAAACTGAAAATTTTAATATCAGTTACAAGATTATATTTTGCTACGTCTACACACGTACAACCACAACAAAGCGACTACAAGGGATTGCAATAGAAGAGTAGAAGTGCAGAGGAGCAAAATAGAGAGGAGCGCACAGGAGCAGAATAGAGGAGCAAAGGAGCAGAGGAGCAAAGGAGCAAAGGAGCATAATAGAGAGGAGCAAAGGAGCAGAATAGAGAGGAGCAAAGGAGCATAGATAGGAGCAGAAGAGCAGAATAGAGAGGAGCAAAGGAGCAGAATAGAGAGGAGCAAAGGAGCAGAATAGGGAGAAGCAAAGGAGCAGAAAAGCAAAGGAACAGAGGAACAGAATAGAGAGGAGCAAAGGAGCAGAATAGAGAGGAGCAAAGGAGCAGAATAGAGAGGAGCAAAGGAGCAGAATAGATAGGAGCAGAAGAGCAGAATAGAGAGGAGCAAAGGAGCAGAATAGAGAGGAGCAAAGGAGCAGAATAGGGAGAAGCAAAGGAGCAGAGAAGCAAAGGAACAGAGGAACAGAATAGAGAGGAGCAAAGGAGCAGAATAGAGAGGAGCAAAGAAGCAGAATAGGGAGAAGCAAAGGAGCAGAGAAGCAAAGGAACAGAGGAACAGAATACAGAGGAGCAAAGGAGCAGAATAGGGAGAAGCAAAGGAGCAGAGAAGCAAAGGAACAGAGGAACAGAATAGAGAGGAGCAAAGGAGCAGAATAGAGAGGAGCAAAGAAGCAGAATAGGGAGAAGCAAAGGAGCAGAGAAGCAAAGGAACAGAGGAACAGAATACAGAGGAGCAAAGGAGCAGAATAGAGAGGAGCAAAGGAGCATAGATAGGAGCAGAAGAGCAGAATAGAGAGGAGCAAAGGAGCAGAATAGAGAGGAGCAAAGGAGCATAGATAGGAGCAGAAGAGCAGAATAGAGAGGAGCAAAGGAGCAGAATAGAGAGGAGCAAAGGAGCAGAATAGAGAGGAGCAAAGGAGCATAGATAGGAGCAGAAGAGCAGAATAGAGAGGAGCAAAGGAGCAGAATAGAGAGGAGCAAAGGAGCAGAATAGGGAGAAGCAAAGGAGCAGAAAAGCAAAGGAACAGAGGAACAGAATAGAGAGGAGCAAAGGAGCAGAGAAGCAAAGGAGCAAAGGAGCAAAGGAGCAAAGGAGCAAAGGAGCAAAGGAGCAGAGCTGCAAAAAAAAATTCAAAATGCATAAAAAAATTCATAAATAGACTTACTAGAACATAATGCCGACGACCTACATATTCCTTTTATAGCAGCAAGAAAGACTCGATAACAAATGGCATTTTTAAAAGAACCGAATCGTCGAAACGTTTGTTTGTTTTGTTTTTTGTTATTTGTTTTTTTGTTTATCGATTTGTATTTACGATGGAAGAAAAGTGTGTTTACTTACGGGAATTCGGCGTACTGTCGAATGGATAACTGGCGACCAAAGCGCCACCGTGGAGGCTGCCCGACAACACGAATTGTATCTTCGATATCCACTCTTTGACGGCCTCCGTCTCCGGTTGGGTGCGTTTGTTGTTCTGCTTGAAGTAGTCCGGGAAGTTGCGGTTCAAATCGAAACCTCTGGCGTTGTACCTTTAGAGAAAAATATGTCTATGAAGGTAGCGTGGCGAAGTTGTTGGGCGCAATAATTAATTAGTCCATATTTTTTTTGTTAATTTTTGGTATTTTTTTGCCGAAGAGTTAATTTTTTTGCTGCAGCCGTTTTCGAGAAAAAGCGGCTGCGCTAACTTCAGACTGAAGGTAGCGTGGCATATATCGTATCTCTAAAATCCAATAAAATATCCAAATAATTTTAATGTCGTATTTTTTTACCAATTTTTTGCTATTCTTTCACGAAAGAATATTTTTTTTTGCTACAGCCGTTTTCGAGAAAAAGCGGCCACGCCAATTTCAGACTGAAGCTAGCGTGGCATACAGTGTGTGTCACGACGAGGGCCCATTAGAAGTATTTGGAAAAGTAATTGTAATTAAAATTTGAAAATTTGTGTACAAGTATTAGTCGATGCGTTCTATTCAATGAAAATATTTTCAACTTTTCTTTACTTCCGGTTATACCGGAAGTGGACATCAACTTTGTTATTTTAAATGGGACACCCCAATAATATAAAAATAAATATATAAAATAAAAATGTATAAAATAAAAAGTTTTTTAACACAGATTCAAATACCTTTGACCTTGCTAGTTGCCACCCTACAGAAACCGTATCCATATCTTTAAAGGGATCCCCCCGTAAAAAAATAATTTATAAGGGTCTGCATCGGTCAAATTTTTCAAAAAAAAATTAGTAACTCAAAAAGTATGCATTTTTGAAAAAAGTTTTTTAGACAAAAGCACTCTAAAATTCTGCGTACATTTCGAAAATATATTAATATATGGGGTGTCTCATTTAAAATAACAAAGTTGCTGTCCATTTCCGGTATAACCGGAAGTAAAGAAAAGTTTAAAATATTTTCATTGAATAGAGCGCATCGACTAATAATTGTACACAAATTTTCAAATTTTAATTACAACTACTTTTCCAGATACCTCTAATGGGCCCTCGTCGTGACACACACTGTATATCGTATCTCTAAAACCCAATTAAATATTCAAATAATTTTAATGACGTATTTTTTTGCTATTTTTTCATAAAGGAATTGTTTTTTTTGCTGCAGCCATCTTAGAGAAAAAGTAAGTATATTGTTATTTGTAAATTTACGCGAAATAGCTATTCTTTAAAAAAAATCCTGCTTGTTCTGAAACCACTTAAAATAACGTTATTTTCTTGATTTTTTTATACAGGGTGTTCATTTTTATAATTTAAAACTGTTCCAAGAGTAAACTACCCTTATTTTAGACGTTATCGAAAAATATTCTTAAATATGAAAAGCTTAAATATGAAATTTTAGTATATTTGCTGAAGCTGAGGCAATTCAATTTTAACGAATAATCAAGTATGATATTAGTTATGACAAAAATCAAACGAGTTGGTTTATGTCAACTTGCTGTTAATTCCAATAAAAATTTTTTTGCGTGTTGTTTTTCTTATTAAATTTGATTTATAAACTATTTTGTTTTATTTCTGCAAATAAACAAAAATTTAATATTTATATAGCTTTTCTGTAATTTTAAAGAATATTTCTAAATAATATTTTTCGATAACGTCTAAAATAAGGGTAGAAAAAAATATTCTTTCGTGAAAGAATAGCAAAAAATTAGCAAAAAAATACGGCATTAAAATTATTTGAATATTTTATTGGGTTTTAGAGTTACGATATATGCCACACTAGCTTCAGTCTCAAGTTAGCGTGGCCGGTTTTTCTCGAGAACGGCTGCAACAAAAAAATTTATTCTTTGGCAAAAAAATGGCAAAAAATTAGCAAAAAAATTTGGACTAATTAATTTTTGTGCCCAACGACTTTGCCATGCTAGCTTCATAGACGTGAGAAAAATCGCATGTGTTAATTTCTGGGGCGTACAGAGGTATGTACAGTTAGGACCAAAAGTCCGTCGCCCCCCCTTTAACTTTAACTTTTGAATGGTAAGAGGTTTTGTCGCGAAATTTGGGATGTTTATATTGGAGTAAAAATACTATTTTTTTTGACGTAAAAATGACAGTTGAAACTTTCAAAATGACAGTTAGGCGCCATTTTGAATCTTTTTTTCTTATGGAAAGGGGGGTCAAGTGACACCTCGTCAAGTGACAAATCGATTTGTTTACTTACCTTCCTTGGCTGCCGTCGCAGGTTCCTTCTTTCGAGACCTCGAATCCATCTGGATTCATTGATGGCATAATGTGGATTCTGGTGTTATCCAATAACCAACGTACGTACGGTTCAGTCGAATAACCCGTCACCAGATACTAAAATATTCGTTATAACGGGCGAATAAATATAACAGAAGCCTAAATAAAGATGTCTCTAATGCCCGATTTCACCAACCAGTTCCTAAAGTTAGGTAATACCTAAACCGGATTTAGGAATTCCTAAGTACAAATTGCGTTTCACCATGCACTAAGTAATACCTAAAGGTAATAGGATGTGTCTAAAGTTAGGACAGTTCACTAGGCTTGCCTAAAACATTTAGGAAATACTTAAAAATACTTTTCATGTGACTTAAGTCTTGACTGTCTTTAGACTCTTTTGATGAACATTTAAAATGGGAGGAGAGTTTTTAGAAACTGGACGAAACTGATTTTTTTTTCGCCTTTTTCGATATATAAAAATACGGCATTACAAATATCAGAAAGAATGATTGATGATTTTTAATTTGATACACAGAAAGTTTTTGGAACTATTGACCGTACACATGCATGTAAATATCCATAGTCCTGGAGAAGAAGATGTAGAAATATTTTACAAATCGGAAAGGTTATTTTTCTAATAATGTATACAGACTACATCTTCAGCAGATTTAAAAATAACTAACATAATTTAAAGATGGCCCGGATCATCAACATCTCTTCTTTTCTCTCAACATATTCAATTTCGATTTCCGCTTATTCGGTTTACACGTCAAAATTAGCCAATGCTACCAATAAAATTCAAAAAATTGTCAAAATCAAATTTTTACCTAGGTATTTCTTAGTAAGGGATATTTCTAATGTTGGTGAAATTCGATTTAGGTAAGTATTCGATTTAAGTAATTCCTAACTTAGGAATTACCTAGTTAGGAAATACCTAACAACATGTTGGTGAAATCGGGCATTAATAACCTTTTAGAGACACACTGTACAGGGTGTGTCATGATGAGCTTAAACTATCTGTATATTGGAAACTACTTACACGATTTTATGAAAATTTGGTATAAATATGTTACGCAATAAAACGAACCTCTTAAAAATATTTTGACAGTGGTACCACTTCCGGTTGTACCGGAAGAAGGCATCAACTTTGTTATTTCAAATGGAATACCCTATATATTAATATATTTTCGAAATCTACGTAAAATTTCAGGATACTTTTGTCAAAAACACTTTTTCCAAAAATGCATACCTTTTGAGTTAAAAATTTTTTTTTGAAAAATTTGACCGATGCAGTCCTTTATAAATTATTTTTTGCGGTGATCCCTTTAAAGATATGGAAACGGTTTCTGTAGGGGGGGCTACTAGCAAGGTAAAAGGTATTTGGACTCGTGTTGAAAAACTTTTTATTTTATACAGGGTGTATATAATAATTGTACAAAGTTGAACATCAAAAATATCAAATTTCTTCATTTTTTTTTAAATGAACCACCCAATTTTAATGAAATCAGCGGTCAAAAATAAGGGAAGTTCACGTTTACTTCCCTATACCTAAACCTAATAATTTTGAAGATATTAAATAGTTTACATGAAACTTACATTTCTGCCTAATTCTCAATTAAATAGGTTTTAAAAATTGGCCATGTAAATTATTCTTAATTAATTGACTATTAATATTGATACTTGTACGATATTACACGGCCAACTTGTAAAACCGAGTTATTTAAGAATAAGACAGAAAAGTAAGTTTTAAGTAAAATTTTTAATATCTTCAAAATTATTAGGTTTAGGTATAGGGAAGTAAACTTGAACTTCCCTTATTTTTGACCGCTGATTTCATTAAAATAAAAAAATGGGTAGTTCTATTTAAAAAAATGAAGAAATTTGATATTTTTGATGTTCAACTTTGTTCAATTTTTATACACACCCTGTATAAAATAAAAAGTCTTTCAATACAGTTCCAAATACCTTTTACCTTGCTAGTAGACCCCCTACAGAAACCGTTTCCATATCTTTAAGGGGATCCCTGTAAAAAAATAATTTTTACAGGCCTGCATCGGTCAAATTTTTCAAAAAAAAAATTTTAACTCAAAAAGTATGCATTTTTGGAAAAAGTGTTTTTGACAAAAGTATCCTTAAATTTTACGTAGATTTCGAAAATATATTAATATACAGGATGTCCTATTTAAAATAACAAAGTTGATACCTACTTCCGGTACAACCGGAAGTGGTACGACTGTCAAAATATTTTAAAGAGGTTCGTCTTATTGCATAACATAAGTATACCAAATTTTATTAAAATCGGATAAGTAGTTTCCAATATACAGATAATTTAAGCTCGTCGTAAAGAGTAAAGAGCATTGATAATGAACTTACGTGGATTAATTGCAACATAAGTTCCCTGCTAACGGCCTCGTTTCCATGCATATTAGCCACATATTTCACGTCGGGTTTTCCTATCATGTGTTCGTAGGGAGACGCCGATACAACCATAACCCAGAGGTCCCTTCCTAAAAATAAATATAATCGTGAATATACAGTATGAGTGACGAACGTAGTATTATATTAAATGTGTAAATATATTGGCCATACAAGTCGTCCTAATATGTCATTGATCTGTCAAATGTCATTAATCTTGTTGCACAGAACACTTTTGATATTAAATAAATTTAAGTTAAATTATATTTAAAACAAGTTTATATGACACAACTAATTGATTTAGAATATTTTCTTACTGGTTCATGTTTAAAAATTATTAAAAAATTCTACGGCTCTGTTTTATTTGCATTTGTCAAATCAAATGACATATTTAAAAAAAAACTCGATTTTAATCATCTAGTGAAACTGTCATCGCAGTTACTCTCATTTGTCACTTTGACAATATTTGAATGTGGCTAGTCGACCAAAATTCAGTCGTGTCTACTCGACCAACCTGCACTGTCGTGAAGCTACCTACAGTCAAGTTACACGGTACGTTTCCTCATATACACTGTTGGAAAATTATTCGCGCATAATAGGAAAATCAATGTTAAATTCTTAGCCGTCTGAAATCCAGTTTACTAGTGTACATTTAAATAGAACGTCGCGATAAATTCTAATAAATTTAATTGTTCTACTGGACTTCACACCGCGCTTTGGCTTGGTTAGATTAAAAATCAAATAATTTCGACGGTTTCGACACTTCGACAGTATCAAAACGGGTTAGGATGGGTGAATGTCGAGTCGATTAAAAAGAAATGAGAATTTTTAAACGATAATTTATTGAAAAAATATCACTAATATTAAAATAGAATTATGTAGATATGTCTTTTTGCCACAATGGCTTGAAAAAGAAAGTAAATTCTAAGAAAATAATAAAAAGGAAACTTCAAAAATAAACTTAAAGATTATTTTAAAACCGAAAATAAAAGAACTCTAAAAAATAGTCCATCGCCTTCTGCTAAACAATAGCCAAACCTGTCATACAGATGTCATCTCATATTACTGAGCTGAGGTGTAATTTTAGCAGAAAATTGAATTATTTTTTCCTTATTTTTCCTTATTTTAACAAGATTTGTTGCTATTTCAAAACTGTACCTACCGATACACATATTTTTTTGAAATATCCTCAAAAAAAATATTAAATTTTGTTTTTAAATAAATTTGTACCTCATACTTAACACAAATAACTTTGTACCTCTACAAATCGCGGCGTGCGATCCAGTAGAACAATTAAATTTATTAGAATTGAATCCGACATTGAAATCTACACTGGTAGATTGGATTTCAGCCGGCTAAGAATTTAACATTTATTTCCCTATTATGCGAAATAAAATTTCCAACGGTGTATACTTCATCCATCGAACCAACGGAGTAACCAAAACAAGGTTAGACGCTGGATCATCAAGCACATTCGCTTCTATTGGGTAAAATAAAAAAGCCTCCTTACGCTGACCAATCACTGATGATCACTCGTTGACCCAGCGTCTAAACTTGTTTTAGTTACTCCATTGCTTGGATGGATGAAGTATAGTTTCTTTTTATTACCTTGAACAGATTTTCCTATGGAATAGAGTGCCGTCAGCGACGGGTACCTAGCGGTGGTCTGTCTGAGGAACTTGGTCATCGATTCGTAGTTGTGGTATCTGTAATCGATGGTGTAAGGCTCATATTGGGCGCTCTGATCGGCGTTAAAACCGCCCGAATTGTCGTAGTGTCGTTGTTGGACGTCCGGCGAACCGCCTTCGATCGATTGGGTGTGGATTATTTGATCGGGGAAGTCCTGTTTTTTGGCGAAATCGCCGGCGTTTTGGCCCATCGTAGATGATGTTAAATAGAGCGCGAACGGCAGCCATTTTAGCACGATGTTCATTGTATATCGCTGGAAATAATGGGATTTTAAAATGAGTTAAAAATCAAGGCAGGGCCTAGACGGCCTTATGAGAAATTTTAGACGTTCATTTAGTTTCGGCACTATTGATAGATGGCGCAACAATAGTTTATTTCTGAATGAAGGTGGTAGGTATTCCATCTAGCGGCCATTTTAGACACTTAAAAATGATTTCCAGCTTTTTTTTTGGTCAATTTACACACACCGGAAAATTTAAAGGAAGAGATTAAAAATGTAATATACAGAAAATTTTTATTATTCATTTTACGACAAAAAGTCATTGTTTATAAAAATTTTTGCTTCTTTTAAAAATGAGAATAACACTGAAAAATCTTAGATTGGATCTACAGGGTGTTGCCAAATTAAGAAAATATGAAAATACCTCAAGAGAGAAGTACCATTATTTTCTATTTTACACAAAATTTTTAAAAAAGAAAGTTGTTTATAATCTAAAATAAAGCCTGAATACAAATTTTCAAATTAAAATTCCAATTTTGTGTGTCCACGGATGGAGTTGACCAGAGAAGAAAATGATTATTAATTTTACGAAAAAAAGTAATTCTTTATAAAAAAAGAGCATTAAAAGAGAGATTAAAAGCATTTTTTTGTAAATAATAATGTAAGATAATAAATAAATTCTTTCTTTATGTAAGATAATAAAATTTCTTTCGTTCTTTCTTGAAATTTTTTCCTGTTTCTTAATTTACTAACACCCTATATGTTTTATTTAATGTTTTGATATGTGAATTTCATAATTCGTAAAATTAATAATAACCAATTTTCTTATCTGGTCAACTTTATCTAGGGACACACAAAATTTGAATTCAAGTTTGCAAATTTGTATTCAGGCTTTATTTTAGATTATAAACAACTTTCTTTCATAAACATTTTATGTAAAATAAAAAATAATGGTACTTCCCTCTTGAGGTATTTTCATGTTTTCTTAATTTGACAACACCCTGTAGATCCAATCTAAGATTTTTCAGTGTTATTCTCATTTTTAAAAGAAGCAAAAATTTTTATAAACAATGACTTTTTGTCGTAAAATTAATAATAAAAGTTTTTCTCCTATAAGCAATCCCATCCGTGGACACAATGTATTTCTATACAGGGTGAGTCATGAGGAATCGTACATACTTGAACAGTGTATAGAGACACTTAAGGTGAATATTATACGACCAAATAAAAGTTCCATCCGCTTCTTCTCTAAGGAGATACAGGGTGATTTATGAATTTTGACGAAATTTTCTTTTGTTTATATCTTTATGGTGGTTATTTCAATTTGGTTCATTTGTTGGTAAAAGTATACATTTTGAACCAGCAACACACTGGCATATTCAGAATTAAAAAATTTCAGGACCGTCTTCAGAAAAAAAGAGGTAAATATTTCCAAACTTAATATTTCACCCTGTATACACTTTTTCAAAATTTTCATTTGGTTAATGTAAAAGGTATAAGTAACTCATAAAGCCTGAGGGTCGGAAATTTTTGCCACACTTTGTTTAAATTGTCAATTATCAATTAACTTTTAGAAAAATTACACATTTGGGATAACCGAATAATTTACATTAAAATAATATTTTCTATCGTACAAATTTTAATGAAAATTAATAAAAACGACTAATTACATATTCCTTTCTATGAAAAAGTCCTAAAATTACAAAATAAATCTTAAAATTAATCAATAAAAAATATTCAACGCGCATGATAATAATTGTTCAAAAACTAACGAAAAACACAAAAATTTAATAAAAAATCTATTCTACATTATAAAACATGTTCAAAATAAAATCCATTTGCCACTACAAAATCCGTAAACAAAAATAATATCAGCATATTCAGCAATTGAATATTTGAATGGCATTTTTTAATAAACAAAGTGTATCAATTAGTAACACACAACGATTTAATTCTTAATTATTGACGAAAGAATGAAACCAAATGTTAAAATGCAAAAACAAAGAAAGGGTTAATTTATCATAGACTATTTCGATCATTGTATCCAATTTAACATACAGAAAAAATAATTCATTAGAGAATATTATTGAATTATTTTGTTTTATATTGATATTAATTAATCAGTTTAATTCGTTCGGATTTGTTGTTATTGTTTTTTATTTGTTATCACCAATTTTGTTTGTATTGCAAAGAGCAGCTACTAATGGATGACTTAATACCGACTAATATTGCCAAAAATGTATTTAATTATTGAAATTAGTTCAAAATGTACAATAAAGTTATTCTGTTTAAAACCAGTATATTATTTTAAATCTGACATCTTCGACTTGTTCTCTTCTTTGGATGCACATGATAAATTGTTGTAAAAAGTGACCCAATTACTTCACCTAACATTGTGTTAAGAAATATTAACAATATGTACAGGGTGGCACATTAGTATGGAAAAGCTCAATATATCTGTTATTACAGAAGATATCAAAAAAACTTCATTACAAAAGTTGTAGATCTTTTTAAGCTGCATATTTTATATTTAGTTACATTTATACAGAGTGTCCCGTTTTTCCGTAATAGATCAAACTTATACTTTTTTAAATGGAACACCCTGTTTTTTATTTAAAAATTGAATTAAACTCGTTTTCAGCTTTCCAAAAATATAATTTTGTATAACGTTATACTGAGTGGTTTAAAAGTTATGACCAATTTTCCACGAAAATCGTACTAAGTTTACAACTCTGTAGAAACTGAATGGATTGAATTGAAAATAAATTTCAGGTTTCACAACATTGCAAATATCCTGAAAATATACAAAATGAATATTTTTTGTTAATTTTAATCATACTGCTTACAGGGTGGATCCAAACGCAAAAGTAACATTTTCTCTGTTAATTTAAATGGACCACCCTATATTTTATATCGTTAACAGGAAGTATTTTTGAAGTAATTTCATTCTTAATAACCATTCCCTATACCTAAAGTTAACACCTTTCGAGATATTTCAATAAAAAAAAATTAGAACTTAAAATTGAAGAACAAAAAATTAAGCTTTCTTTTTTTATAATGACCGAAGTTCACATTAATGAAAGAATTAAGAAATGTCATATTACGGAAAAACGGGACACTCTGTATAAATGTAACTAATTTTAAAATATGCAACTTAAAAAGATCTACAACTTTTGTAATGAAGTTTTTTTGATATCTTCTATAATAACAGATATATTGAGCTTTTCCATACTAATGTGCCACCCTGTATAACATAGAGAAAATAATTGGATTTTATATCTATTTCTTTAAATATACCGGTGTGTGTAGTTTTTTTACCGCAAATTTCTACCATAATTAGTGTGCGAGATATGACCGATTCTTAAAAGACCACCCTGTATATAATTAATTTAAAAAATAATTTATGAAGGGTTGTTAGATTCGAAATGAAAGCTTCGTGTACTAAGTAAAGTAGTAATTGATGAGTATATTCGGTGATTTCGATGAATGAATTTTACGCTTTCTTTCATATTAAAAGTGCGCTTAAATTGCATACTATATTTTTCCATTAATGGTTGGTGCGTTTGCGAATAAATGGAAAATGGCTTTCACTCGAGAAATTAACTCTTCGTTCTTAATTAACGTTTATTTTTATTGCGTTCGTATGTTTGTCGAAACGATAAAACGTCGAGTTGGCGATTATTTAATTATTTTAATTTAATTTTTAATTAAATATTATTTTAATTATTTTCATTTTAATTATTTTTTATTTTGAATTGTTTATACTCCGTTCGGCATCAGGAGATACTAATAAAACCTTCTTGAAAGCAATGAATTCAACTAATTTAATCTCGTATTTTATGAACCACTTAGGATCACAAGAAATGATCTAAAAGACGAGCGCCTTTGGAAAAATAAGGAGTATACAGGGCTTTTCACGGTAACCGTCAATTAGAAGAAGTATCTCAATAATGAAAGAGTTGACACCAACTTCGTTATTTTATATGGAAAGTGCCATTTTAACTTTCATTTTTGAATTCTATGGCATTTTTTAACTTGACTTTGATAATAACACCATATACCAAAAATGCACCATTTTTAAGATATTACAATTTTTTCGATATTTTTTGAAAAAACAGTCGAATGTATTTTCTGTGATATCTTTGTTAATAATGCAGCTAGAAGCTTGAAATTAAGTATCGATGATGTCCAGGCACACTTCTAAATGAAACTAAACTGTATTTTCAGAATCCATGTACAGGGCGTTTGAAATTGTCTGACAAACTTGGCCAAATTAAAGTGGTCATAACTTTGTTATTTCAAATGGATCACCCTGTATTTTTTAACAGTGACCAATGCCGTTTTTTAAGCTCTTTCGATCCATATGGGTATTCCCTATACACAAATCCAGTAGTTTTTGAAATAATCGAAGTTTTATTAAATAAGGTATGAATTTTCTTTTTTTTGAGTTATCTAGTTGGCCATTTGATGACCTTATGTCAATCCGACAAATAAAATCAGTTCTTGAAATTATAGCAAAAATGTCAATGTTGGATTATGACAATCAAGATTTTTTAAATTTATTACTTATTTACGGTTCATTATTGTTTACTTATTGTTATGTATTTACTGTTTCAAATTTATCTTTTACTTATTTTCAATTGAAATTAGTTTATGAAATAAACTAATAATAAACAATATGAAAATATACAGGGTGCTCCATTTGAAAAAAAATAAAGAAATTTGATATTTTTGATTCTTAACTGTTCGTACTTTAGTACTTTTTATACACACCCTGTATGCAATAGAGAGTATTTTTCAAACCAATTTAATTACCTCTATAACCTTAATGGTAGTCACCTTACAGAAACCATTTCATTAACTTTAAGGGTTTACTCGTCAAAAAATAATTTATAAGGGTCTGCAATTGTCAATTTTTTCATAAAAAAAAATATCTCAAAAAGTATGTACTTTTTGAAAAAATGTTTTATACAAAAGTACTCTTAAATTTAGCGTAGAATTTTTCAAAAATACATAAATGTCGCATTGACATAAGGTCATCAAATGGCCAACTAGATAACTCAAAAAAAAGAAAATTTATACCTTATTTAATAAAACTTCGATTATTTCAAAAACTACTGGATTTGGGTATAGGGAATACCCATATGGATCGAAAGGGCTTAAAAAACTGCATTGGTCACTGTTAAAAAATACAGGGTGATCCATTTGAAATAACAAAGTTATGACCACTTTAATTTGGCCATGTTTGTCAGACAATTTTAAACGCCCTGTACATGGATTCTGAAAATACAGTTTAGTTTCATTTAGAAGTGTGTTTGGACATCATCGATACTCAATTTCAAGCTTCTAGCTGAATTATTAACAGAGATATCACAGAAAATACATTCGACTGTTTTTTCCAAAAAATATCGAAAAAATTGTAATATCTTAAAAATGGTGCATTTTTGGTATATGGTGTTATTATCAAAGTCAAGTTAAAAAATGCCATAGAATTCAAAAATGAAGTTAAAAATGGCACTTTACATATAAAATAACGAATTTGGTGTCAACTTCCGGTATAACCGGAAGTGTAATCAAAATGAAAATATTTTAGATCAATTCATATTATCCAAAAAATACTATAACCAAATTTTCAGATTTTTAAGTCTTTTCATTATTGAGATACTTCTTATAACGAACGGTTACCGTGAATAGCCCTGTATACAGGGTGTTTCACAACTTATCCGACAAATTTTAACCACATATGCACTGTTACGAGAGAAGTTAATTTCCAAAAAAAAAATGTAATAAAAGTCTTACAGAAATCGAGATAATAAAATAATAGTTTAACAGTTCAATTACTTAAACAAGATGTTCAAAATTGTTCCCATTTACTGCAATGCAAGCTTGGGTGCATGTTTTTTTTTATTTTAACCATTGTTTTGATGCAACATTTGCTACAATTTTGAACATCTTGTATAAATAATTGAACTGTTAAACTATTATTTTATTATCTCGATTTCTGTAAGACTTTTATTACATTTGATGACCTTATGTATGTCAATCCGACAAATAAAATCATTTCTTGAAATTATAGCAAAAATGTCAATGTTGGGTTATATCAATCAAGATTCATCAACACCCTGTATATACGAGTTTAGAAAGTACCTATACAATTCTCAGAACGCGCTATCGAATCGGTAAATAAGTAAAAAGCCTCGTTTTAATTTCTCCCGTTCGGATGCCGAGCAATTCGGCGTTTATCGTTTCAAATAAAACCGATGGAAATATGTCAGCGGGTCAACAACTGTACTTTACTAAACCAGAATCACCATCTGACCGCTGTTATAACTCATCCATCGGATTCGGATTTTTTAAATTATAACCGTTACGATTCCATTAGTTCGATTCGATATTTAATTTATTCGCGATATAAATCGCGATGTTAGGCGCGTTTTAGACATAGTAGGTACTCGCAAAATGTCTGTTAAATCGGTTAATACTTAACAGTCGGATAAAAGTAACGGAGCAAAAACGAATTGATAAAAAGAAGTAACTAATTGATAACTTTAATCCGAATGTCTGGAGTTTTTATGAGTATTTAACGGTGACATACAGTGTGTCAACGGATGGGGTTGCCTATAGGAGAAAATTTTTTATTCTTTTTACGACAAAAAGTCATTGTTTATAAAAATTTTTGCTTCTTTTAAAAATGAGAATAACACTGAAAAATCTTAGATTGGATCTACAGGGTGTTGTCAAATTAAGAAAACTTGAAAATACCCCAAGAGGGAAGTACCATTATTTTTTATTTTACATAAAATGTTTATGAAAGAAAGTTGTTTATAATCTAAAATAAAGCCTGAATATAAATTTGCAAACTTGAATTCAAATTTTGTGTGTCCCTAGATAAAGTTGACCAGATAAGAAAAATGGTTATTATTAATTTTACGAATTATGAAATTCACATATCAAAACATTAAATAAGACGTATAGGGTGTTAGTAAATTAAGAAACAGGAAAAAATTTCAAGAAAGAACGAAAGAAATTTTATTATCTTACATAAAGAAAGAATTTATTTATTATCTTACATTATTATTTACAAAAAAATGCTTTTAATCTCTCTTTTAATGCTCTTTTTTTATAAAGAATTACTTTTTTTTTTCGTAAAATTAATAATCATTTTCTTCTCTGGTCAACTCCATCCGTGGACACACAAAATTGGAATTTTAATTTGAAAATTTGTATTCAGGCTTTATTTTAGATTATAAACAACTTTCTTTCATAAAAATTTTGTGTAAAATAAAAATAATGTTACTTCTCTCTTGAGGTATTTTCATGTTTTCTTAATTTGGCAACACCCTGTAAATCCAATCTAAGATTTTTCAGTGTTATTCTCACTTTTAAAAGTAGCAAAAATTTTTATAAACAATGACTTTTTGTCGTAAAATGAATAATAAAAATTTTTTTCCTATAGGCAACCCCATCCGTTGACACACTGTATAACATTTTAATTTAACACCATAATATAATAGAGCAGTTAAAGAAATTAGAATTTCACGAATTGTTCAATTCATCTTTCGATTTACTTCTCTTTTATCAGCTCGATTTTGCTCCGTTACTTTTATCTGACTGTTAAGTATTAACTGACATTATTGGTATAAATGCCAAAATATGACTTGATTGATAACAACTTATCTCTTTGTTAGCGATTTAACAGACATTAATGAATATGACGATCAGTAATTTAATAAATGCTCTGGTGAAAATTAACATGCTCAGTTAATAAATAATAAACATTCGGCTTAAAATAAGTGTTTAATAATTTAATGAATGCTCGGTAATACATTAATAATTTGGCAAAATTTTTAGCGATTTACCAGACATTGGTAATTATATGATCGTTATTATAGAAACGAAATTAATCCTTTGTGTTTATTTAAATTCCAATAACGTATGTAAATTTAATATAGCAAACAATTCAGTTCCTGAAGTAATCTAGCAGGCGTTTTATAAAATATATTAATTCCACCACAATTAAATATAAGTAGATAATCTCGATTGTTTTAACAGATTAATTATCGAGATGTATTTTAAACCACAGTTACTTAATTATAAATTAATGAATCCTCTAGATATATACCGTTAATGATATTATACGTTAGTTTGCAGACGACCTCTATTCCAATTGTTAAAAATTATTCTCTACAGCAATTGAATTGATACTGAAGGTTGAATAGAATTTCGGACCGGAATAAATAAATAAATAAATAAATTCGATCGCTATTAAATGGATTTCTTACCTTTTTAGCAACGTCGATTTGATTGTCATGTGGACAGTATTTAGGATGGGAATCGATTCCGGGGGGGCGCACAAAGACCGTGTGAAAAATGGATCCCGTTAAACGACCCTACCTCGGAGCAGTTTCGACGGATACTGAACGTGGAAAGTGGAAACTGAAACGTGAAAACGCGAACGCTGCGACTCTTCGTTTGCTCTTGCTATTGAATAAAAAAAAAAAAAAACTGGGTCCACACGGATTCGCACCTGAGTATCGAAACCGTCGTCCCACTCCTTTGCTCCGTCTTTTTTCTTGTGCTGTTCGTCCTCTTCCGTCGAGTCCGGAGCGGGAAATTCCGCGCCGATAATTCGCGCGTTCTGCGATATTTTTGTCTGATGTTTTTGTCTTCGTTGATCACGGGAGATTTATTTATTGGCTCGACCCTTAGATCATATATCGTTTGCTCCATTTGCGGTTGCGATATGGCGCATTTCTATGAGTGGAACAAAGAAAGATTATTAAAATGACAGTTGTCGGAGTGACAAGTTGCAATGACACAAATGTCACTTTTTCTTTTTCCTGTGTAAGTGTCTAATGGAAGTTGTCTTTATCGCACTTATAGCCTATATAATATACACCTTGCTCCATTTGCGGTTGCAACATGGCGCATTTCTATGAGTGGAACAAAGAAAGATTATTAAAATGACAGTTGTCAGAGTGACAAGTTGCAATCACACAAATCAGTCGCTCTTTCCTTTTTCTTTATAAGTGTCCAATGGAAGTTGTCTTTATCGCACTTATAGCCTATATAATATACACCTCGGAGCAGTTTCGACGGATACTGAACGTGGAAAGTGGAAACTGAAACGTGAAAACGCGAACGCAACGCTGCGACTCTTCGTTTGCTCTTGCTATTGAATATACAAAAAAAAAAAAAACTGGGTCCACACGGATTCGCACCTGAGTATCGAAACCGTCGTCCCACTCCTTTTGCTCCGTCTTTTTTCTTGTGCTGTTCGTCCTCTTCCGCCGAGTCCGGAGCGGGAAATTCCGCGCCGATAATTCGCGCGTTCTGCGATATTTTTGTCTGATGTTTTTGTCTTCGTTGATCACGGGAGATTTATTTATTGGCTCGACCCTTAGATCATATATCGTTTGCTCCATTTGCGGTTGCAATATGGTCATGTCAATGAGTGGAACAAAGAAAGATTATTAAAATGACAGTTGTCAGAGTGAAAAATTGCAATCACACAAATCAGTCACTCTTTCCTTTTTCTTTATAAGTGTCTAATGGAAGTTGTCTTTATCGCACTTATAGCCTATATAATATACACCTTGCTCCATTTGCGATTGCAACATGGTCATTTCTATGAGTGGAACAAAGAAAGATTATTAAAATGACAGTGTGTCATAGTGAAAAATTGCAATCACACAAATCAGTCACTCTTTCCTTTTTCTTTATAAGTGTCTAATGGAAGTTGTCTTTATCGCACTTATAGCCTATATAATATACACCTTGCTCCATTTGTGATTGCAACATGGTCATTTCTATGAGTGGAACAAAGAAAGATTATTAAAATGACAGTTGTCAGAGTGAAAAATTGCAATCACACAAATCAGTCACTCTTTCCTTTTTCCTTTATAAGTGTCTAATGGAAGTTGTCTTTATCGCACTTATAGCCTATATAATATACACCTTGCTCCATTTGTGATTGCAACATGGTCATTTCTATGAGTGGAACAAAGAAAGATTATTAAAATGACAGTTGTCAGAGTGAAAAATTGCAATCACACAAATCAGTCACTCTTTCCTTTTCCTTTATAAGTGTCTAATGGAAGTTGTCTTTATCGCACTTATAGCCTATATAATATACACCTTGCTCCATTTGTGATTGCAACATGGTCATTTCTATGAGTGGAACAAAGAAAGATTATTAAAATGACAGTTGTCAGAGTGAAAAATTGCAATCACACAAATCAGTCACTCTTTCCTTTTTCTTTATAAGTGTCTAATGGAAGTTGTCTTTATCGCACTTATAGCCTATATAATATACACCTTGCTCCATTTGTGATTGCAACATGGTAATTTCTATGAGTGGAACAAAGAAAGATTATTAAAATGGCAGTGTGTCATAGTGAAAAATTGCAATCACACAAATCAGTCACTCTTTCCTTTTTCCTTTATAAGTGTCTAATGGAAGTTGTCTTTATCGCACTTATAGCCTATATAATATACACCTTGCTCCATTTTTGTGATTGCAACATGGTCATTTCTATGAGTGGAACAAAGAAAGATTATTAAAATGACAGTTGTCAGAGTGAAAAATTGCAATCACACAAATCAGTCACTCTTTCCTTTTTCCTTTATAAGTGTCTAATGGAAGTTGTCTTTATCGCACTTATAGCCTATATAATATACACCTTGCTCCATTTGTGATTGCAACATGGTAATTTCTATGAGTGGAACAAAGAAAGATTATTAAAATGGCAGTGTGTCATAGTGAAAAATTGCAATCACACAAATCAGTCACTCTTTCCTTTTTCCTTTGTAAGTGTCTAATGGAAGTTGTCTTTATCGCACTTATAGCCTATATAATATACACCTTGCTCCATTTGTGATTGCAACATGGTCATTTCTATGAGTGGAACAAAGAAAGATTATTAAAATGACAGTTGTCAGAGTGAAAAATTGCAATCACACAAATCAGTCACTCTTTCCTTTTTCTTTTATAAATGTCTAATAGAAGTTGTCTTTATCGCACTTATAGCCTATATAATATACACCTTGCTCCATTTGCGGTTGCAACATGGCGCATTTCTATGAGTGGAACAAAGAAAGATTATTAAAATGACAGTTGTCAGAGTGAAAAATTGCAATGACACAAATGTCATTCTTTCCTTTTCCTTCGTTATTTTATTTGGAAAGTGCCATTTTTAACTTCATTTTTGAATTGAAAATGAAAATACTTATAAATCTGAAATATGAATTGATCTAAAATATTTTCATTTTGATTACACTTCCGGTTATACCGGAAGTTGACACCAAATTCGTTATTTTATATGGAAAGTGCCATTTTTAACTTCATTTTTTAATTCTATGGCATTTTTTAACTTGACTTTGATAATAACACCATATACCAAAAATGCATCATTTTTAAGATATTACAATTTTTTCGATATTTTTTGGAAAAACAGTCGAATGTATTGTCTGTGATATCTCTGTTAATAATGCAGCTAGAAGCTTGAAATTGAGTATCGATGTTGTCCAGGCACACTTTTAAATGAAACTAAACTGTATTTTCAGAATCCATGTACAGGGCGTTTAAAATTGTCTGACAAACTTGCCCAAATTAAAGTGGTCATAACTTTGTGATTTCAAATGGATCACCCTGTATTTTTTAACAGTGACCAATGCAGTTTTTTAAGCTCTTCGATCCATATGGGTATTCCCTATATCCAAATCCAGTAGTTTTTGAAATAATCGAAGTTTTATTAAATAAGGTATGAATTTTCTTTTTTTTTAAGTTATCTAGTTGGCCATTTGATGACCTATGTCAATACGACAAATGAAATCAGTTCTTGAAATTATAGCAAAAATGTCAATGTTGGATTATAACAATCAAGATTTAATAAAATAATTATTGTTTATGATTTATTGTTTACTTATTGTTATGTATTTACTGTTCACATATTTTTTTAAATTTTAAAAAAATAAATGTTCATTTCAAAGCTTTTTTTTGTGTTATCTGTTTTGTTAGTTATTTGTTTTGTGTTGTCTTTTTTCTTTTTCTGTTCGTCCTCTCCGCTGAGTCCGGAGCGGGAAATGCGTTCTTCGATATAATTTTGCGATTGCGATTGCGACATGGTCATTTCTATATGAGTTGAACAAAGAAAGATTATTAAAATGACAGTTGTCAGAGTGAAAAGTTGCAATGACACAAATGTCACTTTTTCTTTTTCCTTTATAAGTGTCTAATGGAAGTTGTCTTTATCGCATCCATGGCCTATACAGTGTGTGTCACGACGAGGGCCCATTAGAAGTATCTGGAAAAGTAGTTGTAATTAAAATTTGAAAATTTGTGTACAAGTATTAGCCGATGCGCTCTATTCAATGAAAATATTTTAAACTTTTCTTTACTTCCGGTTATACCGGAAGTGGACATCAACTTTGTTATTTTAAATGGGACACCCCATATATTAATATATTTTCGAAATGTACGCAAAATTTTAGAGTGCTTTTGTCTAAAAAACTTTTTTCAAAAATGCATACTTTTTGAATTACTAATTTTTTTTTTTAAATTTGACCGATGCAGACCATTATAAATTATTTTTTACGGGGATCCCTTTAAAGATATGATACATTTTCTGTAGGGTGGCCACTAGCAAGGTCAAAGGTATTTGAATCTGTGTTAAAAAACTTTTTATTTTATACAGGGTGTATACAAAACATGTGAAAAGTTGAACTTCAAAATGTAAATTGTTTGTAATTAATTGATTATTAACTTTGGTACTTGTGAGATATTACATGGCCAACTTGTAAAACAGAGTTCTTTAAGAATAAGGCAGAAAAGTAAGATTTATGTAAGATATTCAATATCTTCAAAACTATTAATTAGATTTAGGTATAGGGAAGTAAACATGAACTTCCCAAATTTTTTACCGCTGATTTCAATAAAAAAAATGGTTGGTTCCATTTAAAAAAAATGAAATAACTTGAAGAATAATAAGAAGTTAAACACTATCAAACAAATCACTAAAAAGAATTATCTATTTGACCACGAGGTTAACAACCCTACAAAACAATACGCACTAGAAAACATTCGGCTAGATTTTTCGAAGGCCGGCAGGCGGGGGGAGAAATTTGCACGTCACATCGCATAAATTATTTTTTACAAGGGTAATAAAGCGATTTCTTTAGTTACTACACAAAGATAGAGACGCAACCAGTTCGTGCGTTGATTTGCCTTTGCCGATTTGAAAAATACATAAAAATTTGTAAATTTGTTAAGTGTAAACTTATATCAAGTTTCAGTTTTTGTATTTGTTAGTTTTTGGTTCTTTACGCAGAAGAGCAGAAGCTTGTATTGAAATTAATGGTGGACACTTTGAACAATAATTGTTCAACAATTAATCACAACAATTATTGTTGTGATACTTTGTAAGGATACCTAGATAATCTTGAAGATTTTGGGTAAGTTTAATTTATTTAAGGAATAGGGTTCCTTAGTTTTTAATGTATTCAATGTTTCCGAAATTCATGAGCTATTTTCGAATATTTTGCAAAACATTTTTTTGACGAAATTCAACCATTTTTAAAATGATTAATTTTAGTATACCTAGTTGGTTTGACGATATTACGGAAAAATTATCACATTATTTCGTTTTATAAACATTTTACAACACTGTTCGTTCAACGCGCTCACAGCCGCTTATGCAGAATACGCGTAGACAATACGACGTAGAATTTGGGGCGGATAAATGTTAAATTGCCCCAAATTTAAACATTTGAATTAAAAAAAAAAAAATAACGCCAAATCACTTTTAGTGGTATTCCTGACATGTGGTTGAAATATGTACATGTAATTTACAAACACCCTGTATATGTTCTAAGGCTCAACCAGATGAATTATAAAGACGGATACATTTTTCGTTTAGAAAAATATTTTTGCTCTTGCCCTCGTATCCATGAAAAATGCTAAGCAAACTTGACTATTTATTTTACATTGTTGATACGTACTAAATGATAATACTAATACTAATGCACATACTCAAAAATGTTGTGCATATTAGTTGAAATGCAACGTGTAAATTGTTTTTATTGCTAATCGATTTCTTAGCACTATTTTTGTTAGTTTTCGGTTCTTTTAAAATCGTCAACTTCAAATTTGTAACAGTTCCTTTTCAAAATCGTATCCCACCTCTATTTTGTAAACTAAATGTCAACTGTCATGTGTGAAATTGAAATGAAAATAAACGAACTCCTTTTTCAAATCCGAACATTTATAACGGTGCGAGGCATAATGCTTGTAATTGATTGTAGTAATTGATACTATTTGTAACAGTTCCTTTTCAATATTATATCCCACCTCTATTCTCTCGCTAAACTAAACGTCAACTGTCAAAAGTTTAAATGTCAAATTGAAATAAAAAATAAACGAACATAACCTCTAATTAAACTACATTAGCTTATAATCAATTGATTTTTTATTCGTTATATTTTCCACGAAATAAATGATGCCTTCTTCATCTTCTCCGTTTAATGTTGACGGGGACGATTGTTTCTTCTTCGAATCCGAACATTTAGCATTGCGAGGAAATAAAGATTATTGCGAAGTCGTGAAGTCTCTGGTAGTTCTTTCGGCTCAACGGGAAAAACTGATAAAAGTGAGTAATTAACGCTTCAAACACCTCCTCGGAACCGTTCCTGTGATAGTAAATTTCAGGATTACAATAAAGTGGTGGAAATCCAAAAAACCGTAGTGGATAATCCGGAAATATTAGCCAAATTGGCCAAAGGGGAGGATTTGGGCATCGAATTACCTCCCATGTTCGACTTACACAAGGTAATTAAATACATTACATCTCTTATTCATCGCTTATACGCTCTTATTCAGCTCCCGGTGATAAACTTCGACAAATACAACGTAAAGCTGAAGCAATCGGACCTCGATGAAATTTACACCGATGTCGCGGACGATCCGGAGGATTGGAAAAAAGAACAAGAAAGCGTCAGAAGGGACAACTATCAGGTAAAACCCTTTTCAACGGGAGTTTTTAACCAGCTAATGCGACCTTTTTTTGTTGGGCAGACTTGGACGGCCGAAGAGCAGAAGAAACTCGAAGAATTGCTGATCAAACATCCCCCGGAGCTGATCGAACGGAGGCGATTCAAGAAAATTGCCAGCGAACTCGGTAATTAAACAAAGCATTTATTGAATTAAATTGTATTTTGAATGTTTTTTTTTTGTTTAAGGTAATCGTTCGTTAGCCCAAGTAACCAGTAGAATACAGAAATACTTTTTGAAACTTCACAAAGCCGGTTTGCCAATTCCCGGACGAATACCGAAAACTTTGGAGAAGAAAGTAAGCTTATTAAATTTCAGTTCTAAAGTATTCTGAAGCGTTCTAAATAGTTTCAGACAGTTCTAGAATGATTCTAAAGCATTCTAAATGGTTTTCGACGAATCTAAATGATTGTAGAGAATTCTAAATGGTTTCAGACAGTTCTAGAATGATTCTGAAGCGTTCTAAATGGTTTCAGACAGTTCCAGAATGATTCTGAAGCCTTCTAAATGGTTTCAGACAGTTCTAGAATGATTCTGAAGCCTTCTAAATGGTTTCAGACAGTTCTAGAATGATTCTGAAGCGTTCTAAATGGTTTCAGACAGTTCTAGAATGATTCTGAAGCGTTCTAAATGGTTTTGGACGAATCTAAATGATTCTAGAGAATTCTAAAAGCGTTCTAAATGGTTTCAGACAGTTCCAGAATGATTCTGAAGCCTTCTAAATGGTTTCAGACAGTTCTAGAATGATTCTGAAGCGTTCTAAATGGTTTTGGACGAATCTAAATGATTCTAGAGAATTCTAAAAGCGTTCTAAATGGTTTCAGACAGTTCCAGAATGATTCTGAAGCCTTCTAAATGGTTTCAGACAGTTCTAGAATGATTCTGAAGCGTTCTAAATGGTTTCAGACAGTTCTAGAATGATTCTGAAGCGTTCTCAATGCTTTTGGACGAATCTAAATGATTCTAGAGAATTCTAAAAGCGTTATAAATGGTTTCAGACAGTTCCAGAATGATTCTGATGCGTTCTAAATGGTTTCAGACAGTTCTAGAATGATTCTGAAGCGTTCTGAATGGTTCTGGACGAATCTAAATGATTCTAGAGAATTCTAAAAGCGTTCTAAATGGTTTCAGACAGTTCTAGAATGATTCTGAAGCGTTCTAAATGGTTTTGGACGAATCTAAATGATTCTAGAGAATTCATTCTAAATGATTCTGATGCGTTCTAAATGGTTCCAGACAATTCTAGAATGATTCTGAAGCGTTCTAAATAGTTCTAGACAGTATTTAGTACATATTTTGCCTATTTGTAAAGCATATATTTTCCAATCTCTATTTATAATCAATTTTTCAGAAACCTTTTTCGCACAAACACCAACGGTACAACCACTTTTTACTGAAACCGACGACGTTCTTCCCCGAATTCAACACGCCTGTTACCATGAACGAGCTAACGGAAGAGGCTCCGGGGCCTTTTACCAATCAGCCGTCCACATCCACTTCCACATCGAGCAATTACTTGATGGCTGTAAATTACCAATACGACGCCGAAATCGCCAATAAGAGCAAAGGAGAACTCCAATTGGATCTGCTAAAGAGGATCAAAGAGGAGAAGATGAAGGAGAGCGACGATTACCAACATTCCGGTTATAAAGTAAGCGATGGAAAATATCGGATTCGGAAGTTTTTTTTTTTTTTTATAACCAAATGGTTTTGTAACCGACGATTATACAGAATGAGTGTGAACAGTTGTAAATGGTTTGTAGATTGTAGAGCGTTCTAAAATTGTTTTAGACAGTTCGAAATGGTTCTGGAGCGCTCTAAATGAGTGTGGAGAGTTAGAAATGATTCTGGAGCGTTCTAAATGAACCTGGAGTGTTCTAAATGATTTTATATCGTTCTAAAATTGTTCTAGACAGTTCGAAATGATTCTGGAGCGTTCTAAATGAGCCTGGAGTGTCCTAAATGGTTATAGAGCGTTCTAAAATTGTTCTAGACAGTTCGAAATTGTTCTGGAGCGTTCTAAATGAGTTTGGAGAGTTCTAAATGGTTATAGAGCGTAGAATGACACGCTCTTTCAATTCGCATGGTCAAAATTGGGTTTTGCCATTTAAAAAAATTATCGATGACGTCATATCTCGAATAACGATTACGTCACAAATATGGAGCGTATATCAAAAAGTGCATTTGTTTAAAACAAAATCGACGTGTCAGAGGATTTTTTCGAATAACTCTTAATTTCAGAAATAATGAATTTATTCATTACTTTTCGAATGCACTGTATATTTATACAGGGTGTCCCAATAGTGCGGTAAAGCCAATTTACTCAGTTATTATGATAGATACGAAAAAATGATAAATAGGAAAAAGGTGAGGCACCTTTAGGCGCATAATATAAAATTATTTAGATATATACAGGGTGCTCCATAAATCGAAGCCATACCAAACATACCTTTTTTTAAATGTAATGATATATTTTTTATTTCATATTTGAATTCAGCTCGTTTTTACAAGTTTCTCAATATAACATTTCATATGACTATACTGAGTATTTAAAAAGTTATGGTAATTTTTATGTTCAAATCGTCATGACTTCAAGGCCCTGTATATCAGAATCTGTATCAGATAATGTGAATTTTTCTGTGTCAGCACTTTTTGAAAATGTCTATTTTCACAAAAATTAGTTACATTTTGACAAAATTACAATTTGTATACAGGGTGAGTCAAAACGCAAACATAATAATTACTCGCTTAATTTAAATGGAACACCCTATATTAATAATATCCAATGGGAAGTCTATTTCTTACTGAATCTTTTTTCATAACATTTCCCTATACCTAACTGTCATCGTTTCTGAGATATTTTCAGTTTTATTAAAAAATGTCCAGTTTTTGATATTATAATTTCATTTTAATCTTATTACCAATGACGTCGTTGAACTTTTTGTGCTAAATAATAGTAGAAAATGTAATATCGATTAATTAACGATCATTAACTACCCGAAATATTTGGTAATTTTTAAATTAAACTTTAAATAATTATAATTTTAATTTAATCTAGTTACCTCTATGACGTCATCATCTACGAACTATGCGAATTTGACTTATTGAACTCGTGTCACTTTAAATTATAGAATAACTAAAAATTTAGTGTACCTGCTAATAGGTTTGTTCCTACAAAAAGTCACTGATTTGTTACCAATAAGTTTCTGACTCTTCTATTTCGCATGCGCGGTTTATGATTGAATGGTGTAATCAAATTTCCGATTTCTTGATGGAACAGTCTTTACATTTATTACATATATTCACCAAATATCAAACAAAAACAACAAACAACATAACCTAATAATTAACCTATATTCAGAAATACAAATTAAACTCTAATTGAAAATGCGCTTGCGCCGGATTCTAAATCTCTGTACTATCAGCAAATTTTTCTGACTATCACAAAACCAGTCCCTTGAACTGTTGGAACAATAAATTGTTAACCAAATCAGAATCAGAGATGTTTGTGGAGTTTGTTGGAACGCCTAAATTATTACTGCGCAGACTCCTGACGACCACCGACTATTTCTGACTGTTGTAGGAACAAACCTAATGATATTTGATTAATCATTAATCGATAGTATTTATATGATTTTACCAACGGAAAACGCCGTTAATTAATTAATTAATTAATTCTTTTTTTTTTAGTGCGATTACTGCAAATGCGAACCGATAATCGGCAGCCGATGGCATTGCATGCTGTGCCCCGAATCCGTGGATTATTGCACCGATTGCGCGGTATCGCAGATGTATTCGAACAACGCCCATCCCTTTACCCATCCGATGGCCGTTTCCCGAGGGGACGAACGGTATAATTTGGGCGGCGGCGAAACGCGAATTTCGCCGATGGCGAACGAGGAATCGTCGAACGACAGTTACGGATTGGAATTGGGCGATAACGAGGAGGAGAACGAAGAAGATTCGTCGGGGGGCGCGAACGAGGACGGTTCGAATGAGTAAAAATGGGCGATTGTATGATTATTAATGGATGTTGAAATATATTATATTATTTTTCTTATTAAGATGAAATGTTATTGTTTAGTTCTAAACCGTTCTGAATGATTTTGGAGCGTTCTAAATGGTTGTAGAAGAGCGTTCGAAATGGTTTTAGACAGTTCCACATTATTCTGGAGCTTTCTAAAATTGTTCTAGACTGTTCGAAATGGTTCTGGAGCGTTCTAAATGAGTGTGGAGAGTTCTAAATGGTTCTAGAGCGTTCTAAAATTGTTCTAGACAGTTCAAAATGGTTCTGGAGCGTTCTAAAATTGTTCAAGACAGTTCGAAATGGTTCTGAAGCGTTCTAAATGAGCCTGGACAGTTCCAAGTGGTTCTAGAGCGTTCTAAAATTGTTCAAGACAATTTGAAATGGTTCTAGAGCGTTCTAAATGAGCCTGGAAAGTTCCAAATAGTTCTAGAGCGTTCTGAAATTGTTCAAGACAGTTCGAAATGGTTCTGGAGCGTTCTAAATGAGCCTGGACAGTTCCAAGTGGTTCTAGAGCATTCTAAAATTGTTCGCCGATGGCGAACGAGGAATCGTCGAATGACAGTTATGGGTTAGAATTGGGCGATAACGAGGAGGAGAACGAAGCAGATTCGTCGGGGGGCGCGAACGAGGACGGTTCGAATGAGTAAAAATGGTCGATTGTATGATTATTAATGGATGTTGAAATATATTACATTATTCTTCTTATTAAGATGAATTATTATTCTTTAGTTTTAAACAGTTCTGAATGATTTTGGAGCGTTGTAAATGGTTGTAGAAGAGCGTTCTAAAATTGTTCTAGACATTTCGAAATGGTTCTGGAGCGTTCTAAATGAGTTTGGATAGTTCTAAATGGTTCTAGGGCGTTCTAAATGGTTTTAGACAATTCGAAATAAGTGTGGAGAGTTCTAAATGAGTGTGGAGGGTTCTAAGTGATTCTAAGGCGTTCTAAAATTGTTCTAGACAGTTCGAAATGATTCTGGAGCGTTATAAATGGTTGTAGAGAAGCGTTCTAAATGGTTTTAGACAGTTCCACATTACTCTGGAGCGTTCTAAATGGGTCTGGAGCTTTCTAAAATTGTTCTAGACAGTTCGAAATGGTTCTGGAGCGTTCTAAATGAGTAAGGAGAGTTCTAAATGATTCTAGAGCGTTCTAAAATTGCTCTAGACAGTTCGAAATGAGTGTGGAGAGTTCTAAATGAGTGTGGAGGGTTCTAAATGATTCTAGGGCGTTCTAAAATTGTTCTAGACAGTTCGAAATGGTTCTGGAGTGTTCTAAATATAGCCTGGAGAGTGCTAAATGAGCCTGGAGAGTTCTAAATGGTTCTAGAGCGTTCTAAATATAGCCTGGAGAGTTCTAAATATAGCCTGGAGAGTTCTAAATGGTTCTAGAGCGTTCTAAATATAGCCTGGAGAGTTCTAAATGGTTCTAGAGCGTTCTAAATATAGCCTGGAGAGTTCTAAATGAGCCTGGAGAGTTCTAAATGGTTCTGGAGCGTTCTAAATGAGCTTGTAGAGTTCGAAATGATTCTGGAGCGTTCTAAAATTGTTCTAGACAGTTTGAAATGGTTCTGGAGCGTTCTAAATGAGCTTGTAGAGTTCTAAATGATTCTAGAGCGTTCTAAAATTGTTCTAGACAGTTCGAAATGATTCTAGAGCGTTTTAAATGAGCCTGGAGAGTTCTAAATGGTTCTAGAGAGTTCTAAAATTGTTCTAGACAGTTCGAAATGATTCTGGAGCGTTTTAAATAAGCCTGGAGAGTTCTAAATGAGCCTGGAAAGGTCTAAAATTGTTCTAGACAGTTCGAAATGGTTCTGGAGCGTTCTTAATGAGTGTGGGGAGTTCTAAATGGTTCTAGAGAGTTCTAAAATTGTTCTAGACAGTTCGAAATGATTCTGGAGCGTTTTAAATAAGCCTGGAGAGTTCTAAATGAGCTTGGAGAGTTCTAAAATTGTTCTAGACAGTTCGAAATGGTTCTGGAGCGTTCTAAATGAGTGTGGAGAGTTCTAAATGGTTCTAGAGCGTTCTAAAATTGTTGTTTATTAAATTATTGTATAATTTAAAAACAATCTAAAGCATCAAACCATATTCAACCACTGTTTTATAATCCTAACGTGAAACCTCCTAGCCTCTATAACGTAATTATTATCAGCCGGATCGGCCCGTCTAAAATCCACATGATGAGGACCGTCGGTGATATTAAACGCCAACACCGTTGAAGAAACATTCGAAAACACCCCTCCCACCGACCAGGGATCCATCAAACCATTCTAAAATTGTTCTAGACAGTTCGAAATGAGTCTGGAGCTTTCCAAATGAGCCTGGAGAGTTCTAAATGGTTCTAGAGCGTTCTAAATATAGCCTGGAGTGTTCTAAATGGTTGCAGAGCGTTCTAAAATTGTTCTAGACAGTTCGAAATGATTCTAGAGCGTTCTAAAATTGTTCTAGACAGTTCGAAATGAGTCTGGAGCGTTCTAAATGCTTGTAGATCACATATAACGTTAACCGGATAATCGACGGTTGCTTATTAAATTACCGTATAATTTATTGAATGAAAAAAAAATCTAAAACATCAAACCATATTCAACCACTGTTTTATAATCCTAACGTGAAACCTCCTAGCCTCTATAACGTAATTATTATCGGCCGGATCGGCCCGTCTAAAATCCACATGATGAGGACCGTCGGTGATATTAAACGCCAACACCGTTGAAGAAACATTCGAAAACACCCCTCCCACCGACCAGGGATCCATCAAACCGTTCTAAAATTGTTCTAGACAGTTCGAAATGGTTCTGGAGCGTTCTAAATGAGTTTGGAGAGTTCTAAATGGTTCTAGAGCGTTCTAAAATTGTTCTAGACAGTTCGAAATGGTTCTGGAGCGTTCTAAATGAGTTTGGAGAGTTCTAAATGGTTCTAGAGCGTTCTAAAATTGTTCTAGACAGTTCGAAATGGTTCTGGAGCGTTCTAAATGAGTTTGGAGAGTTCTAAATGATTCTAGAGCGTTCTAAAATTGTTGTTTATTAAATTATCGTATAATTTATTGAATGAAAAAAAATCTAAAGCATCAAACCATATTCAACCACTGTTTTATAATCCTAACGTGAAACCTTCTAGCCTCTATAACGTAATTATTATCGGCCGGATCGGCCCGTCTAAAATCCACATGATGAGGACCGTCGGTGATATTAAACGCCAACACCGTTGAAGAAACATTCGAAAACACCCCTCCCACCGACCAGGGATCCATCAAACCGTTGCTGAACACCAAATTCGAATAGTGCCTCAGATTTTTCCCGCCGTACGCCATCGCCGGCCAATCGCGGCCCAATCCGCGCACGCCGAACCGCTCGTAGCAGGCCTCGGAATGGCCTTCGTAGCTCCACGACTTGGTCGGGAACATGTCGCCCTCTAGCGAGCATTTCGGCATCGCCAGCTCGACGCAGGTCTGGTAACTCCACGCTATCTCGGCCGGCTCTTCGTACGAACCGTTTACGTTGTTGCAGGATCTTTTGCCGGTGTAGTTGGTGTAAATCGCCAAGGCCGTGGCGAAGCGATCGATCAGGCCTTTGGTGTCGTTGAAGTAGGCCGTGGTGAGTTTGTCGCAGAATATTTTCACGGGGTAGGCCGGTAGGGGCGCGACGAAATCGGCGGGGTAATGGTAATTGAACATCGACAGGTTTTCGTAGACGGAGCCCAGCCAATCAAGCAGCCTGCGCACGTCTTCGGCTGTCTTCAACGGTTTGCACAGCTTCCACGAGGAGGATATGAAGTCCATGCCTGGAATATTCCCATATGGCGGTGTTGTAGTTTTAACTCGCAAGATGGCGCTATAGATACTGAGGAAAGTTCTCCGACCTGATAATGAAAGACCGCGATTTTTAGTTGAAACCTTTGACATTTGACATTGTTCTTATTATTAAATCGAAAATGTTTCGTTCTAGGCAGTTTTAAATGATTCAGGGGATTTTAAATGGGCCTGGAGAGTCCTAAATGATTCTGGAGCATTCTAATTAATGGTACTAGACACTTTTAAATGATTCAGGAGAGTTTTCAATGAGCGTTTTAAATGGGTCTGGAGAGTCCTAAATGATTCTGGAGCATTCTAAATGGTTTTAGACAGTTTTAAAAAATTCAGGAGAGTTTTAAATGGGCCTGAAGAGTCCTAAATGATTCAGGAGTGTTTTAAATGGGCCTGGAGAGTCCTAAATAATTCTGGAGCCTTTTAAATGGGCCTCGAGAGTCCTAAATATTTCTGGAGTATTCTAATTAATGGTACTAGACAATTTTAAATGTTTCAGGAACGCTATAAATGGTTCTAAACAGTTCCAGATCTTTCCTAAAAGTTTCCCGATAGTTCTAAATGATTCTAGACTGTTCTAGAATTAATTATCGAGGAATTCGACGAGAATTTGCGCTGATCGGATCGCCCTCGCCGCATCAAACCGAGAACTTTCCTACCTTCGCGCAAGCGCAGTAGCAACATTTGCCCACTTTCGTTCAGGACAGATTAAGCAAGGCGTCCCAGCCGAATCTGGAGCATTCTAAATGGTTTTAGACAGGTTTAAGTGATTCAGGAGAGTTTTAAATGGGCCTGGAGAGTCCTAAATGATTTTGGAGCCTTTTAAATGGGCCTGGAAAGTCCTAAATGATTCTGGAGCGTTCTAAATGGTTCTAAACAGTTCCGGATCTTTTCTAAAACTTTCCGCATAGTTCTAATTGGTTCTAGACTGTTCTAGAATTAATTATCCGCCGCATCAAGCCTAGAACTTTCCCGCCTTCGCGCAAGCGCAGTAGCAACATTTACCTAGTTTCGTTCGGGACAGATTAAGCAAGGCGTCCCAGCCGATTCTGGAGCATTCTAAATGGTTTTAGACAGTTTTAAATGATTCAGGAGAGTTTTAAATGAGCCTGGAGAATCCTAAATGATTCTGGAGTCTTTTAAATGGGCCTGGAAAGTCCTAAATGATTCTGGAGCATTCTAAACGGTTCTAGACAGTTTTAAATGGGCCCGGAAAGTCGTAAATGATTGGGAAGAGTTTTAAATGGGCCTAGAGAGTCCTAAATGATTCTGGAGAATTCTAAATGGTTTTAGACAGTTTTTAATGATTCAGGAGAGTTTTAAATGATTCAGGAGAGTTTTAAATGGGCCTAGAGAGTCCTAAATGATTCTGGAGAATTCTAAATGGTTTTAGACAGTTTTTAATGATTCAGGAGAGTTTTAAATGATTCAGGAGAGTTTTAAATGGGCCTAGAGAGTCCTAAATGATTCTGGAGAATTCTAAATGGTTATAAACAGTTTTTAATGATTCAGGAGAGTTTTAAATGATTCTGGAGAATTCTAAATGGTTATAAACAGTTTTTAATGATTCAGGAGGGTTTTAAATGATTCTGGAGAATTCTAAATGGGTTTAGACAGTTTTTAATGATTCAGGAGAATTTTAAATGAGCCTAGAAAGTCCTAAATGATTCTGGAGCATTCTAAATGGTTTTAGACAGTTTTTAATGATTCAGGAGAGTTTTAAATGATTCAGGAGAGTTTTAAACGATTCAGGAGAGTTTTAAATGGGCCTAGAGAGTCCTAAATGATTCTGAAGAATTCTAAATGGTTATGAACAGTTTTTAATGATTCAGGAGAGTTTTAAATGATTCTAGAGAATTCTAAATGGTTTTAGACAGTTTTTAATGATCCAGGAGAGTTTTAAATGATTCAGGAGAGTTTTAAATGATTCAGGAGAGTTTTAAATGGTTCAGGAGAGTTTTAAATGGGCCTGTGAAGAGTCCTAAATGATTCTGGAGCCTTTTAAATGGGCCCTGAGAGTCCTTAATGATTCTGGAGCATTCTAAATGGTTTTAGACAGTTTTAAATGATTCAGGAGAGTTTAAAATGCGGATCTAGCCGCATCAAACCGAGAACTTTCCCCCCTATCGCGCAAGCGCATTATCAACATTTACCCAGTTTGGTTCGGGACAGATTCAGCACGGCCTCCCAGCCGATTCTGGAACATTCTAAATGGTTATAGACAGTTCTAAAAGATTTAGGAGAGTTTTAAATGATTCTGTAGTGTTTTAAATGGGCCTGGAAAGTCCTTAATGATTCTGGAGCATTCTAAATGGTTTTAGACAGTTTTAAATGATTCAGGAGAGTTTTAAATGGACCTGGAGAGTCCTAAATGATTGTGGAGCATTCTAAATGGTTTTAGACAGTTTTAAATGATTCAGGAGAGTTTTAAATGGACCTGGAGAGTCCTAAATGATTGTGGAACATTCTAAATGGTTTTAGACACTTTTAAATGATTCAGGAGAGTTTTAAATGGACCTTTGAAGAGTCCTTAATGATTCTGGAGCCTTTTAAATGGGCCCTGAGAGTTCTTAATGATTCTGGAGCATTCTAAATGGTTATAGACAGTTCTAAAAGATTTAGGAGAGTTTTAAATGATTCTGTAGTGTTTTAAATGGGCCCTGAGAGTCCTTAATGATTGTGGAGCATTCTAAATGGTTTTAGACAGTTTTAAATGATTCAGGAGAGTTTTAAATGGACCTGTGAAGAGTCCTAAATGATTGTGGAGCATTCTAAATGGTTTTAGACAGTTTTAAATGATTCAGTAGAGTTTTAAATGGACCTGGAGAGTCCTAAATGATTGTGGAGCATTCTAAATGGTTTTAGACACTTTTAAATGATTCAGGAGAGTTTTAAATGGACCTGTGAAGAGTCCTAAATGATTCTGGAGCCTTTTAAATGGGCCCTGAGAGTCCTTAATGATTCTGGAGCATTCTAAATGGTTATAGACAGTTCTAAAAGATTTAGGAGAGTTTTAAATGATTCTGTAGTGTTTTAAATGGGCCCTGAGAGTCCTTAATGATTGTGGAGCATTCTAAATGGTTTTAGACACTTTTAAATGATTCAGGAGAGTTTTAAATGGACCTGTGAAGAGTCCTAAATGATTCTGGAGCCTTTTAAATGGGCCCTGAGAGTCCTTAATGATTCTGGAGCATTCTAAATGGTTTTAGACAGTTTTAAATGATTCAGGAGAGTTTAAAATGCGGATCTAGCCGCATCAAACCGAGAACTTTCCCCCCTATCGCGCCAGCGCATTATCAACATTTACCCAGTTTCGTCCGAGACAGATTCAGCACGGCGTCCCAGCCGAGTTCGACCGTCCTGACGCACCGCTCGCCGCCGTACCGTCGGAAAACGCGCGTGATTTGCGCGTTGAACGCCGCGCAACCGACGGTGAGGCCGGGAAAGTGGAAAATCGGCGCCGACGAGGCGACGGCGCCGACCACCTCGTAGGGGTATTTCATTCGCAGCCAGGCGGCCAACATGCCGCCGTAGGAGCCGCCGAACGCGACGAACGGATAGGTGTCGTACGATAGGACGTCGCCGAAGAAGGTCCTTCTCAAGGCTTCGATGGTGTAGGCGAAGTCGGCTAGCGCTTGCGTGGTGGTTAGATATCTACAAAAAAAAAAATGAACGAATAAATTGATGGGTAATATTTGGAAGGTGATAGGGACGAGGGGTATATAAGCACTTAAAACGGTTTAGGATCGTTTTTAGAACGCTTCAGAAGCGTTTAAAACTGTTTAGAACTATATTTTAGAACGGTTCAGAATCAATTAGAATCAATAAATTAACAGTTCTAACTGATTCTGACGCGTTCTAAATATGGTTCTAGACAGTTTTAAACGCTTCTGAAGCGTTCTAAATGTTTCTAAACCGTTTTAAACGCTTCTAAAGCTTTCTAAATGATTCTAAACCGTTTTAAGTGCTTCTGGAGCGTTCTAAACAGTTCTAATTGATTCTGACGCGTTCTAAATATGGTTCTAGACAGTTTTAAACGCTTCTGAAGCGTTCTAAATGTTTGTAAACCGTTTTAAACGCTTCTAAAGCTTTCTAAATGATTCTAAACCGTTTTAAGTGCTTCTGGAGCGTTCTAAACAGTTCTAATTGATTCTGAAGCGTTCTAAATATGGTTCCAGACAGTTTTAAACGCTTCTGAAGCGTTCTAAATGTTTGTAAACCGTTTTAAGTGCTTCTGAGAACAGTTTTTAATGATTCAGGAGAGTTTTAAATGATTCTGGAGAATTCTAAATGGTTATAAACAGTTTTTAATGATTCAGGAGAGTTTTAAATGATTCTGGAGAATTCTAAATGGTTTTAGACAGTTTTTAATGATTCAGGAGAGTTTTAAATGATTCAGGAGAGTTTTAAATGAGCCTGGAAAGTACTAAATGATTCTGGAGCATTCTAAATGGTTATAGACAGTTTTAAATGATTCAGGAACGCTCTAAATGGTTCTAAACAGTTCCGAATCTAGCCGCATCAAACCGAGAACTTTCCCATCCCATCCCATCCCAGCTTCTGGAGCGTTCTAAACAGTTCTAATTGATTCTGAAGCGTTCTAAATATGGTTCCAGACAGTTTTAAACGCTTCTGAAGTGTTCTAAATGATTCTAAACCGTTTTAAGTGCTTCTGAAGCGTTCTAAATGGTTCTTAATAATACTAATGATTAATAAATGCCTATATATCAAATTAGTTCCAAATGGTTTTAGACTGTTTTAATTGCTTCTAGGGGGCGTTCTAAACAGTTCTAATTGATTTTGAAGCGTTATAAATATGGTTCTAGACAGTTTTAAACGCTTCTGAAGCTTTCTAAATGTTTCTAAACCGTTTTAAACGCTTCTGGAGCGTTCTAAACAGTTCTAATTGATTCTGAAGCGTTCTAAATATGGTTCTAGACAGTTTTAAACGCTTCTGAAGCGTTCTAAATGTTTGTAAACCGTTTTAAACGCTTCTGAAGCGTTCTAAATATGGTTCTAGACAGTTTTAAACGCTTCTGAAGCGTTCTAAATGGTTCTTAATAATACTAATGATTAATAAATGCCTACCCAGATAACACGTAAGCTTGTGACAAGGTTGTCATGTACTTGTCATGTCCTTGTCATGACAAGCTTTACATGACAAGCTTACATAAGGTTACTGCAAGGTTGTTTTGACAACGTTATAAGATTGTCACATCCTTGTCATGATAAGCTTATCATGACAAGCTTTTATAGGGTTACCGCAAGGTTGTTTTAACAACGTTATAAGATTGTCACATCCTTGTCATGATAAGCTTTATATGACAAGCTTATATAAGGTTACTCCAAGATTGTACTAACAATCTTGTGATTGTCAAGGTTACTATAGGGTTGTGGCTACAATGTTTTTGCAAGGTTTAATTATACAAGCTTATTTAGAAAAGTTTTGTAGACTGTATAAAAAGTTAAAAAAATCAAAATGAGCTTGTGCAAAAGTTATTAATACGGTACAAACATTAATATCAAATATTTGAAAAGACATTTCTATATTGTACATATATTTAATATATTTAATTAATTATTTAATATTATTTATTATATTTATACATAAAATATCTTATAACGATACTACAAACTTTAAAGATCTTATTCTGATATCAATTACGCATTTGCAAGAAATAAGATAGTGTCCAAGTTAAATCCGGTAGTGTCGCGTACATACTTTAAAGTATTGGTAACCGTATTTTTTACCGACCGTCACTCGTTGAGAGGGGTAGAGGGTAAGTTTCTAAAATTCCAAATTTGGTGCACTTTGCTAGCCATTGCTAACGCTATCGCCTTGTGTATACGTTCGCTCTTATATTTACGCTCTTGCTTATTTTTTTCTGCTTTTTATACTGTTGGTTTGCTGCTTTTCGCAAGCTATAGTGATCTACTTTTATTTTTGAAAGGTAAGTCAAAGTTTTATTTTTTCTTAACATTTCGATTTTATTTGAACTAAATTGTTAGTGCCGGTTTACCCAAAATTATGTCTAGAAAACCATTTAACGAAATGTCGCGATCTGGGAAACATAAACGGGTGAGGAAAATGTTGCGGGTAATGAATGATGAACAGGATAATTTCACAGAAAAATCTCGTTTCGTTAATACGTCCCATCTAATTCATGGTTCCAATGAAATTGAACAATGTCCATCTTCACTTATGTGGAATGAATTTGAAGCTTTTTTCTCTAATGAGTTACCTCAATCTTCAGCTGACGATTCAAATCCCATTTTTGAACCATCATATCAAAATATTGTTCCGACGGATAATAATGAATTAATTAAAGTACAATTAATTTATTGGGCTATTAAAAATAATATAACACAAGTAGCTTTAACTGCCTTGATTACTATTCTTAATCAGCACAAGTGCTTTCATTTTCCAGCAGATGCTAGAACTCTTCTAAGTACCCCAAAATCCGTAATTGTTCGAGACGTTCCACCAGGTCAATACTCACATATAGGTTTGAGTTTTAATTTAAAAAAAATACTCGATACCATTACTCTTACATGTAATTCTATTCATTTGCACATAAATATTGATGGACTTCCTTTATTCAAAAGTACTGGAAGTGACTTATGGCCTATTTTGGGTTCAATTTCAAATATTCCAGAATTGTCGTCTATAGTTTTTCCAATAGGTATATTTTACGGAAAAACGAAACCTAACTCTAGAGAATTGTTTTTATTAGATTTTGTTAAAGAAAGTATCGAATTAATCAAGGAAGGTTTTTTGTATAAAGAAAAATTATATTCTATTAAAATTAAAGCCATAATTTGTGATGCTCCCGCGAAATCATTTATTTTCGGCATTAAAGGTCACGCAGGTTACAGTTCCTGTACCAGGTGCAATGAAGTTGGATGCCGAAATAATAATCGAACTATTTTTCCTAATTTAAATGGTATACCACGGACACATCAAACCTTTGTTGATAAATCTGATGAAGAACATCATGTTGCTGATACTCCTTTAATAAACATCCCTGATTTCGATTGTATTACCAATGTTCCTTTAGATTATCTTCACGTTGTTTGTCTTGGAGTGATGCGAACTCTTTTATTTACTTGGGTTAACGGGCCTGCTCATCCCTGTAAATTTCCAGCCGCGATCATCAATAAGATATCTTCTGGAATGATTTCTTTATCAAAATATATTCCACACGAATTTAACCGAAAGGGTCGTAGTTTGAATGAATTAAACAGGTGGAAAGGTACTGAATATAGACATTTCTTACTTCTTCAAGGGCCCGTTCTTTTAAAAGAAATTTTACAGTCTCTTAATAACGGTTTAGAAATTTATAATCATTTCATGAGTCTATCAATTGCTATGGCCATTTTATTGAATCCGAAATTTTGCACTAATTATCAAGAATATGCTAGAAATCTGTTACATCATTTTATTAAAACAACGGAAAATCTTTACGGATCGTATTATTTGACACATAATTTTCATGCTCTCGCCCATATTGCTGATGACGTTACTACTTATGGCTGCCTTGACAACTGTAGCACTTTCAAGTACGAAAACTGTCTTCAATTTTTTAAAAGACACATTCGAAAAGGTGCCCAACCCCTACAACAAATAATTAATAGACTGACAGAAATGTCAGAGGCAGATTACTGGTTTTCAAATACTAAAGCCTACAAAAATCAATTAGTAGGGCCCCAATTAGTAGGGCCTCATTCGAACGGGCCAATTTTTTCCGATTGCGATACTATATCATCTATACAGTATTCGACTATTCAATTTTCAAATTTTAAAATTTCAATTTCATCGCCAAATTCGTATTGCTGTTTAAAAAATGGAACCATTGTAAATGTTCAAAATATTATTTATTCAAAGAAATTTCAAAATTCTGTAGTTTTGTACAAAAAATTCGAAACAATTGAAAATTTTTTCGACCACCCTTTCGCTAAAAGTTCAGTATTTGACATTTTCCTTGTTTCTAATTTATCTCAACAATTATTTCATTCTCCAATTTCTGATATCGCTTTTAAAATGATTTTATTTCCTAGTCGCCAAAAATATGCTGCTTTTCCATTAATGCATTCAACAAATCATTCCTAGATCCCAATTACAAGTAGGTACAAATAAAAGTGTAGGCCAACAGCCCGACCATTTCACTGATGGGAAAGTCGTTTTTTTAGATTTGCTACAAATATAATGTGAAAGTTTTTTTTTTACAATTATTTTGGATAGATACTAGATCTTTTCTAACAAAATTTTAAAATACCCTCATAAAACCCTAAATGTGTAGGAATATTTTTAAGCACTTGAAAACACATGGGCACACTTGATGGGGTTTCTTAACAATTTCGGCAGATGTTCGACGAGATTTACAAAAGTCACAATTTATTACTTTTTCTACCTCGTTTTTTTAAAATTCATGAACTAAATATATTGGTTCTTTACTGCAATAATTTTACTAATTATACCATTCGAAATAAGATTTGAGAATATTTCGTTTTTAAAAGGTCATTGTTAATTTTGCGTGGAAAATAATATAATATTTTTGACTTCCTGTAGATAGATTATTCAATAATGAAGTACGCAATTGTATTGTTTGTGGACGAGGGAGACGCACCAGATGTGGTTCCCAGAAGTTGGATTTCTGAAAGTCTGAAGGTATGCAGATATCCACACGTTAAAACGGAATTTGCAAAAAAAAAACTTGTTTTGGCGTCGGCAATTCCCCAGGAAAATTGGCTGGAATACCAAATTAAATTTTTAAAGGAATTTTGTAAGTATTTTTTCAATTCCTACAATTATTTCAAAGTCTCTTATGTGTATATCTTGTTTAAATTTTCAATAGTTAATAAAATAATTTTGTTTTATCCCTTCGAGTTCAAATAAATTTTTCTGAACTTGTAGTTCAAACAGTTATTCATAAATTAAATTTAATTACGTAATTTTAAGTTTATGCGTGTATTCCTCATGCCTTCGGTTCGAATCTCTTCGAATCAATTTTTTTTATTTTTAATTATTTTTAAGTTATTTTTTTTACGAGACAATTACAAGGAGGACAATTTAAGAAAAAAATTTTTTATATTTTAATAAAATTTATTTTTTAGCATCGTACGATGCGGCGTTGGATCATCTCAGTGATGCCGAGAACCTCTCCCAGGTAGAGTCCTGGACAGGGCATTCCTCCCTCTCAACGAGGAAGAGGAAGAGAAAAATAATCCGCCTACCGGGAGAGAGTAGCTGCAGCGGCAGTGAAGATGAACTGCTGGCGTTGCCCACGGCGGTCAGCCAGTTATCGCAACGGTATCCTTCTCCGCCTCCACCTCTACCATCTTCCCAATCCTCCTATATTAACAATCCCCAAAATTCCCCAATACCATCCCCAGAACCATTGAGGGAACCAACGACATCATACGAAACACCCAATACTTCGAATGGTAATTTACTTAGTGATAAATATTACAAATTACACAACATGACAACACTGTCGATGAGATTTTTAACCAGAATTTTATTATTTTTATACAAGTACAATATTTCTCGTAAAATACATCTTTTTTTTATTTCTTTTAGTTAACAATTCGAGCAGGGTGAATCAGAAATTGATGTGGGATGCGATAACTGGCATAATGACAAAGCTGGAGGCAATCGAAAATAGACAAATTATGATGATGGCAATGCTGCAAAGCAATTCTTCCAACAAGGAGGATGACGGCAGCGATATCTTTGCAGAATTGCCAGCATCTAATTTAGAGACATTTACGAAATTGAACGATAGTTTGAAAAGAGTGTCGTTCAAAAAAAGTCTTGTAAGTATTACTTACTTTCTTTACTTATTAGGTATTACTTGTATAAGCTCGTATACCTACTTCCAAATTATTTCCAATTATTTGTCCCTAAAATTAATGACTAATTTGTTTTATTCTAGTCCAAAATTTTATTATGTTCCGGTGGGAGGGACGGGCGGGCGCTAACATTGGCAATTTTGAGGAAGACCGTGGGGGATACTTTAGCGGTGGAGTATTCCCTCACGGGAAGAGGAAAAAAGAGGCCGTTCGAGCAATTGCCATTATTTTCGTTTATAATGGGTAAGTGATTATAGCAAATTTCATTATACCTTGTGATGCATGTCAGTTTGCAATATATATTGCATATGGTATATATTACCATATGGTAATTTCGGTGGATTACTAAAATTACAGTTGTTAGAGTGATATCTTTATTGCAAACTGAAATAAATCAACCTGTATGCATTACTCAAATTATATAGACAATTAACATATCCATTTTTTTGCAGAAACGTGCCTTCAATGTTTTGAAGGCACAAAAGAATTGGCCATAAGAGATGCGATTAGCGAATGGCTAATGCAGGCAAAATTTCGTCAAAGCCGAAGGTATGGTTTATTTGATTTTTTATCCTTGCCGTACTTACATCACTATAATAACATTTTTTTCTTTTACAGGGAGGCCCGTCAAAATAAGACCAATTAGAATATTTATTTTTATATGTTTTTTTGTATATTTTTATTTTTTAATTTATAATGTTTTATATTTGTATAGTTTAAGTTTTGTAAATTTTGTATATATTCTAATTTTAGTATTCTTAGTATTATTTATATTTTTAAGTTTTTTGTATTATATTTTTTTATTTTAATATACTTTTATATTTATAATTCGTATTTGTATCAATTAGAAAATAAAAATAAATATTAATAATTATATAATATTTCTATTTTTAATATTTTGACCTTTGCAAAAAATATTTATTTTAAATTTATTAATTTTATTATTTATTAAATTTTAAATTTATTTTATTAAAAACTTTTCACAAGCTTGTAATAGCATTTTCATTAGCTTGTCGTAAACCTATTTCAAGAACATTGCTAAAAGCTTGTCGTAGCCTTTCCATACCGTTGTTATAACCTTTTCACAAGCTTGTCATAACCTTTACTTATGCTTGTCAAGAACGTTTTTAAAAAGCATTACTAAAAGCTTGTCGTAGCCTTTTACGTAACATTGTTACAACCTTTTCACAAGCTTGTCATAACCTTTTCATAAGCTTGCCTTGAGCTTTTATTAATAATATTTATGCAACATTTTCATAAGCTTGTCGTAACCATTACATAGCGTTGTCGTTACCTTGTGGCCAGCTTTTCATAAGCTTTACGCAAGGTTTTCAAAAGCTTGCCATAACCTTTTCGTAGTAACCTTGTCATGACAACCTTAAAGCAAGCCTCTAACATGTTGACTAGGAAGGTTGTCAAAACCTTTTTATAACCTTGCACCCTGGGTTGCAACAAGGGTACAAACCGTGTCGTGACAAGGTTAACGTAAGCTTGCTACAAGCTTAAATTGTTATCTGGGTATATATCAAATTAGTTCCAAATGGTTTTAGACTGTTTTAATTGCTTCTAGGGGGCGTTCTAAACAGTTCTAATTGATTTTGAAGCGTTCTAAATATGGTTCTAGACAGTTTTAAACGCTTCTGAAGTGTTCTAAATGATTCTAAACCATTTTAAGTGCTTCTCTAGCGTTCTAAACAGTTCTAATTGATTCTGACGCGTTCTAAATATGGTTCTAGACAGTTTTAAACGCTTCTGAAGCGTTCTAAATGTTTGTAAACCGTTTTAAACGCTTCTAAAGCTTTCTAAATGATTCTAAACCGTTTTAAGTGCTTCTGGAGCGTTCTAAACAGTTCTAATTGATTCTGAATCGTTCTAAATATGGTTGTAGACAGTTTTAAACGCTTCTGAAGCGTTCTAAACGGTTCTTAATAATACTAATAATTAATAAATGCCCACCTTAAGTTGTCCGATGAAGCGAAGGAATCATTTCCGAATGGAAGAGATACTCCATAGTATCGGTGTTCAATGAAGACTAAAAGAGCGTTGAAAATGGGAGCGATATCGAAGAGGAATCCGGTATTTTGGGCGTACATGGATATATCTCCTTCGTTGCCGGTGTAAACGAACGCCGGTCCGCCTTTAACGTGGTACTTATCGTTTAGTAAGTACCTCAATTTGAAGAATCGAGGCTTCGGCGATGCGGAAAAATGATCCACCGGAACCTCTATGTACTTCGTTTCCAGCAAATACCTCCCCTCCGTAATGCATATACATGTTTCGTGTAAAAAAATTAATGTATACAAAATGTACCACATTTCCTAAAATCGATTAATGTGACATTAACAATGACAATTATATGAAGGTAGGATGAAAAGTTTTCGGCCTGAATCGTTTTAGAACTGTCTACAACCATTTAGACCGCTTCGGAAGCATTTAAAACAGTCATAAACCATTTGGAACTAACTTAAGATACAGGCATTTATTAATTATTAGAATGATTAAGAACCATTTAGAACGCTCCAGAAGCACTTAAAACAGTTTAGAATCATTTAGAACGCTTCAAAAGTGTTTAAAATTCTCTAGAACCATATTTAAAACCCTTCAGAATCAATTAGAACTGTTTAGAACGCCACAGAAGCATTTAAAACAGTCTAAAACCATTTGGAACCAATTTAAGATATAGGCGTTTATTAATCATTAGAATTATTAAGAACCATTTAGAACGCTCCAGAAGCACTTAAAACGGTTTAGAATCATTTAGAACGCTTCAGAAGCGTTTTAAACGGTCTAGAACCATATTTAGAACGCTTCAGAATCAATTAGAACTGTTTAGAACGCTCCAGAAGCACTTAAAACGGTTTAGAATCATTTAGAACGCTTCAGAAGCGTTTAAAACTGTCTAGAACCATATTTAGAACGCTTCAGAATCAATTAGAACTGTTTAGAACACTCCAGAAGCACTTAAAACGGTTTAGAATCATTTAGAAAGCTTCAGAAGCGTTTAAAACTGTCTAGAACCATATTTAGAACCTTTCAGAATCAATTAGAACTGTTTAGAACACTCCAGAAGCACTTAAAACGGTTTAGAATCATTTAGAAAGCTTCAGAAGCGTTTAAAACTGTCTAGAACCATATTTAGAACCTTTCAGAATCAATTAGAACTGTTTAGAACACTCCAGAAGCACTTAAAACGGTTTAGAATCATTTAGAAAGCTTCAGAAGCGTTTAAAACTGTCTAGAACCATATTTAGAACGCTTCAGAATCAATTAGAACTGTTTAGAACGCTCCAGAAGCACTTAAAACGGTTTAGTATCATTTAGAAAGCTTCAGAAGCGTTTAAAACTGTCTAGAACCATATTTAGAACCTTTCAGAATCAATTAGAACTGTTTAGAACGCTCCAGAAGCACTTAAAACGGTTTAGAATCATTTAGAAAGCTTTCATCATTTAGATTTCGAAAAAACTACTCCACCTAAAACTTCCATTGGTACACCAAAATCCGCCCGAAAATACACACAAAAAAAAACGATCAAAAAATTTCGAAAATTTATTTACAACCACTAATAATATTCTCATCATTTCAGTAGGTATATTTATTCGAGAAAAACGCAATCGAGCCTTTTCCTCTACAGGAATCCAGCCCGAAATCAAATCGAATCCATAATGCATATCAGAGTGTATACAGGGCGTTTGCACAATTACAAAGCTCCTAACAATTTTCCTTTAATACTAAACCTTATCGATGAGATGTTATTTTAAAGGAAATTATTTCCTTACACTCCCTTTATATATGAACCAATTAATCATCACACAATAAAAAAATATTACTCAATTACTGAATCAAATATAATAAATTATTAACAAAAAAAAACCCCGCCTGAAACAGAAACAAAACAAAAAATACAATCCCCTTATTTCTCCATTTGTTGCAAAAAGTCACTAAAATTTGGTGATTTTACTAAAGTCTGGTAATATCACTAGATTCTGGTAATATTACCAGATTTTCAAAGTCAATAAAAACTGGTGATTTTACTAAAATCTGTTAATATTACTAGATTTTGAAAAAGTTACTAAATCTGGTGATTTCCTTAACAAACAAACAAACAACACAAATTACTCCTCGTTTTCTCCTCGATTTGTTTATCCGTACGATAAGTAAAAAAAAAATAAAACCACAGCAGGAATTAAATTAGAAAAAAATATATATAATAATGTTATTATACGGTTATGTACACGCAGGATGTTCAAGATGTTTGTTCTTGGCCGTTGTTCTCTTGGGATTTCATTACATCGGGTAGATCAGGGGGGGCCGAGTAGGGTATCAGGTCCAATTGCTCGAAATCCCCATTATCGTCTCTAAAATAATAAAAACAAACTAGTTATTCGAATAGTAAAAGGCCAGTTAACGAAGGATCTTTTCGATGATTTGTAACTTTCTTAATAATCATCCGATTTCGATGATTTTCATATCGAATTAAAGCCCATGGAATTTTCTACAAACTGTTCACTAAAAATATCCAAAAATCCACCGGAATTCCCCACAAACAACGACTTGATTTACCGTATAGCCAGTCCGACGGTGGCCGGACATTGGGCCTTTGCAGTATTGGAAGTCAGCCCGTAATCCTGCAACTGCCTGTCATCTTCCATCACGGTGTATTCCTTGTTGTAGAGCTGCTGATTTTGCGGTGGAATTTTCAATATACCTGAAGAATATCCGGTTAGCATTTTGTTGAAAAAAAATTAATTAATCATTCCCAGTACCTTCGATGATCTTTTTCAGTTCGAAAACCGTCGTGGTGTCTTTCGCGTCGGTGAAAATGGTGAGTTTTTTCCTTCTTATCATCAAAAAAACGTCCTGAAAATTCGGAATTATTGAGGGATATTTACCAGTTAACTTGACATATTTAGGTGCGAAAAGTTGGGTTAAGGGACGAGCAGTGATTCGTGTTTTTCCTAACCAACGGTGAGGATTTTCTTACCATTTTCGCTCGCGTGGAATTTCCCGTGCAGTTTCGCGAGTATAAATAATTATTTTAGTTCGTTCGGAGCGGTCATTAATTCATTTATTAACCTAAACTGCGATGATATATAAAGCGCGGCTCGGACAATGACGTTGATGACAAGTTTGACAGGTTTGACGTTTCGCGCGATTTTTGACAGTTCGTTTTTTTTTTCGATTTATAATATACAAAATAACATCTTCCTTTCTCTATGGTTATTACTATTTCGATAATAGTCACTTACGGAAGCCGAAAAATTGCTAAATTCTTCGGAGAGACGCCCGACAACGACAACTCACATGACAATTGACATGACATTTGACATAGAACGATAGAACGCCTTCAACGTGACAGATGACACATCCGGTGGAAATCGTCTCATCGGTCGCGTTCATCCGTGCCACTTGCTACTTGAGCGATCAGGTAGCGATTCCGATGGCGCGGATGAACGCTTGTTTTGACAGTTTTGCTACCTGATCGCTCAAGTAGCGGACGCCATCTTTTGGATCGTAAAAATTTTATGCTCAACGCTACCTGATCAGTGATCACTTATTTCCACGTGGTGTTTTGTAGGGTTCGGTTGTGTGTTGACTGGGGATTTATGTCAAAAATGTCAAATGTCAGTTATGTCACAAAATCGCGTTCATCCATGCTAGATAGCGCTACCTGATCGCTCCCTGAGCGATCAACTAGCGATCAAGTAGCGCTTTTTTCGGAGTGGCACGGATGAACGCGACCATCGTCTGCATAAATGACTGCTGTCAACGGGAACGGGGAATCGGGAATCGGCGAGGATGCTCCCGAAAAAAAGAGCTTCAATTACAAGTATTACAACGGATAAATTTAATTTGAAGCCTTTAGAAGATGGAGGAGATGCAAGGAAATTACGATATCGTCGATTTGCGCCGGATTTTTCAATCGGAAAACAAAGAAAATTCGTCGGAAGATGCTCGAGTAGGCGGTGTAAGTTTTTATTTAATGTAAACAAAAATAGACAAAATGGCGGCCGTTTATTGTCTGTAAATGCAAATGCACATTTTAAAGGTGTACATTTGCTTTACAATCCTGATACAGCCCCTACAAGGATTCCATAAGGATGAGGAGTATAATAATAAACAAACGCGGAGAAAGAGCGCGAACGATTATACAGGAAATAAAACTACCTCTCTCTCTCTCTCCCCCATGTTATCCCATGTACGCTTCGGTCGCCATATGGCAACACACTTGATTTCTTTCCTTTTTATTTTCCTATTTATTTATTTATTTATTTATTAAATATCGCGTCGATTCGTCGAAAAGTATTACTTTCGTTTAACCAAAAAGATTGAAGAAATTCGTAGCAGGATCGCAGAAGGCCTTGGAAGGTAAAACTAGCACGGCCTACTAGATGTCGATGTGTACTAAAAATACTCGAATAACTTTCTGTTTTATGCTATCCTGATGGAAAATAAGAAAAATGTCCGCCACAACCACATGTTGAAATATTTAACGATTCGTTTAATTAAACGGTAGGATAAACAAGGATTGTTTATAGTTTCGATACAGGTTGAATATTGGCCTTTTACTGATGAGGTTAACGTGGAAAAATGGCGGCGAATTTTCGAAAAAAAAAAAAAGAAAAATTGGGTCAACTATTAGGGCGACTTGATCGTTATAATTCGTTGTGTGTAGTGGGTAAAAACAAGGCGAGTTATGAATAATAAACGAATAAATTTCGCGTTCGCTCGTTCGGAAAATTAATAATCGAAAATGCCGGTTGTAGCTTAGTCATTTTGTTGTAAATTTCTCTATAGTAAACAAGTAATTTATTTATAAACAATATCTAGTATTCTAGTATGTTAAAGCAAAAAGTGTGTATAGACTTTCCAAGATCACTTGAATGCATACTTGATAAATTTGATTAATTTAATACATATACTTGAAGGAAAAAGAAAGAGTGATGACATTGTGGGATGATTGCAACTTTCTCACTCTATCCACTGTAATTCTAATAATCTTTCTTTGTTCAACTCGTAGAATCGACCAAATTGCAAACGAATTTTATATAAATTTCCATTTAAGTTTTAACCGAAAATTCTAAACGCGAAAACAAATCGAAATTTTCGCCGCGCTACGGGACAAACACAAAAGTAGCCCGTTACAATACAATATAAAGGGCCTATAAATAGCGATTTGTACATACAAATGTAAATATAACAAGGGAATTTCCAACACAATAGGGAAACCGATAACATTCATTTCGAAAGGTGTTAGTTAATTCTCCGCGAAAGACGAGCGAATAACAATAAAAAATACACATCACCAGGAGAAAAGCACCTTTATATTGACATTATTAAGAGCCTCAGAGCCTCGATTCGATTTAATACCGAAGCGTTTTCATCTTAACAACAATAAGGCTCGATGCCGGCGATTTACAGAATGTCCCATATACAGTACTTTACATATTCTTATCCGACCGTGCACCCTGTATATAGAGCATCCTTCAGTGCGAATATATATGTAGAGCAGAAATGAATGAACCCGGAACTCGTCCCGGTCGTGAATGAGGCCCGGAAAGTCCGGTGAAAAAGGAGCGGGGGCGAGAAAATCGGGAGTCCTGACCTGTACGGGGATCGCGCATGCGCATGCCCTTCATCGATTTTAGGCGTTCAGGACCTGCTCCTGCTCGAAAGGGACTCCTCGAAGAACTGATTATTATGTGTTATACTATCATCTGATCTACACGGGGAATTAAATTAGGGTTGTTTTTTTTTTGTTGTAATGGGGGAAAATCGGTGTGGAAAAATGAATAATGGGATGTAGATAAAGTTGTGTGTGTAACACTGTGTTGTTGGTATAGGAGATTAAAGGGTTGTATTTTGAAAATGTGGGTTAAAAAAATTTGTGGAAAAATGAAAGGGTTTAGTAGAGAAAATTGTGTTGTGCACAGGAAAAGGATTGTTTTCGAAATTTGGGTCAAAAATTTGATAGAAAAATAAAATTTTAGCTACTAGTAGAGAAAATTGTGACTAAAACTGTGTCATGTACAGGAATAGGGTTATAGTTTTTAAAATATTAGTCAAAAATTTGGAGAAAAATGAATGTAAGAGTATAATAGAAAAAAGTATGCTAAAAACAATTAAACATTTTACAAAAAAAAGGATGGATTTTTCAAAATATAATTACAAAATTTGTGTACAATTTGTTTCTTTTTTTTAGCCTTAAATACCCTACCTCTCTACTATGTAAATTTTAAAGTGTAAAACATGATAGCAAAATTACAGCGAAATTTCATTAAAAAAAATCCTATTTAAAGCGTAATTAAATTCGCTGGAAGATCGCTGGATGTCTGAATTTCCTTTTTCAAAAATTGATAATTTCCCTTCGGGGGAAATTACCGAGTTTCCATCATCGGCACATATAATGGGGAATTTCCCCTTCGTTTTATAAATATAAATAATACGCCGGTAATGAAAATGAAATGACACTAACCATCGGATTATATGGAAGAAGAAGAAGAAGAAGAAGAAGAAAAAAAAATCATCCCTCAGAATCTCGCATTGAGTTTTTCAAATTTCAAACATCCTCTCGCAAAAAAAGTAGGAAATTTTGACACCAAAAAAGAATTTTGTAATTAATCCTATACAGTGTGTCCACGGATGGGGTTGCCTATAGGAGAAAAAATTTTATTATTCATTTTGCGACAAAGTCATTATTTATAAAAATTTTTGCTTCTTTTAAAAATGAGAATAACACTGAAAAATCTTAGATTGGATCTACAGGGTGTTGTCAAATTAAGAAAACATGAAAATACCTCAAGAGGGAAGTACCATTATTTTTTATTTTACATAAAATGTTTATGAAAGAAAGTTCTTTATAATCTGAAATAAAGCCTGAATACAAATTTGCAAACTTAAATTCAAATTTTGTGTGTCCCTAGATAAAGTTGACCAGATAAGAAAAATGGTTATTATTAATTTTACGAATTATGAAATTCACATATCAAAACATTAAATAAGACGTATAGGGTGTTAGTAAATTAAGAAACATGAAAAAATTTCAAGAAAGAACGAAAGAAATTTTATTATCTTACATGAAGAAAGAATTTATTTATTATCTTACATTATTATTTACAAAAAATGCTTTTCATCTCTCTTTTAATGCTCTTTTTTTATAAAGAATTACTTTTTTTTTTCGTTAAATTAATAATCATTTTCTCCTCTGGTCAACTCCATCCGTGGACACACAAAATTGGAATTTTAATTTAAAAATTTGTGTTCAGGCTTTATTTTAGATTATAAACAACTTTCTTTTATAAAAATTTTGTGTAAAATAAAAAATTATGGTACTTCTCTCTTGAGGTATTTTCATGTTTTCTTAATTTGGCCACACCCTGTAGACCCAATCTAAGATTTTTCAGTGTTATTCTCATTTTTAAAAGAAGCAAAAATTTTTATAAACAATGACTTTTTGTCGTAAAATGAATAATAAAAATTTTTCTTCTATAGGCAACCCCATCCGTGGACACACTGTATATAGGAATAATTTCTACACTAAGAAATTTGGGTCCATATAAACTTATAAGGGCTATTTTCGACACTGAATCATTCTAATGTCGAAAATTCTTATAAGATTATTGACCATTTTTTAATTTTTCTTCCACCAAAAAAAAAAAGACATTTCTCCAGTTCCTCCACCAAAAAAAAAAAAATTCTCTAATCTTTCACCAAAAAAAAATTGATTTTTTTCTCCAGTTCCTCGACAAAAAACAACCGATTCATCCCTCTAAGATTATCGACAATTTTTTTTTGAATTTTTCAGGTACCTATAACACAAAAACTAAATCATTTAGTATCGAAATTTCCACCCCTATCAAAGAAAAAAACAAACACACACACACAACCAATTCACCCCTCTCTTCACCCCTCTCTCACCCTCCTTTCCTCGCTCCATTCACCTTCCCCATTCCCGACCTAACTAACACCTCTCTCTAACTAACATCCCTCCACAGAAAAACCGGCGCAGCATCCCCCCCGAGCCGGCCCTGCGCGGGGTGTGCGCCGGGCGTCGCGACGCTCTCTCTCTCGACACAGCTCCGACCCCGGACCAGTCCACGCCTTTGCTCATCCCCAGGTGCACCTCTTCGACGGCCTCCTCTCCGACAGTTTGTGATGATGATGATGGGCCAAAAGGGGTGCAAATCGTCGCGTCAGAGGATGGACGGGCGCGGGGATGGATCCACCAGGAGCCTGTGAGGTGAGTGTATATGATGATATCCTGATGATGATGATAATGAATGAATCGCGGGGCGGGAGTGCAGAGGATGAAGGTGAGTGTTTAATGCTGATGATGCTGGTGATGTTGAGGATAAATGAATCGTGGGGCGGGTGTGTGGAGGATGATGATGCACGGTGGAGATTGGAGATGTGATGAAAGTGGAGAGAAAAAAAGGAGAAAAAAACGTGGTGTATAGTATTGATGTGGGAATCGCGATTGCCATGCTTTTGTGGTGACTGATGGTGGTGTGATTTTTTGCAACTTTGTTTTGCCTAAACTATACATATGCAGTTTTTATATACAAAGTGTTGGATGTTTTACACTTTTTTTAGCACCCTTAATTCTAAACATTCAAATGTTTTTGAATCTTTTAAAAATCATCGCTTTTGAATATTTCCAAACAACCCGACAACTTATCAATTTTATATCACACTCGAGCCATCCTGTATATAGGGTGTTTGAAAATAGTCGGCCCTTTTTTAATCTTATCGAATAGAGTGCAGTCTTTTCAGACCATCACAAATAAGATGGCCTATAGATTGTTAGTAAATTAGATAGTTAGTAAGGTTCTTACAATTCCACCAAAATTTCTGCAATCAAAAATCGCAGTTTCTGTGCGAAAAATTATAGAAGATAATTGGTGGTTCTGTTGCAGGTAATGGGACACTCGTACATCGCTGTTATTGTCGTCGACAATTCGTACGAGGCCACTTAGAATCGGTGAGTTCTTTAGTTCCATCACCAAAAAAAAGGCTTTTCCCTAATTCTTTCACGAAAAAATGGATTTTTTTCTCTAGTTCCTTCACAAGGAAAAGCATTTTCTCTAGTTCATCCACCAAAAAACGCCGTTTCTTTAATTCTTACAAAAAAAAAAGACTTATCTAGTTCCTCGACAAAAAAAAAGCATTTTTTCTAGTTCCTCCACCAAAAAATAAACTCTTCTATAATTCCTTCATCAAAAAATAGGCATTTGTCTAGTTGATCCACCAAAAAAAAAGACTTCTCTAGTTCCTCCATAAAAAAAAAGACTTTTCTCTAATTCTTCGACCAAAAAATAGACTTTTCTCTAATTCTTTCACCAAAAAATTAACTTTTTTCTAATTCTTCCACCAAAAAAGTGACTCTTCTCTAGTTCGTTCACCAAAAAATAGATTCACATCTAGTCCTTCCACAAAAAAAAGACTTCTCTAATTCTTCGACCAAAAAATAGACATTTCTCTAATTCTTCGACCAAAAAATAGACTTTTCTTTAATTCTTCGACCAAAAAATAGACTTTTCTCTAATTCTTTCACCAAAAAATTAACTTTTTTCTAATTCTTCCACCAAAAAAGTGACTCTTCTCTAGTTCGTCCACCAAAAAATAGATTCACATCTAGTCCTTCCACAAAAAAATAGACTTTTCTCTAATTCTTTCACCAAAAAATTAACTTTTTTCTAATTCTTCCACCAAAAAAGTGACTCTTCTCTAGTTCGTCCACCAAAAAATAAACTCTTCTCTAATTCCTTTATCAAAAAAATAGACATTTGTTTAGTTGATCCACCAAAAAAAGACTTCTCTAGTTCCTCCATCAAAAAAAAAGACTTTTCTCTAATTCTTCGACCAAAAAATAGACTTTTCTCTAATTCTTTCACCAAAAAAGTGACTCTTCTCTAGTTCGTCCACCAAAAAATTTATTCACATCTAGTCCATCCACAAAAAAAAAACTTTTCTCTACCAAAATTAAACTTCCCACCATATCCCAAACTGACATTTCCCCAATTCCCCAGTTCCAACATCCACATTAATACAGCTTGTCCTTCTGTTCGGGGTCGCATCAGAAAGGGCTCCAACGCGACGATGACGCGACGACGCCCGGGCTCCTCCAGCAGGTGGTCGTCGTGACGCCAACATGAACTCGTCGCTGGCGACAATCGACGGCAATTCGTCACTCATCAACGACGTCGTCCACGCGCCCACCTACAACATCACCGAGGTCGTGCTCTTCGGCACCATCGGTAAGTCTATACAGACGTTTATACGTAAATTGCGATGGAGGTCTACCGGATAGGGGTCTACCGGAGGTCTACCGGAGTCTACCGGCGGTCTACCGAGTGAATCGAAGTAATGGTTTTTCTTTTCCAGCGGCCATACTAGCCATAATCACCGTCATTGGGAACATAATGGTAATGATTTCGTTCAAAATCGACAAACAACTCCAAACCATCAGCAACTACTTCCTATTTTCCTTGGCCGTGGCCGATTTCGCCATCGGTAAATATACGAATTCCGCCATCTTATACAGTGCTTTTCGAAAGGAAACCGTCCATTAGAAGTTTGAGGAGATCCTGAAGAGTTAATGGACGGTTTCCTTTCGAAAAGCACCGTGTAGACTTCTTATCTATTTCGATATTCAGGATTGATATCGATGCCTCTGTTCACCATCTACACGTTGCTGGGCTACTGGCCTTTGGGCCCGCTGGTGTGCGACACCTGGCTGGCCTTGGACTATTTGGCGAGCAACGCCAGCGTTTTGAATTTGCTCATCATCAGCTTCGATCGGTACTTCTCCGTCACCAGGCCGTTTTCCTACAGGGCGAAAAGGACGACCAGAAGGGCCGCCTTTATGATCGCGTGAGTTTCTATATCGCTATATATATACAGCACGTCCCGTGAATGTTTGTATGAAATGTAGCTCGAATTACCCGGTCCTTAATGCACCGGAGTCGTTGTTTGAACGCCGGTGTTGGATTCTGTTTATCCACGATGATGGATAATAATCGCAGAAAAATCGACTGGAGGTATAAAATGAATTTCCGGGTTGGATTATTATTAAGTTATCTAAACAATCGGCCGTTATTAATCGCTTATAAAGTGGATTTGCAATGAAATGGAGAAATTGTACTAGGTAGGAGAATAATTGGCTGGTTTGCTGAATAGTAACAGGCCACAGTCATTTAATTTAACTTTGACAATTGACATAATGTCAATGTTGCAAGTTGCAAATTTACACTCGCAACAATTTTTAACGCTCGTTATTCCAAATTTTACGAAACTTTCACCGAAAATTCCACTACAAAAACATGCAGGTACTCATTATAAACAGAATAATTGGCTAGATTGTTGAATAGTAACAGGCCACAGTCGTTTAATTTAACTTTGACAATTGACAATGTTGCAAGTTTCAAATTTACACTCGCAACAATTTCTAACGCTCGTTATTCCAAATTTTACGAAACTTCCACCGAAAATTCCACTACAAAAACTTGCAGGTATTCATAAACAGAATAATTGTCTAGTTTGTTGAATAGTAACAGGCCCCAGTCGTTTAATTTAACTTTGACAATTGACAATGTTGCAAGTTTCAAATTTACACTCGCAACAATTTCTAACGCTCGTTATTCCAAATTTTACGAAACTTTCACCGAAAATTCCACTACAAAAACATGCAGGTACTCATTATAAACAGAATAATTGGCTAGATTGTTGAATAGTAACAGGCCACAGTCGTTTAATTTAACTTTGACAATTGACAATGTTGCAAGTTTCAAATTTACACTCGCAACAATTTCTAACGCTCGTTATTCCAAATTTTACGAAACTTCCACCGAAAATTCCACTACAAAAACTTGCAGGTATTCATAAACAGAATAATTGTCTAGTTTGTTGAATAGTAACAGGCCCCAGTCGTTTAATTTAACTTTGACAATTGACAATGTTGCAAGTTTCAAATTTACACTCGCAACAATTTCTAACGCTCGTTATTCCAAATTTTACGAAACTTCCACCGAAAATTCCACTACAAAAACTTGCAGGTACTCATAAACAGAATAATTGGCTAGTTTGTTGAATAGTAACAGGCCACAGTCGTTTAATTTAACTTTGACAATTGACATAATGTCAATGTTGCAAGTTTCAAATTTACACTCGCAACAATTTTTAAACGCTCGTTATTCCAAATTTTACGAAACTTCCACCGAAAATTCCACTACAAAAACATGCAGGTACTCATTATAAACCATTTATTCCTCTTTTAACACGCACACGAAGTCACCTCCGATTCTCCTCTCCTTCCGAACACTCCCCACAAAAACTCTCTACATAAGTAAGTAAAACAACTATAATAATTCCCCTTTTTCCGTACAACATTTCCAGATGCGCCTGGGGCATAAGCCTGCTACTCTGGCCCCCCTGGATCTACAGCTGGCCCTACATCGAAGGCCAACGGACGGTGCCCCGGGACGAATGCTACATACAATTCATCGAAACCAATCACTACATCACCTTCGGCACCGCCATCGCGGCCTTCTACGTTCCGGTAACTGTCATGTGCATACTCTATTGGAGAATATGGAGAGAGACGGAAAAAAGACAAAAAGACCTGCCCAATTTGCAAGCGGGCAAAAAGGACAGCAGCAAACGCAGCAATTCCAGGTAAACTCATACACTAACAATGACGTCACTGTTTAGATAAACTGCGTGACGTCATCGTAATGTTAACGTGGAATGTTTCTATTTATGCACGAATCTCGTAGCCATTCCTTCGTATATATATATGTAACTACCAGGAGATCCAGGTACTATTCGACTCCTTTTGTTAAACACCCACTTTTATATCTACTTGAATAGATGTTCGATGTTTTTAGATGTGGCAATTTTTTTGGAGAATTCGAATACTCGTAATTTACCGGTTAATTGTTGTTGTTTACACGCAGTGTATTCGTGTGCAGTGACGAGCAGAACAACGCCTGTTCGACGGTAGACCTCGAAGAGTGGAAACGACCGAGATCGGAGTCTACCGGCGCCGATTCGGACTCGGTCTACATGCACGGGAACGTCGTCGATTTGAAGCGCAGGAAACGGCCGGTAAGAAGTTTTTGAAGCTTTCCGGAAGCTTCCTGGAAGCTGTAGAATTTGTAAGAAGCTTTCTGGAAGCTTTCAGGAAGCTGTAGAATTTGTGAGAAGCTTTCTGGAAGGTGTATAATTTGTGAGAAGCTTTCTGGAAGCTTTCTGGAAGGTGTAGAATTTGTGAGAAGCTTTCTGAAGGTTTCTGGAAGCTGTAGAATGTGTGAGAAGCTTTCTGGAAGGTTTCTGGAAGCTGTAGAATTTGTGAGAAGCTTTCTGGAAGCTTTCTGAAAAGTGTAGAATTTGTGAGAAGCTTTCTGAAGGTTTCTGGAAGCTGTAGCATGTGTGAGAAGCTTTCTGGAAGGTTTCTGGAAGCTGTAGAATTTGTGAGAAGCTTTCTGGAAGGTGTAGAATTTGTGAGAAGCTTTCTGGAAGCTTTCCAGAAGCTGTAGAATTTTTTTTATACTCCGTTCGATATCAGGAGATAGCGAGAAGCTTTCTGGAAGCTGTAGATTTTTTTTAATACTCCGTTCGCTATCAGTTAATACTTTCTTAAGGAAGTAGATTTTCTTTTTTACTTTCGCTCGATGCCGAACGGACTATAACTTGCTACGTTGTTTACGCAATAAAAGATGCAAAAACACACAATTGACTCGCTTCGAAAAAATCGTCATTTATTATCAACCGCGTATTTCATCTTAAGATTATCGAAAAAAAAAAATTATTTCAACTTTTCCTCCGTTCTCGCGATGGATTTTCCTCCGTCTCGCAGGATATCCCGAGTCTCGAATTTCCGATTGGATTTCCCCGTCTTCTTCCGATCTAAAAAGAAAAAAAACCCAATTTAAGTCCTCCAAACCTCCCCCAATAAAAAAACCCAAGTCCTCCGAACCTCCCCTCCATATCCCGCCTTATTAAAACCACATTTTTACACATTTTTACTCTTATTTAACTTCCCTCCATCGCTTAAAATAAAATCGATCTCCACAAAGGTGGAGAGAATAAACACACCAGATACATCTCTCGCAAACTCCACACATCGAAATAATAATTCTAAAAGCGCATTGTTCCCGATTCCTAACGGAAAAACCGGGGACGTTTATCAACGCTCCATTCAAACCTAAATTATCTGGAAACACTTCTAAAACGATGCTCCCGAATCGGAAACTGTCACCGTTCTATTATTATATCCACCGCGAAAATGGAAACTCCACACACACACACACACACAACTTCTCCCATGTTAGTTGTTCGTTTACCTATTCAATTTACCCGCCACAACGATATAAATATATCTAGAAAATCTAGTAGTTTGTGACGATAAACATTTGAAATTGCACACAAAAAGCACAGTGTAATATCTAGTAAATCTTAGTAGCTTGTGACAAGACAAGAAACACAGTGTATAATATATCTAGTAAATCTAGTAGCTTGTGACAATTATGACTGTCAAATATGACAGGCAATTCAAATCTGGCCGTCTCATTGAAACACCCTTTAGTAAATCTAGTAGCTTGTGACAATTATGACTGTCAAATATGACGGGCAATTCAAATCTTGCCGTCTCATTGAAACACCCTTTAGTAAATCTAGTAGCTTGTGACAATTATGACTGTCAAATATGACAGGCAATTCAAATCTTGCCGTCTCATTGAAACGCCCTTTAGTAAATCTAGTAGCTTGTGACAATTATGACTGTCAAATATGACAGGCAATTCAAATCTTGCCGTCTCATTGAAACACCCTTTAGTAAATCTAGTAGCTTGTGACAAGACAAGAAGCACAGTGTATAATATATCTAGTAAATCTAGTAGCTTGTGACAATTATGACTGTCAAATATGACAGGCAATTCAAATCTTGCCGTCTCATTGAAACACCCTTTAGTAAATCTAGTAGCTTGTGACAAGACAAGAAGCACAGTGTATAATATATCTAGTAAATCTAGTAGCTTGTGACAATTATGACTGTCAAATATGACAGGCAATTCAAATCTTGCCGTCTCATTGAAACACCCTTTAGTAAATCTAGTAGCTTGTGACAAGACAAGAAGCACAGTGTATAATATATCTAGTAAATCTAGTAGCTTGTGACAATTATGACTGTCAAATATGACAGGCAATTCAAATCTTGCCGTCTCATTGAAACATCCTTTAGTAAATCTAGTAGCTTGTGACAAGACAAGAAGCACAGTGTATAATATATCTAGTAAATCTAGTAGCTTGTGACAATTATGACTGTCAAATATGACAGGCAATTCAAATCTTGCCGTCTCATTGAAACACCCTTTAGTAAATCTAGTAGCTTGTGACAAGACAAGAAGCACAGTGTATAATATATCTAGTAAATCTAGTAGCTTGTGACAATTATGACTGTCAAATATGACAGGCAATTCAAATCTTGCCGTCTCATTGAAACACCCTTTAGTAAATCTAGTAGCTTGTGACAATTATGACTGTCAAATATGACAGGCAATTCAAATCTTGCCGTCTCATTGAAACACCCTTTAGTAAATCTAGTAGCTTGTGACAATTATGACTGTCAAATATGACAGGCAATTCAAATCTTGCCGTCTCATTGAAACACCCTTTAGTAAATCTAGTAGCTTGTGACAATTATGACTGTCAAATATGACAGGCAATTCAAATCTTGCCGTCTCATTGAAACACCCTTTAGTAAATCTAGTAGCTTGTGACAAGACAAGAAGCACAGTGTATAATATATCTAGTAAATCTAGTAGCTTGTGACAATTATGACTGTCAAATATGACAGGCAATTCAAATCTTGCCGTCTCATTGAAACATCCTTTAGTAAATCTAGTAGCTTGTGACAAGACAAGAAGCACAGTGTATAATATATCTAGTAAATCTAGTAGCTTGTGACAATTATGACTGTCAAATATGACAGGCAATTCAAATCTTGCCGTCTCATTGAAACACCCTTTAGTAAATCTAGTAGCTTGTGACAAGACAAGAAGCACAGTGTATAATATATCTAGTAAATCTAGTAGCTTGTGACAATTATGACTGTCAAATATGACAGGCAATTCAAATCTTGCCGTCTCATTGAAACGCCCTTTAGTATAGATCTAGTAGCTTGTGACGATACATTAAATTGGAAATTGGCCGCGTTATAGGGGGCGCTGGTGGAGCCCCGCCGACGGGGCTGGATATCGGGCGTGTGGCGGGTGCGCGAATGGTGCGTGGCCTGGTGGCATTCGGGCCGCGAGGACGGCAGCGACACCGAGGAGGAGAGCCCCAGCGAACAAGGCCAGGGCTGCGTCACGCCCGTTTCCTTGGATACGCCGCTACAGAGCTCCGTGTCGAGGTGTACGTCGCTCAACGTCATCAGGTGAGCTGCCCTACCCCCCCCGTCCTTTATATGTATATATGTATATGTATATACAGAGTGTTGTTTGTGAGATGCGATATGTGGGATTCCTCCGTAAATGTTAGTTTTTATATAGGTATCTGATGGTTTGTGAAACAAGCGGAGTTGGCCGAGTTGGTTAACGCTCTTGTGTTTGAAAATTTCAGCGGGAAGGGTTGGGGTTCGATCACCGCGCGGGGCAGGATTTTTTTTTCTTTTTTTTTGGTATTTTTTGTTTTTTTAATTATTATTTATGCTATTTTTTTCCTATTTATATTTTATTTTACAGATTATACAGTGTGTTATTTATAAGATGCGACATAGTGTCATTTTTTAAGCCGCTATCTGATAATTTTGAAATTTGCGAAATTGGCCGAGTTGGTTAACGCTCTTGTGTTTGAAAATTTCAGCGGGAAGGATTGGGGTTCGATCACCGGGCGGGGCAGGATTTTTTTTGTTTTTGTTTTTTTTTCATTGGAATTTTGAATTTTTTGTGTTTTTATTTTTTTTCATTGTAATTTTGAATTTTTTAATCTTGAATTTTTTGAATGTCAAATTTGGATGACATTTCATGATTTCACAGCTACCTAATACAAATTCCCAAAATAATCAGATTTTTATAGAAATTTCCTTTTATTTCGGAAACCTGATTATTTCGGTATAGGAACATGATATACCATTTGAAAGAGGATTTAATTATCTTTTTGAATATTTAAAAATATACCGGGTGTCCCATTTAAAAAAATGAACTTATTAGCATTTGTATATCTAGCGATAAAATGACAATTTTTGAACAACCCTGTATAAATAAAAAAAATCGATTATAGCGAACTAATACCTAAGGCATCTCTAAGCTAATCCCAAAATTTCAGCTTTCTCCTAATCTAATTACCGCAGTAATCAACATTTAAATGGAGCTATGTTTTGAATAAAAAATTAAATAAAATAATGAATTTCTCGAAAAGCGCTAAAGATAGGTATAGGGAAGTATTATACAAAAATAATCGGAAAGCAATAGCGGAGCAAAAAATGTAAAAATATACAGGGGGTCTCATTTAAAATAACAAAGTTGCTGCTATTTTCCGATAGAAGTGGCAACGCCGCAGCGTTGAAAATATTTTAAATCGATAGAGCAGGACCAATTACCTAAATAACCAAATTTTCACGACAATCGTACGCTCCGGTTTCCCTAAACGCCTAACCTGCCATCGACCGTGGTATACCCTGTATATACGTAGAACGCGATTTATGGATTTAATTACGGTTTTTTTTTTCGGCAGGGATCACGCCCTGGTGCAGGCCAATATGACCCCTACGAGGCTGGCGCCGAGAGATTCGAGAAGTCTACCGGCTGGTAACCGGCTGACCGCGAGGTCGGTGTCTACCGATAGCGTCTACACCATTTTGATCAGATTGCCTGGGGAGCCCGGCGACGGCGACGCCGCCTCTGGCGAGGCGCCCTCTATCAAGATGATACCCGAGGTAACTCTCTCTCTATATACGGGAGTTTCGTGACCTGTTATTTACCGACCGTCGGTTTGTTTTCGATTTTGACAGATTTACATTGGTTGTTATGGTGTAACTAAGGAGGTTCTTTTGAATTGACAGATTTACATTGGTTGTTATGGAGTAACTAAGGAGATTCTTTCAAATTGACAGATTTACATTGGTTGTTATGGAGTAACTAAGGAGATTCTTTCAAATTGACAGTTTTACATTGGTTGTTATGGAGTAACTAAGGAGATTCTTTCAAATTGACAGATTTACATTGGTTGTTATGGAGTAACTAAGGAGATTCTTTCAAATTGACAGTTTTACATTGGTTGTTATGGTGTAACTAAGGAGATTCTTTCAATATGACAGATTTACATTGGTTGTTATGGAGTAACTAAGGAGATTCTTTCAAATTGACAGATTTACATTGGTTGTTATGGAGTAACTAAGGAGATTATTTCAAATTGACAGTTTTACATTGGTTGTTATGGAGTAACTAAGGAGATTATTTCAAATTGACAGTTTTACATTGATTGTTATGGAATAACTAAGGAGATTATTTCAAATTGACAGTTTTACATTGGTTGTTATGGAGTAACTAAGGAGATTATTTCAAATTGACAGTTTTACATTGGTTGTTATGGAGTAACTAAGGAGATTCTTTCAATATGACAGTTTTACATTGGTTGTTATGGAGTAACTAAGGACGCATTATTTCAAATTGACAGTTTTACATTGGTTGTTATGGTGTAACTAAGGAGATTCTTTTGAATTGACATATTTACATTGGTTGTTATGGAGTAACTAAGGACGCATTATTTCAATATGACAGTTTTACATTGGTTGTTATGGTGTAACTAAGGAGATTCTTTCAATATGACAGATTTACATTGGTTGTTATGGAGTAACCAAGGACGCATCGGTTTAAAATTGACAGTTTTACATTGTTCGTTATGGACGAGTAACTTTTAATAATTTTCCAGACGCAATCGAGGAACCACCAAGGCGTGGAACAAACGAACTACTCGAACCGTCGACCGTCGGCCATGCCGGACATCCGAATACCGTTGAACGCGAAGATAATACCGAAACAATTGGCCGGCAAGGGGGCGGCGCTGAACGCGAACGCCGCCGTCAAACCGCCGGCGAAGAAAAAGAAGAAAACCCAAGAAAAGAAAGCCGACAAGAAGGCGGCGAAAACTTTGTCGGCCATTTTGCTGACGTTCATCATCACGTGGACACCTTATAACATTTTGGTGTTGCTGAAGCCGGTGACGTCGACGTCGATGGGTCTACCGCCGCAAGTGTGGGATTTTTTCTATTTTTTGTGCTACATCAATTCGACGATTAATCCGGTGTGCTACGCCTTGTGCAACGCCAGTTTCCGCAGGACCTATCTCAGGATTTTGCAGTGCAAATGGCAGAACAGAAACAGGGCGGCCATGAACAGGGGATATTATAATTGAGCAAATTGAGCAATGTTTAAGATGCCCTCTTTATAATTAAGGGAGGTTTGCGGATGTGTTAGATACCCTCTTTTTTTCGAAGGGAATTTGTCGTTTATATACAGGGTGTTGATTGATTGGAGGGGTATTATAATTGAGCAAATTGAGCAATGTTTAAGATGCCTCTTTATAATTAAGGGGGGTTTGCAGATATGTTAGATACCTCTTTTTTCGGAGGGAATTTTGTTGTTTACATACAGGGTGTTTGATTGATTGGAGTGTCGATAGTTTAGGATGCGAATATTTGGATGATTTTAATATGAAAAGTTTATATTTTTTATTTACAAAATTTTAAAACACTGTAATTCGAAAACTAAGAGATTTAGGACATATATCGATATAAACTTTTCTTCTTAAAACCAATCAAATATTCACATAAGTATCGGTAATTCAATTAATTAACACCCTATACTTTGTATCTATTTGTATACAGGGTGTTAATTAATTAAGAGCCGATATTGATGAAACTTTTTCTTTTTCACTTAATTAATTAACACCCTGTATGTATAGTCTTCTATAGGGATGTGTGTATTTCGTTATGCATTTACAAAATGATCTGTTATTACTATAAAAATCTAATTCTATTACACAAATATTTTATACACATTCATTACTACTTAAATTTCCAGTTCGGTATTTTTATAATTTTATAATCCGTTCGCTATCAGGAGATAGTAATAAAAAGCCTTCTTTGATGCAATAAATCCAACGATTTCATTAATAAACAATTACTTACAGAAATATGAAATAAAATCAACAAATTCCCGATAGCGAACGGACTATATTTATAGTAATTTTTGTCTACATTTTTACATTTATGACACAGATCACTCTGTATATGGAATGCTTAACTTCTTCTTGACTTCGAAAAAAAAACAAACAAAATGTTCTTTGTAAATATTTATAATTGGTAATTAGGCTATTATAAATTTCGTACCCACATATATAACGAGTAATTGTAAGTTTGTAAATGTATATACTAGGTAATTGTATCGAATCCAAAAATGGTAAAAAAATCTAGGCTGAATCATTGATATTTACACGATAATAATATGATATGATAATAATAGGGACATATATGAAAGCGAAACCCTTTCTACTGGGTTATTAGGTGGTTGTATTTAATTCAATTAACACCGTTTCTGTTTAATTAAGCGCAAGAGACTTCGAAATTGTACGGGGTACTCCCGAAAACTTATTATCAGAACGCCAACTTAATTTGACTTGGAAAAAATAATCAGTGATACCACCTTTTTACCCTAAAAACAAACAGAATTTACTCATCATCATACATTTTTTCACCATTCAGCCTGTTGTAATTTTCAAAATTCACCACTTTAGAGTACTTCTTAGACTGACCTATTACATTAAAAAAAAATGGTGCTAAAAAAGTGTATCGAGCGTCTCGTAAGTACCCCCTAAATCTCCCCCCAATTCCCCCAACGGATTATACATTGTATTATAGCTAGGTACATCCCCCGATGGACTTTCCATGGCCCCCTTTTTTCCTATTTTGTACATGTTTGTCGCTCAAATCGTGTTCTAAAAAAAATCGCAAAAAAATTTAGCACTTATAGATTCTCTTTGAATTTTATTTTGGGATAAATTCGAATAGAGCGGGATTTTTTTTTTTGATTTATTAAAGAAATGTTGCGCGCTTTTTTAAGATGTGTAGCTTTAAATGTGATATTAACGGAATATTCGCTGTTTCAATGTATTTTTCATACTGTGTGTTCAGTGTCGAAAAGGAATTTGTGAAATTCCTACTTAATGTTAAGGATAAATTAAATTGTCGATAGAAGAAAATGCCGCAGAATTTCCCGCATTCAATTTTTCGATGGTAAAATCGCCACAAAATCGCACCTATTTCTCTATAGAATTGTCGAAGCAATAATAAATGTTTTTTATTTTTTATTTTTTTCGTTAGAGGAAGCCCGCAGGATTTCTTCTCGAAAGGAAAATCCCGTTCTGTTCCGAAATCGATATTGTTTATTTACAATAATTCGGTTATTAAAACCGTTTTTCGCTTTGTATACCCCAACAAGTGGGATTTTAAGATGCGTTCGATGATACATAAACTGACATTAATGACATTTCGTATGACAGAAGTTTAATCGAGGTGGGAATCGATTTTTTTTTGTATAGAGGAGCAGTAACGACTGTGACAAAATAACCGTTATTTTTCAAATTTAAATACCGCCCGATGGATTTTAATTGATGTTTGCAATATTTAAAGACTGATCTAAGTTTGTACGATAATTTTTTCACGCCAGCGATCCGTTGTTTGATTAATATTACACTTGTTTAGTAGCCGGATTAAAGTGTTTAATATTAGTTGTACGAGTAAGATTTAAACAAAAAAAAACATTGATATAATATATTATATTACTTATAGAGGCTGTGTGTTAGAATTAGTTTAATTTATATTCGTGGTAAGACCAATTTAATACTTTAAACGTTTTAAGATCGATTAGGCTTTTGTATATCGTTTGAATTATTGCGGTTAATGAAAAAAAAAAAAGAAGAAAAAAAGAAATTCACACATATCTCGTAAGGCAGAATATTTATTTTCGGGGATTTACCGATCGATAATTTGAGATAGGAAAAGCCCGATCGATCCCGGTGGGATTTTTTCGGCTCGAATTCGGGCCAAATTCGAGCCGGGGATTTCCTCAATAAAACTAAAAAAAACAAATCCTCTAATCTCTTGTACTAATATACGCGCACAAACTACAGTTTATGACTAAATGAACTAATTTTAAATCCTATTGTTTGTCGAAGGAAAATTTCCAACGAAAATCCCCTACTAGTAATCGGTTTTATACTCCGTTCGCTATCGGGGGAGATTCTTGTTGAAGAATGAACTCTTTTCAACTCACTTTATCGGGAATTTGGAAAGATGTAGCCCATTTTTTAACCACCCTGTATACAGGATGGTAGTACTTTTAGTCTTATATGATTTTCTTCAATCTTTTGCATTACTATCGCCTGATAGCGAACGGAGTATAAATATAAATGCATTAATAAGAATCGACTGGGTTGTGATGTAAAAATTGTCTCGAAACTAAAAGTTTTTTTATTTTTTTGCTGGGAGTTTTCGATTTGGACGGTATTATTTGTAAAATTTACCATTCCCGATAACAAATTAGTTTGTAAATGATGTTAATAAATAAAAAGTTGTTTTATATACTGCGTATAAAAAGAAATTTTATTAATAAATGAAAATGGAATATCCGGGCGAATTTATGCGGGGGTTAAACAGGGTGAAGTGTCACAAAATGGGGGGATGTTTCCTGACGATTACACCCCAAAAAAATTCCAAATTTTAAATTAAAATTTTATTATATTAATTTTAATTTTCGCTCTATTATCGATTGGAACACATTTGGCCTAAAAGTATCTCGGTGTGCCTGGAAAAAATTCAACGAAACGTCCCCCCCTTAAAGAAAAAATTCTTTGATTTCCAAATTTACTCTTCCGTGGAATTAATTTGAATATAATTCTTCCATAATTCACCCGGAGCGATTAAAAAATTACTGAGAAAAAAATACGGGTATTATAAATATAATGTTAATAATTAAGATTGTATAAAACTGAATTGAGATAATAAAGCTAAATATAAAAAATAAATAAACGATTTATTCTTATTCTCACTCTGCTATCGAATCAAAAAAAAAAGAAACGCATTGGAAACAAATTATAAAGAATCGTCTAGAACTATTTAAAACTGTCTAGAACTATTTAAAACTTTTCAGGATCATTTAAAACTGTCTAGAACCATTTAAAACTGTTTAGAACTATTTAAAACGTTCCAGGATTATTTAAAACTGTCTAGAATCATTTAAAACTCTCCAGAACCATTTAAAACGTTCTAGAGCCATTTACAACACACATATTAGAAAAAAATCAAAGGAACTAAACATTCCAAACTATTCCTTCAACGCCCCATTTAAACCACCCCAAAACACAACAAAAAAAAACTTATCACACACCAATCCAAACCGGCCTCTTCCCCATCAACCAACACAGCCATTAACATCACTGACCGGCCTTTCCGATCTCCGCAGACCTCAAGGCCGCCTTCTCGATAGCATCCATAAAAGCAGCCCTGCAACAAACAAAACCACTCAAATAAACCAAACAAATCCATTCGAAAACCACTGGTTAAATCACCTCATATTGTGCTCCTCCAAAGCCCTCACCCCTCGAATGGTGCTCCCCCCCGGCGAACATACTTCATCTTTCAACTGCCCCGTGTGCTTGGTCGAATCCCTCGCCATTTTCGCCGCCCCCAACGCCATCTGGGCGGCGAATTCGGTAGCCCAAGCCCTGGGCAGGCCCATGAAAACGGCCCCATCAGCGAGGGCTTCGAGCATCATATAGACGAAGGCCGGTCCGCTGCCCGTGAGAGCTCCGGCCGTATCGATTAAATGCTCTGGGATTTCCCTGCATAATCCAGTCGATGAGAGCATTCGATTGAGCAGCTCTATATCGGTTTTAGTGGCTGTTGAGTGAGGGGTGTATAACGTACAACCTGTTGGTGTATAATCGTGTTAATAATAATAATCGAGAGGGTAATAAAATACACGATTAATTACCTTCTCCTACTGTCATAGGGGTGTTGGGCATCGTTCTGATTATTCTAGCGTTGTAAGGGTGTAATTTAGAAGCCAATTGTTGTAGTGTTACTCCTGCTAGTATTGATATGTAGAGTTTCGATTGGAATTGATCGGGTTTGTGGGTTTTATTTATATCATCGATGGCTGTTTGGAGTATATGGGGTTTTACGCATATGAATATAACATCGGTGGTTTCTATTAAGTAACCGTTGTGTTCGAACACTTTGCAGCCTTTTTGGGACCACCAGGTGAGATTGTCGAGTCTCGGGCCTGATACGTGGATTTGTTCGTAGGGGATTAGGCCTGTGGATGAAGAGTGAAGTTAGCTTTGATTCGGTGGTTTGTAGCTGTTTACCTTTAGATGCTAGTCCTTTTGGTTATTTATATTTGTAGATGTTTACCTTTAATTTAGCTATTTGTAGGTATTTACCTTTAGATACTAATCCTTCGCATATGGCCTTTGCCATGTTTCCACCCCCGATGAAGCCGATTTTCTGGGATAGGGGTTTGGTTAAATTCGGTTCCGCCATTTTGTTCGAATAGACTGCGTGTGATTTAAAAAAGAGTTTTATGGCGATAAAAGTAATTTCGTAATTTCACGTGCGCTTTCTTGGTTGATTTTTCGAAAAAAGATTGCTTCGAAAATTCGACTTTAGAGGTTATTTTCATATATTTCGATTCTTCTTTTAGCTGAACTAGTTCGGCCTCGGTTGGTGTTGTTATTCAGACACTTTGCAGGCGAGGATTTCTTTACGACGCGTTGTTGCCGGATCATCACGCTCGTCTTCTATACTACTACTTTTTTAATTAACGTGATATCATTAATAGAGTATTATAGTTTATTATTACGCAATTACAAGAAAACACGATTATTTAAGCATCGGTATTTTATAATATTTCCATTCAGATCCATTCAGAGTAGATTCAGGGTAGATTCAGAGCCATTCAGAGTAGATTCAGAGTGTATTTCGAGTAGATTTACAAGAAAATACAATTATTTAAGCATCGTCTTTTTATTAAATTTACTTCAAATTAATCATACATTACAATCAATCGGATTTATTTTCGTTAATATCCTAGCAGGAATTTAGCAGGTAGCGAACCGGCAACGCCGCCATCTTTTAATTCGTCGTAAAACCCGCGACGGCCTGCTTGATTTTTGATTGTCTAAATCGTCTTCATTGTGACAACTGACGCGAAGCGCAACGTTTTCTATCGTTTAAATTCGAAGTGTTTGTTTTTCGAAATAAAAAATATATAAATTTCTCGCGTTTATCGTTCGAAAAAAGCATGCCGGTCGATCAGGAATTGAACCAAGTGCTGGTGAGAAGGCAGGAGATGAACGAGGCGCTCGACAACGGCGACGAAATCGAAATCAAATACCGGGTGGTGAACGTTTACACCGAATTCAAGGAATTCGCGAGGAAGGAGATCAAAAAGTACGAGGACACTTTTAAAAAGTAAGTACTCGTTTTGTATAATAATGTAGTATAATCGAGTTGGCGGTGTTAGTAGTAATTTAAATTGTTTGTTTTATTATGTAGTAGTAGGCTTTGTAAATTTGTTTGGGGATATAATTCGTTGGTTTTTGCGTTATAAATCATTTAAAAATTTGTTTGGGGCTATAATTTATTGATTTTTGCGTTATAAATCGTTTAAAATAATCGAAAATTGGTAGTAGGAGTCGGGATTTTTTTTTGAATTTCTTCTTTTTCGCCGCAAAAAATATTTTTTTGACAGTTTTGACAGGCGCGATTCGAAATTGGAAATTATTGATAATTTTCGATTTTAAATGGCGGAAAAACGAAGGGACGAAATGTCTAGAAATGAAAAATCGAAAGTGAAATTCCTCGAAAGCGTCATTGTATTTAATCGTGTTCGTGAAAAAAACACATGCATAAATAAATAAATAAAACATGCACGTAGGTCGGCACGTTTTCACAAAGGGGGCTTGTTTATTTCCTGAATATATTTTATCGGCCTTTTGCTTGAGCGATATCCAGCCAAAAATGTTTTTTGAATTATTAGAAAATTTACTAAATACACCCTGTTGTGTGGTATAATAGTTATGGTAGAAATATATCTGAAAGCTCAAAAGGGTAATTTTAATGCTATAGGGTAAATTAGGTGCCAGAATATTTCAGCAGTAGAGTAGATTCAGAGTTCATTACATTCAGAGCCATTCAGAGTAGATTCAGAGTGTATTTCGAGTAGATTTAGAGTAAATTATTCAAAGTAGGAAGAGTAGGGTAGGGTAAGTTGTTATATTTTGCTGTAAATAAAAATTCTTAATCATCAAATGGATTATTTTTGGTAATTTTCCGGTAACTCTGCGCCCAATTTATACTTATAGATTCAAAAATCTCCAATCCATTTAACGCCTAAAAAAATATTAAATAAATATAAAAATCTCTAATCCATTTTCTCATAAAAAAATACAAAATAAATAACAGGAATTTAATTCCATTCGGACTGCTATGGAGAAGAAGAAATGCATTTTTGCGCGTGAAAGTATTTCGCATTATTTATTTATTTTTTCTTTTCCAAAGCATCAGGAAGCGATTTTTTTTAAATTATCGGAAATTTCTTTCGCTCTCGCGCTCAATGAACTCTTTGGCGAGTTCATTTTCGAATCGAATTAAATTACCTTAGAAATTAAACGTGGAATTTTTCGTTATTATACCGAAAGCGAAACATCTGCGATTCTATTTATACATTTTTTGATTATTTTCTATTTTCGGATTATAAATCGATTTCCATTCGAATTTTTGGACTATAAATAAAGGGGCTACTTTTTATTGAGACACCCTGTATAATATTGCATTAATAGGTCGAATTCGAATAGGAAAGATGTCGAAAAATCGAAGCATTTTAAAATAGAATATTTACATTCCGTTATATATTCGATTATGATAAATAAATAAATAAATTGCAAAATAATATTAAACATATTTCGCGATTAATCTCTTCATAAACAAGATAATATGTAGATACACATTATCGTATCGTTTAACACTCGATTTATTTATTATACAGGGTGTTTAATTAATTATAATAATCATAATTAACATTTGGATGATTTTAAGAAGAAAAGTTTATGTCCTAAACCTCTTAATTTTCGAGCTATACAGGGTGTTGCAGTTTTAGATAGAACAAATATCGGCATTCGATTAATTAACACCCTGTATTTATTCGACATGCACCCGAAATATATTTAAATAATATGTTTATACCTGGATGGTTAGATTACAAAAAAAAATGTCGAATTCTGGAAAAATGACTAATTCAAAATATTAATTACAGGCGTATTTAGAATAAAAATAACGTTATTTTTTATCGATATAGATAACGTTTCGTGGATGACGCATCGGGAAAAACTTACATGAAAAATAAATAGGAAACGAATCATTCGTTTCGTATTTCGAAATTATACATATCAGTGCAAATTTGCTTCGAGTGGAACAAAGAAAGATTTATTAAAACAACGGTGGTTAGAGCGAGATAGTTGCAATACTCCCCCCTCATACAATATCGCTCCGTCTTTTTCCTTTATAAGAGACCGAAATGAAGCTGTCTTTGTTGCACCCGTTTCGTACCAATTTGCACTTATCTGTATTATTTTGACGTCATCGCAAAACAAACGGATGTATTTTATGATAAATCTGGTGTTGTTTTATCTACACTATGAGTTATTATTTAACACGCTATTCAGACAATATTAATAATCATTCATAGAAACTCCCAAAAAGAAAAAACATGAATATTTCGTTGTAGATAGCCAGAAAAATTGGGATTTTTGAAGGGAATTTTCGCGTTTATTTCGAAATGTAGACGTTTAAGCGCGACTTTTTTTGGTTTTTTTTAAGGATGAGTGTCCATTGGAAGTTGGAATTATTTTTTTTTTTCGAAAACAGGTTTGCCTTATTACTGGAGGTCAACAAAATTAAATGCGCCCGGTCGAAGAGCGAAATTTTAATTCGTCCAAGAAATAATGATGTGGAAAATGTTCCAAAATTTCTCCTTATTAAGACTAAATGAGAATTTTTCATCCTACCCTCGTATAGGGACATTTTTTCTTTTAGATCTCCCTCTATTTTTATAATTTTTTTAGTACTATAATAGAAGTTATTTTCGAACTTTTTAGGGGGGTGTGGTCCAGTTTTTTTTAGTATTTTTCACACGTCTGTGTTGCTAGTAAACCGAATTTATTCAAAAGTTTCTATTCTGTTTGTGTGACGAAATTAAACATTGAGATTATCGAGTAAAACGTCGTATTTATACAAACAATTAAAATTAATTATTAGATCGTGTGTATGCGGGACTTGCTTAACTTCATTATTTACTATTAGATTTTTTTTTCTGTGTAGAAAACGTATTGTTTTGGATGCACGTCACGCGGTTGAATTTCAGTTTTTGTAATTTCGAAAAAATATATATTAATAGCGGAATTCCCTGGAGTGCTACCACAAACTAGGCCTGCATAAATATTTATTTTTTATTTTCCATTCGAAAATGGATAAACTCTCGTTAGATAAATATTTATGTGTTTTAACTCTGCACCACTTTTAATACAAAACTAGTGTTTCATCGGTGCATTTCAAAAGAGTTCTCTTCAGATGCAATTGTAAATTACATTTTAACTACAGTTTAAACTGATGATTAATGCATGAAGCAATTAATTGTATACAGTTAAACAACCCTCTATATAGTATTCTAAAATTTAATTATGTAATCAATAAATTGAAGCCTAATAAAACTTACGAATTTAATGGTTTTGTACATTTAGGAGAGTGCAACGGAATTCGACACAATATAACGGTTATTTTGTAACAGTCCGTTACTGAACCTCTACACCGAAAAATCTATTCCCACCTCTATTAAACTTCTGTCATACGAAATATTTCGTTAACGTCAATTTTGACAGTTTTTGTACCATCGAACGCATCTTAAAGTCCCACTTACACGTGATGTGATGTATATTCGAGTATACAAGGCCAAAAATGTTATAGTAATTTATCGTAGAAATATACAGGGCGTGGAATTTCTGCGTATAATTTCGCTAAACAAAGATAAATTCTGGTAAATTCGGTGCGAATTTCCGGTAACAAACCAGGAAATATTTTATGTTATACGAATAAAAAAAACGTATTTAAACTATATGTAAATATTTATTTTGTGTAAGCGATATCGCTACTTGGAAATGAATATTTGTTTACATTACTGTGTATTTATATCGACGTTACTCGAAGTAACTGTTACATTTTTTTACAATCCCATCTCTATCTATCTTTCGTTTCGTTTCGAACAGAACCTACTAAGATGCGCACGTGCGTTTACCACACGCCGATATAATTTCGCTATTTTCACCGATTTAATTATAAAAAAGCGGCTACGAAATTTATTTTAAATAAGTTTCTCGTTTCTCCCGTCGAATTGGTATTTATTTATTTTTTTTATTTGTGTTTTGGGTCGGGGCTAATTTAAAAAAGAGCGCCGTTGAATTGATTTCCGAGGACGTTTCACTTGATTGTTCCACAGCTTCGCTATTAAATAATTGGTTTTTAATAGGGGAATAAAAAATCACACTGTTTAGAATGATTTGGAACTGTCTAGAATCATTTAGGATGCTCCAGAATCGTTTATAACTGTCTCTGTAACCATTTAGAATGCCCCAGAATCATTTAGACTTGTCTAGAATCGTTTATAACTGTCTCTATAACCATTTAGAATGCTCCAGAATCATTTAGACTTGTCTAGAATCATTTATAACTGTCTCTATGACCATTTAGAATGCTCCAGAATCATTTAGACTTGTCTAGAATCGTTTATAACTGTCTTTATAACCATTTAGAATGCTCCAGAATCATTTAGACTTGTCTAGAATCATTTATAACTGTCTCTATGACCATTTAGAATGCTCCAGAATCATTTAGACTTGTCTAGAATCGTTTATAACTGTCTCTATAACCATTTAGAATGCTCCAGAATCATTTAGACTGGTCTAGAATCATTTAGGATGCTCCAGAATCATTTAGAACTGTCTAGAATCGTTTAGGATGCTCCAGAATCGTTTAGAATCTCTCTAGAATCTTAAAAGAAATCTTAATCTTAAATCTTAAAAGAACTTTAACTTTAATTATTAAATGAATAGGTTTAATTAAATGAAACAAACGTATTTATTAGGAAAAAATAAATTTATTCCGAAACTTAAGACTAGATTATACAGCATATTATATAGGATCGGATGGGATTTTACTAATCAATAAATATAATAAATTTAATTTGTATAAATAATTACTTTTACATCTTAAAAGAACTCACTGGGGAATCGACATAAGTGGTATAACGTACATAATAACATGTCATGGGAACAAAACGATACATTAAATAAGTACTCGATTAAACTTAATCTAATAAGTTCCATTTTTTTTCTAGTTTTTTTTTAAAATACGTTAAAATGTAAGGCCTCATCACCACAAAAACGCATAAATAAAATTCATTTAGCTATCGAACTATAAACCAACTATCACATCTTATAACTTCAGTACATTTTTTTTCTTTTTTCGTTTTGGATTTCTTACTAAATTCGGCAACGTCGCGCAACTTCCATTGCGCATTACGAACAATCAAGGCGCTGTTGCCGAGTGTTCATCGATGTATTCGATTTAAGGAAAAGCAATCGTTAATGACTATTAACTACTAAATATAATTATAAATTCAATTCAAAATAGCTGATATTAATTAGCTATATAGTAACCCAGCAAATAGCGAAAAAATCAAACCAAACGACGCGATAAACATACCCTAAAACTCCATAATGTAGAAAGTACGGCAACAGCGCTTGTCGAAACAATTCATCAAAAATCATTTACAACTGCCCAAAACCGTTTAGAACGTTCCAGAATCAATTAGAACTGCCTATAACCGTTTTAGAACACTCTAGAACCGTTCAGTGTACTCCAGAATCATGTTAGAATGTTTAAGAATCATTTACAACTATCTAGAACTGTTTTAAAACATTCTAGAACCGTTCAGTGTACTCCAGAATGATGTTAGAATGTTTAATAATCATTTACAACTATCTAGAACCGTTTTAGAACACTCTAGAACCGTTCAGTGTACTCCAGAATTATGTTGGAATGCTTAAGAATCATTTACAACTATCTCGAACCGTTTTAGAACACTCTAGAACCGTTCAGTGTACTCCAGAATGATGTTAGAATGTTTAATAATTATTTACAACTATCTAGAACCGTTTTAGAACACTCTAGAACCGTTCAGTGTACTTCAGAATGATGTTAGAATGCCTAAGAATCATTTACAACTATCTAGAACCGTTTTAGAACACTCTAGAACCGTTCAGTGTACTCCAGAATGACGTTAGAACGCTTATCGACAATCACAATTAACTACCGAGTGTTATTAACATGAATTCAATTTAATAATTTGCTAGTAAACGCCTCTATAACGTCATAATGCGCAGTAGAAGTTGCGCACTCTATCACTGCTCGAAATCGCACTAAATTGCACTAAATTACACTAAAAAAAAAAAACAAGCCCCAGCTACCTCATCATCTGTCTAAAATCGTCCAATTTATAAATACTATTCGACAATCGACCGAACGCGTTGATCAACGACACGATTTCGCTCCTCTGCAATTGAAACTCTTTTTTATTGAGCGAATCCAACGATCGATTGTCGATCAATCGATCGAATTTCCCGCTGAAGAGTATCTTCAAAGCGGTACCCAAACCGTTGGTTTGCAATTTGCCCCACAGGCGGCATTTGTCGCAACCGACGCAGTCCATGATGCGCGTGATGTTCCTGAAATGTTGCCGGAATTCCTGCTTCAATTTCACGGCCTGCTCGGTGTCGCCGAACATTGTGGTTTCGTCGAAATGATCGCCGAAGGATTTGATGACGTTGAGGAGGTCCTTGACGGCCATTTGGGTGTCCCAATCGTTCGATTCGTCGCCTGGAAAATTGAGGGATTTTTTTTATAGAAATTTTGTCGTTATTAGAGCTTGGAAAATGTGCACTTAGAGCATTAAAATCAGTTAGAAATTCGTTAGAAAATCGTTTAGAATTATCTAGAACCATTCAGGACGCTCCGGGATGATGTAGAATGCTCCAGAATGGTCCAGAATCAATAAAAACTGTCTAGAACCGTTTAGAATGCTCTAGAATCAATTAGAACTGCCTAGAACTGTTTTAGAACACTCTAGAACCGTTCAGTGTACTCCAAAAATGATGTTAGAATGCTCCAGAATTAATTAGAACTATATAGAACCGTTTTAGAACACTTTAGAACCGTTCAGTGTACTCCAGAATGGTTATAGAATGCTTAAGAATCATTTAGAACGGCCATTTGGGTGTCCCAATCGTTCGATTCGTCGCCTGGAAAATTGAGGGATTTTTTTATAGAAATTTTGTCGTTATTAGAGCTTGGAAAATGTGCACTTAGAGCATTAAAATCAGTTAGAAATTCGTTAGAAAATCGTTTAGAATTATCTAGAACCATTCGCTCCGGGATGATGTAGAATGATCCAGAATGGTCCAGAATCAATTAGAACTGTCTAGAACCGTTTAGAATGCTCTAGAATCAATTAGAACTGCCTAGAACCGTTTTAGAACACTCTAGAACCGTTCAGTGTACTCCAAAAATGATGTTAGAATGCTCCAGAATTAATTAGAACTATATAGAACCGTTTTAGAACACTTTAGAACCGTTCAGTGTACTCCAAAAATGATGTTAGAATGCTCCAGAATTAATTAGAACTATATAGAACCGTTTTAGAACACTCTAGAACCGTTCAGTGTACTCCAAAAATGATGTTAGAATGCTCCAGAATTAATTAGAACTATATAGAACCGTTTTAGAACACTCTAGAACCGTTCAGTGTACTCCAAAAATGATGTTAGAATGCTCCAGAATTAATTAGAACTATATAGAACCGTTTTAGAACACTTTAGAACCGTTCAGTGTACTCCAAAAATGATGTTAGAATGCTCCAGAATTAATTAGAACTATATAGAACCGTTTTAGAACACTCTAGAACCGTTCAGTGTACTCCAAAAATGATGTTAGAATGCTCCAGAATTAATTAGAACTATATAGAACCGTTTTAGAACACTCTAGAACCGTTCAGTGTACTCCAAAAATGATGTTAGAATGCTCCAGAATTAATTAGAACTATATAGAACCGTTTTAGAACACTCTAGAACCGTTCAGTGTACTCCAAAAATGATGTTAGAATGCTCCAGAATTAATTAGAACTATATAGAACCGTTTTAGAACACTCTAGAACCGTTCAGTGTACTCCAAAAATGATGTTAGAATGCTCCAGAATTAATTAGAACTATATAGAACCGTTTTAGAACACTCTAGAACCGTTCAGTGTACTCCAAAAATGATGTTAGAATGCTCCAGAATTAATTAGAACTATATAGAACCGTTTTAGAACACTCTAGAACCGTTCAGTGTACTCCAAAAATGATGTTAGAATGCTCCAGAATTAATTAGAACTATATAGAACCGTTTTAGAACACTCTAGAACCGTTCAGTGTACTCCAAAAATCATGTTAGAATGCTCCAGAATTAATTAGAACTATATAGAACCGTTTTAGAACACTTTAGAACCGTTCAGTGTACTCCAGAATGGTTATAGAATGCTTAAGAATCATTTAGAACGGCCATTTGGGTGTCACAATCGTTCGATTCATCGCCTGGAAGTTAGAAATCGGTTAGAAAATCGTTTGGAATTATCTAAAACTATTCAGAACGCTTCAAGATGATGTAGAATGCTCCGGAATGATCCAGAATCAATTAGAACTGCCTAGAACCGTTTTAGAACACTCTAGAACCGTTCAGTGTACTCCAGAATGATGTTAGAATGTTTAAGAATCATTTACAACTATTTAGAACCGTTTTAGAACACTCTAGAACCGTTCAGTGTACTCCAGAATGATGTTAGAATGTTTAAGAATCATTTACAACTATTTAGAACCGTTTTAGAACACTCTAGAACCGTTCAGTGTACTCCAAAAATGATGTTAGAATGCTTAAGAATCATTTAGAATTATCTAGAACCATTTTAGAACACTTTAGAACCGTTCAGTGTACTCCGGAATGATGTTAGAATGCTTAAGAATGATTTACAACGGCCATTTGGGTGTCCCAATCGTAAGGGACTTTTTATAGAAATATTCTCGTTATTAGAGCTTTGAAAATGTGCACTTGGAGCATTAAAATCGGTTAGAAAATAGTTTAGAATTGACCCTTGAGGGCCATTTGGGTGTCCCAATCGTTCGATTCGTTGCCTGGAAAATTAAGGGATTTTTTTATAGAAATGTTGTCGTTATTGGAGGATGGAAAATGTGCACTAAAAACGTTGAAAATAAGCATTTAGAGCATTAGAATCAGTTAGAAAATCGTCTGAAACCATTCGGAACGCTCCGGGATGATGTAGAATGCTCGGGAATGCTCTAGAATCAATTAGAACTGCCTAGAACCGTTTAGAACGCTCTAGAACCATTCAGTGTACTCCAGAATGATGTTAGAATGCTTAAGAATCATTTACAACTGCCTAGAACCGTTTAGAATGCTCCAGAATCAATTAGAACTACCTAGAACTGTTTTAGAACAATCTAAAACCATTCAGTGTACTCCAAAATGATGTTAGAATGCTTAAAAATGCCATTTAGGTGTCCCAATCGTAAGGGATTTTTTATAGAAATATTCTCGTTATTAGAGCTTTAAAAATGTGCACTTGGAGCATTAAAATCGGTTAGAAAATCGTTTAGAATTGATCCTTGATGGCCATTTGGGTATCCCAATCGTTGGATTCGTCGCCTGGAAAATGATGGGGGTTTTTATAGGAATGTTCTCGTTATTAGAGCTTAGAAAATATGCACTAAAAACGTTCAAAATATGCACTTATGTATATGCGTTTATGCTCAATAAGAAAAAAAAATCAGTTATTACCCGTATAAAATTCTTCTCGTTCCAAATAAGGCGCCGCCTTGGCTAGAGCGCGCAGCTCCACCAAGTAGATAAAGTAGAGGTTCCTCAGCCAATTGGGGCCCTCGCCGTTGGTGGTTTCCGGCGAAAACCTTCGCCTAAACTCCTCCAAATTGGGACCCCACTTGGTCTTGCCCAAAGCGAAACCGTTACCGTTCCCCAACAAATAATCCGCGCACAAATGCGTGTTGATGCTGGCGTGTAGCCCGGAAACCGATCGGTAAAAGACCCGCTCCTCCAAGCACAGCTCGTTCAATTTGTGGCTCTGTATGTAGGAATTGAAGCTGAACGATTTCTTGGGCCTGAAGCAGTTCTCCAGGTAGATGCTCGTCCATACTCGATGCGCCGATTCGCCCGAATAACTGAAATATAAGAGGCCGGTTAGTTGATAGATTTCGCCTGAATAACTGCAATATAAGAGGCCGGTTTAGTCGATAGATTCGCCTGATTAACCGAAATGTAGCAAGACGGTTGGTTAATAGATTCGCCTGAATAACTGAGATGTAAGAGGCCGGTTTAGTTGATTAGATTGTGTACTCACCCTGTATATCTTTCGGGGTTTAGTAATAAGTCGACATATTCGGCTTCTTGATCGTTTTCGTCTAACACGCAGAAATTGTCTGTAGCATCATCGTAGGCCTCCCACATTTGCATGTCCTTCTGGACCTTCTCCGATATAGTCTTATTTAAATAATCTACAATACAATGACGATTAGAAGTGATTATTTAAGTGGTTTAGGGTGTACCTAAATCGTTGTGATGGGTTTCGCAGTCTTCGTTGGTCCGTTTCGAGTACTTTTGGCTGGGTCCCGCGCTCACCGAAGGCCTCCTTTGTCCTTTTAGACCCTCGGGGATCTCCTCGGGGGGGCAGGTTTGCACGTGGCAGTCCTTCATGGCGCATTTGCTGTCGTCGGACCAAAACGGACATGGTCGTTTCAAATTCACCTATCGAATAATACACTAAATTTCTACTCATTTCAACTCAAAACTACTACCTTGTAGAACCTGAAATAGTCCTTCAACAGTAAGCTCTTCAATCTCGGGTAGACCCTGACGTTGTTGAAGTGGTCTACGGTGTCTATGTTGCACGAACACTCGTCTATTGTGCCGTATAATTGGCAGAAACAGTCCTGGCGCTTTTCAACGTTGAAATAGGCCGAACATTGGTTGAACACCAGCACGCTCAGAAATACCGATAAGTTTCCCATCAACATTGTGCACTTGCATTGCGGTTCGAACGAGGCGCGATAATACGCATTTCTGGGGAAATTTTTTTCCCAGATTATTTTTTTTCACATCGTTCCTTATCGACCTACGATAATCGAACACGTATGTAACGGAAAACAGCTGTGCTAGAAATTTAATAACAGTGGGATGACAGTCGGGTAGGAATTTGAGGTTAGGATGAGCTGTCTTGTCAGTTTGGTGTGCGACGTTGCCGGCGTGTACTCTAAAGCGATGTTTGCGAATAACACGAGTCGCATATTTTTGAATTGTTTCGTATTGTTAGTTACCATTCGCTTTGAATTATAATCGAATAAGTGCTGGATGTGTTTTTGGTGTAGTATTTTGTTTTGTTCAATTCGTGATAAACATTTCTACTAAGACTAATCGGCTAAGAATTTTGCATAAGGATTTCTGTAAGCGAAAACCGGCAACGTCGCTAACGAAAGCGCCGTAATCAGTGACGTGGGTTAAATAATTAGGAGGGAGGTTAATGGGTCATCGAAGAATTTAAAGATAATTTACGACACACTTATCGGAATTCGCCTAATTAGATTCGCGCGAAATAGCTGTATTACCTGCTCGACGGCACGTTCAAGATACCTTTGTTAATGATTCACCTTAGTTAGAAAAAAGTACATAAAGAAATATGTCAAATATGGAGAATTTGAATAAAAAATATACCCCGTAATAAGTCGATAATGCAATTTTATTGCAAGTATGAGAATTCTGTATGTATAAGAACATTCAAAGAGGCCATTATGAATGATATTAGCTACCCTATCTTGAACTAATCTTCATTATAAACTCAAGAAAGAACCCCAAATAAACCCTGAAACCCTCAAATACCCCACCCTGCACTACTCTTACTTATATTCTCGAGAAATAACCCCAAAAAACACATAAAAAACTCTTTAAATACCCTACTTTTGCACTAATCTTCCTTATTTATTCAAGAAAGAACCCCAAATGATCCCCCTTATAAACGATAACGCAATTTTATTGCAAGTATGAGAATTCTACATGCACAAGAACATTAAAAGAAGCCATTATGAATAATATTCCCTACCCTACCTTGCTCTAATCATCCTCATACACTCAAGAAACAACCCCAAATGAACCCAGAACCCCTCAAACTCCCCACCTTTACACACTCAAGAAAGAACCCCCTTACAACGCAAGTAGCCATCACATAGAGCCCCCAATCGGGATCCTTTCGAGCAAAACACCCCAAACGAAACCCTCTACATGTAGTACCCAACTAATCGGGAGCCTTTCTGAGCAGATTCAACACCAACAAGGACGGCTACCTCAGCCTGGACGAGCTCAAACGCATGATGGAAGTCCTGGGGGCGCCTCAAACTCACCTGGGGCTCAAATCGATGATCCAGGAGGTGGACGAAGACGATGATGGGCGATTGTCCTTCCACGAATTCATGCTGGTGTTCAGGAAGGCCCGAGCCGGGGAGCTCGAAGAGGACTCGGGCTTGGCCCAGCTGGCGAGGCTCACCGAGATCGATGTGGATAAAGTCGGAGTGAATGGGGCTAAAGAGTTCTTCGAAGCGAAGGTATTGTAGAGAGGATTAGTAGAGGAGATTGGTAGAGGATTGTATTTGGGTTGTTTGTAGATCATCGAGTTGGCTAAAAAGGGGAAATTCGAAGAGGAAATAAGGCAGGAGCAGGAGGAGAGGAAGCGTTTGGAGGAGGAGAAGGCCATGAGGAGGAGGGAGTTTTTGCAAAAAGCGGCGGTTTTTAAGTAAAATCGTTTTGGATTTTGTATATCGATCGAATTGTAATTTTTTTATATATAAATTTATCTTGTAAATAACATAACGAATGGTTAGTTTTATTTGATTTCGCTTTAAGCTTAAAGTGTGTAAATATTTTATTCGACGCTCTATTGAATAAACGATTGAAATTATAGTTTTTTTTATTCCCATTTCGAAACTCGATTGGATGTTAACACTACAAAAACGCCCGTATTTACTCCAAATCCAATTATAATTATACATTAAAATTAGATTAACAAATTTCAAAATTACACTAAAACGTTCACCTAAAAAATACAATTCGGAAAAAATGTTTTTTTGATACAAACAGAAAAAAAAAATTATTACCACTTTTACGAATAACCGTTGCAATGATTATGGAAATATTCAAATGCTCTTCAAACCCCAGCATTAATAAATATAAAGTAACCTTGTAATCGTTTTTAAACAATGATTCTATCGCAACCTTTATTCAAACGATGACTTGAGTATCCAGAACAATATTAACTATTTCTCAATAAAAAAAATCAATAATAGAAATAATAAAAATCAACCTAATCAATGTACTGCGCCAACCAACGAAACCCTTCCCCGTATCCCTGCCTCTTCAATATGGAGCACATAAACAGCTCGAAAGGCCTTCCGGGCAAATCCGATCGAGCGACTTTACCTTTACCGGTCGTTTGGCCATACAACGAGTAAACGTTTCGCAACTCATCCTCAGAGGCGGCGTCCGGTAGATCGATTTTATTGCCTAGAATCAGCACGGGGCAATTCGCTAGGGTTTCGTCTGTTAGTAAAGCATCCAATTCCTGTTTGCTCTCTACGAATCTCGATCTAAAATAGCTCGAATTACTAATAAATTGGGATTAGTAATAGTTAGTTTACCTGTCGTTAGCATCAATGAGGAATACAATGGCGTCTACAGCTGGGAAGTAATCCTTCCACACTCTTCTAGCCTGCGAATGCCCTCCGAGATCGAACGTAGTGAATCTCATGTTACCGATGGATAATTCCTCTGAAGTCGGATGCAATGTAGGCAAGTGCTGGGCCAGTCTATCATCTTTAAGCATGTGCAATAAGGTCGTTTTACCAGCATTATCTAGTCCTAAAAACAGCAATTTTCCGGACTTCTTCCATAGTCCTAAGTACCCCAACACTCCCGTGAACCAATCCCATATGAACATTTCGGTTGATTGTTGGTTGTTTGCTGAATTTTTTTAAGCTAAATCGAGCTCGCTGTGGCCTAAAAATTTAGTTGAATACCCGATTTTGAACGGAATTAATTAATAATTATCTAGCTAAAAGGTTGACAGATGAAAAGGGATGACACGCTGAGTTGGAGATATTCGTCTTCTTTCAACTTCTCTAAAACTGGCCTCGATTGTACGGTTATACGTACATAAATCGAATGTATGCTTCATAGACAAAATAAAATCTTTCTTTCTCTATGGTATGCTTGTATTGTTTTATATATTTCACAAATTAGTTGTTTGTAAATGATACATTATAATTATATTACGTTTTAATTGTATTGATGGAGTTTTATTACTTTTATACAACTTCTACTAAGTAAGTTATCCAACCACATAACCTCTAAATGTCAAAGTTGTAGTAGGAAACTAGGAAGGATTGTTTTTTTTTCATTTGTGCCTTCTTTGATTAGTAATTTAATAGTCAATAAGCTTTTATAGTGTTTAATCTAATAATGCCGCCACCAGTTTCGGTTTCAATATCACCCCCAGTTCTTTCATTTTTAATGCTCGAAAACGAAAAATGCCACTACCAGCAGGTGAAACAAACACATCATATAACTCAGTACATTTAACCACCCAATTCGATTTCCAGGAAGGCTTCCTATTCGGCGAAATAAACCAAAAAGAAACCAAAAGCATCACCGACAACGACCACCAACAGATCAACATCAGCACTACAATCAGAATCGACTCCTCCACCTCCTGCCCCAAAATACACTATTTCTACAATAACATAGGAAAAATCGACGAGGAGAAGCTCAAAAGATTCTTCGGCGAACGCTTCGACAGAATCATCGGCTGGTACGTCTACCAGAACAGGCCTACGACCAACCTCACCCTGCGCTATCGGCTCATCCACAGGCAACTCTGCGAACTCTTCCAGAAATCCAGGGAGTTCTTCGCCTTCGGGCTGCTCAACTACGACAGATCCTCGAACGGGTCCACTCACACGTTCGCCCAATCGTTCTATCGGTGCACCGAATTGGGCTGGGACAAGTTACCGATGGTTATTCCGAATTTATCCGATAACGTGAATGCTTACAGGACGCCCGAAGCGCCTTCGGTTACCTTCGATGGGATTCTGGCGGAGATCGGGAAGAGGGAGTTTAACAAAGCGCCGTTGTGGGTGATTAATCGGGTGCAGAATACCGTGCAGGAGCATAACGAGGCGCTTGTTAAGGAGGTGGCTGAGGCGGAGAGTCGGTTGTGGGTGTTGCAGCGGGAAGTGGAGGAGAAGGTGGGTGTGTGTTGTAGGATTCGTGTGGGTTTAATTGCGATTTGGTTTTAGTTGAAGGAGTTTAAAGAGAGAAAGTTGACCGGTGTGGCGTCTTCTTCGCTTTCGATAGATGACAAAGAGGAAGTTGGGAATACTTCATCGACTGAGTCGCTTTAAAGAGAATGGTAAGGTAAAATTAAAGAAAAAAAAAACGCTATTAACCGATGTTTGTTTAACAATTTCGTTATTTTAATGAAAGTGTAATTTTTAAGTGAGGATGTATTATTTATTGTAGATTTTAAACGTGTTTTTGATAATTTCTTTTTTCGAATTGTATCCAGTTATCCAGTATTAACTACATAACCTACAAAATTTTCTTTGGGAAATGTCAAAAAAATATCAAAATATTGCCTCTTACTATTAAAGACATCAGCCAGTTTTGCATAGTAGGCGTAAGAATCTTTACATCAAATGAGAAGAATGACGTTTCCAGTCAGTCCCACAAAATCTATTCCATATGAAATATAACCTATAAAAAAACCTAACCTATAAGGCAAATTTTCGATAATTTTGAACTAAAAACCAGCGAAATGGATTCCGCGTTCGTTAGAATTCCAGGATTTTGTCCGGATTGCGGTTCGATTTTGCCGCCCCTTTACGAAAAGGGCGGCCTCGTTTGCTACACTTGTTCCAAAACGTTTACACAAAACGTCGAAAGCGGTGAGTTGTATCGAACAAAATTTCGCTCGAAATTCATTTCTCGCTTACTTTACAGCGTTCGGCAGCAAACGGGTCACTTACACCATCCATTTTAATTCGAGAGAAGCCAAAAAGAAGAACGTGAAAGAAGAAAACAACGAGGAAGATGAAGGGCCGGTGGTCGATAGAAAGTGCCCCAAATGCGGTAACGAGAAAATGTCTTACGCTACGCTTCAATTAAGGTCAGCCGATGAGGGACAAACTGTTTTTTATACTTGTACGAAATGTAAATACAAAGAGAGCGAAAATTCCTAAGTTTCGCTTAAACCGGTTAAATTAAATCTATACAATTTAATAAGGGACAAGAGACAAAGAAACCTTTATTATAGTGTATATACCAATTTAAATATCGTAGCAAATGTGCCAAACAATTACAGGAATCCGAAATATTTCTACATTCCATAAATAATTCATGCGAATATTAATAGATACAATTCCATTACCTTTTCAAGTCTTCATAAATACACTTATAGGAAATACAATAATAGTTGTTACAAAATAAAGAAAATTTTTACACGCTTATCAGATCGACGTTGTACACTTAAAAAACTAAAAACATTCCAAAAAGAAAAAAACAATGTAAATCTTACATAACTAAAATTAATCTATTCCTTTTTGTCGAAGATTTTATGCGCTGAAAAATACGAATAAATCATCAATAACGAATGGAGATTATTCGACAGAATCTTACCGGAATCTTTCATTTTATTGAAGGAAACATCGATGTCTTTCTGGTGTCTTAAGAAATACGGTTTTATAATCCTCCTGTATAGGACAATCGAACCGTTCCATTCACCGGGACTCATCAACCACACCAAGAATATAGCCTAAAAAAAGAAAACGAACCGTTAATACAAATACGAATAAGAACAAATTCGTCTACAATACAATCAACTCTACGAGTCGAACAAAGAAAGATTATCAAACCAACAGTTGGTTAGAATGAGAAAGTCGCAATCCCCGAGCCTAATGACTTCTGTCTTTGTTGCACCCATAGATTTATACGGTCTTTTACTACGAACCTTAACGAGCCAGTACAACGGGAACCATCGAACGATGAAATCGGCGAAATATTCGGCGACCGAGAACACGGAGAAAACCACCCAATAAGTCAACCATTTGGTGTCGTCGTCTTTTTCTTTCGATTCGATGGCTTTTATGGAAATGTAAGCGGGATAGAGAAAACCGACCGTGTTGCATACCAATTGTGCGAAATAGCCAAACACCAACCAAAGACCGACGAAAACGGCTAATCCTAATGAAACAGAAATTATAATTTATGTTATTCCTTCGGTTCAAGGTCGAAATCGAGGACCTTCGAGGTAATTATTCGAACCGTTGTGTGACTGCATTAATTGAATTACACTCACCTAGTGCGATGTATAATCTGTTAACGCCGGTTTTTTCCTCGGCGGTTTTTAGCAGAGGAGTCCAAGGCTTGGAATTATCCTGCAGGGAAGCCTCCAACATCCGCTTGAGTTCGTTCAGTTTCTGCGCCATGATTGCACTGAAACGATACCGGTCGTTATTAAACGGACTTTGTGTTAATTACGTGCGAATTAAAAATTTTACCTTGGAATTTTGAGATTTATTATACTAATTATACACCGAGCTAAAAAAGAACCGCACAATTTTTTTTTCGTGACAGTTTCAAACCGACATTGACATTGTCATTAACGTCAATGTCAAATTGAAAGTGTAGAGTTGGAAAGGATCACGGCCGTATATTTCTAAGGTCTGGAAACTTCTTTTTTGCTTTAGAAAAAGTGTCCTCGAAGATCTAATTCTATATGTATAATTCGTACAAACGCAAAAAAACTAATCCTTTACAACATAACCTCCTAGCGGTCGTTTTAGAGACTCTGGTTTATCTTCTAATAACGGGAGACTTTTTAAGATGAGTTTCCAGACCTTAGAAATATACGACCGTGGGAAGGATAAATGTTCCATTCCCGTTACAAATGAACTTTTACACCTCTATTACACAGGCATCAAGATGTTTATGTTGCATATCTGTCAGTGTTTTATTGTAATAATAAATTTTTAACAAAGTTATAACTATAATTGATCGTTAATTAGCACAAAAAAATGAACAAAGCGTATTCTCCTAATGATCCAATTTAGTATTTAATTCGACCTGTTGCTGTAAATACAGCAATAAAAATGGCTGCACCACTTCCACGAACAATACTACTGTTTAGTGGTAAAAGAAAGTCCGGTAAAGACTACATTTGCAACAAATTGAAGAACGCGTAAGTAACTTTCATCCGGCTTATAAAACGTTCATTATTCACTAAATTATCAGTCTAGGCGATGAGAATTGCACCGTAATAAGGATATCGGAGCCCTTGAAAGCGATATACGCCAAACGCCACGATTTGGATCTACAAGAGCTGTTGAGCGAGGGGCCCTATAAAGAAATCTACCGGAGCGACATGATCGAATGGAGCGACGTGGAAAGGGGCGAAAACCCCGGAATTTTTTGCCGAGCAGCTTGCGAATCAGGTTTGGTTATCGATAGCTGTTAACTTACATTAGGAGTAACTAACGTGAATATTCAGCGATTTTAAAACCTGTTTGGATCGTGAGCGATGTTAGAAGGAAAACCGACATCGAATGGTTTAGTAGAGAATACGGGGATTTGATAAAAACCATCAGAATTACGGCGGATGTTGGTGTAAGGGAGCAAAGGGGTTACGTTTATACGAAAGGTAACGTTATAATTTATTTTTTTATGAGGATTTGTTGAGGTTTTTTTGATGCAGGTGTCGATGATGTTGCATCAGAATGTAACTTGGACGATTTCGATCGGTGGAATCTAATTATTTCGAATAATAACAGCGAGGACTGCGAAAGTGCCTTGGAAACCATTTTGAAACTGGTGCAAAACGGACAAAATCAAAAGTAACCAAATACGAAACTTAGTATTGTATTTTAATTATCAGAAATCTAAATTTTTTACTTACCTTATTACCGATTCAGTGGCGTTCGTAACTGTTTGATTGACTTCCACATTTTCCGGCATTTTTTCAAACGTATTAAATCGCCGATGTAATTTTCAACAATGTCTGCGGTTATTTAACTTTTTCGGAATAAAAAGCTCTTATCTACGCTAAACAATTATAAGGTTGGGCGCTATATTTAGAATTGTTTCTGATATAAAGATTTGCATAAATTAGGTGCGGTATCGGCACGACAAGGACTTGTGATAACGGTTTCGTTTCCTAAACGAAATTGTTTTAATTCAAATCGACGACGAAGAAAGTTTTTACTATGTGATGGCTAACAATTAAACTATTTATAAGTTTTTTTTGAAGTACAACCGGCGGAGTAAAAGCCTTATTTGCAAATTTTCTACACAAGTGTAATCATGGTTGCATATATATCAGTATAATAATGATTAAGCGGTACAGATTTGTATAAACCTTACGGATTATAAACAAATATTTAAATATCAGATCAAATAGGAATTTTGCTTTATTTGCTTTACATTTAACAGAATAATACATTTCTTCTTCGCCATGTTGGTTACAAGTGGCCTTTACTATAGATGAACAAACAGAACTTTTTGTTTTTTTTTTTGTGACAATTGACATTGACAGATTTGAGGTTAAACGTCAAGTTTGTGTTTACATGGGCGGAGGCACTTTCGTCCTTCGAAAAATTAAAAAATCTGTTGAATTAGGATCTGGACTAATTAAGAACAAATTCCGAGCACTTACCGAATTGGATTAATCCGTACGAAACTAAGAAAAAAACACAAAAATTACTCATCTTCTCGTCCGGTAAACGATAAAGAAAACTGGTGAATATCCAAATAAAAATTAACAATTTAGGAAGACTCAGAAGTTCGCACCAAACATGTAAATAAACCAGTCATGTTAACGAAGCAGCAGTTTTACTAGTTGATGGAAAGAAGAAGAGCCGAAACAAGATGTCCCAAGCAGGCGGTGATTTCGTATTTCCCAACGAAGAAACGACCGAAGGCGAACCGTCCGGGTTGCTGGATCATTCCAACAAAAAGAAATTCTCGTCCGGCTCGCTTTCGGGCGACGTCGCCAGACCCAAAGTGGTCACCGTGAAACATCCCGAATCGAACAAACTCAAACCCACCGCGAAAAAGAACAAACAGCCCATCCCGGCCGACTTGGATGTCTCCAAAGAGTTCGTCAAATGCAGAGAGGAGGGCATCCAGCGACTAGATTTGAGCAAATCGAACATCACCCAGCTTCCTTCGACCGTTCGGGACTTGCACCATCTATCGGAATTGTACCTCTACGGGAACAAATTGGTGCAATTACCAGCTGAGATCGGCTGTTTGACGAACCTAGGGACGTTAGCTCTGAGCGAGAACTCTCTAACCAGCCTACCCGACTCTCTAGTCAACCTGAAATCTCTGCGAGTGTTGGATTTGAGACACAACAAATTGAGCGATATACCCGAAGTGGTCTACAAACTGACCTCTTTGACGACGCTGTTTCTGCGATTCAACCGGATCCGGTACGTGGGCGACGAGATAAAGCATCTGACGGCTCTAACCATGTTGAGTTTGAGGGAGAACAAAATTAGAGAATTGCCGCCGGGCATCGGGAAATTGGTCAATTTGTTGACGTTCGACGTGTCGCACAATCATTTGGAACATTTGCCGGAGGAAATCGGCCAGTGCGTGGACTTGTCCACGTTGGATTTGCAGCACAACGAGCTGTTGGACATTCCCGATTCTATCGGGCAATTGATGCAACTGACTAGATTAGGATTGAGGTGAGTTTCGAATTCTTTCACAGCTAATGTAATGATACAATCTAACCACTGTCCTATATTTCTAAGGTCTGGTAATATAGGTAGAAAAAGTGTCCAGTTATTTGAGGATTAGACATGGTTCCTAAAACGGCCGCTAGGAGGCGATGTTGTAAAGAACAACGGTTTTTTGCCTACGAATTATATAGAATTAGCAATAAAGGTTTGATGCAAACTAAAAATAGATACAAAATATAAAAATATACTTAAATCAGCGATGATTTAGTTGTAAACATCATGCCTCACGTATCTTCGGTTAATGTATTTCCTCCATTTTCTCCTCGAAATGTCAAATAATAATTTTTCAAGTTTTGACAGCTCGAACTGTCATTTCACACAACCGCGATTTAATATGTAGCGGGACGCTGATTGGCTGAGAGAAGTTGGTCCTCCGATCGTTCGCTCAAAAGTGAAGCTCAAAAAGTCCTCAAATAACGGGTCACATTCTCTAATGCATAAGCACAGTGAGATTCCAGACCTTAGAAATATAGGGCCGTGAATGTAACTCATCCGTTTCTGTGATTGGTTAGCGAATTTTTACACGTCACCTGTCAAAAATTTTAAATTTAAAATGGCTAAATTTCCTAAAATTCCTCCTCTCTATTCTCAATTTTCTGCCATTTCAGGTACAACAGGCTAACGCAAATACCGAATTCATTGAGCAATTGCAGCCAAATGGACGAATTCAACGTGGAAGGCAACGCCATATCGCAATTACCCGAAGGATTATTATCGAGTTTAAGCGAATTGACCAGCATCACGTTATCCAGGAACAATTTCTCCGCGTTCCCATCCGGAGGTATTTATAATACAACGAGAAACGTTTTATTTATTTTATATAAACATTTCCAGGTCCATCGCAATTCGTCAACGTAGATTCGGTGAATCTGGAACACAATCAAATCGACAAAATCCCCTACGGGATATTCTCCAGGGCCAAGCACCTGACGAAGCTGAACATGAAGGAGAACCAATTGACCTCTCTACCGCTAGATGTCGGCACGTGGACGAACATGGTGGAATTGAATTTAGGCACGAACCAATTGAGCAAATTACCCGACGACATACAATGCTTGCAAAGCCTCGAGGTGCTCGTGTTGTCCAACAATCTGTTGCGAAAACTCCCGCAGAGCGTGGGCAACCTGCGGAAGCTGCGGGTGCTCGATTTGGAGGAGAACCGGCTGGAGCAGCTGCCGCAGGAGATCGGCTATCTCAAAGACCTGCAGAAGCTCATCGTGCAATCGAATCAATTGACTTCGTTGCCGAGGGCGATCGGCCATTTGACGAATTTGGTGTTTCTGAGCGCAGGCGAGAACAATTTGGCTTTCCTGCCGGAGGAGATCGGCACGTTGGAGAATCTGGAATCGCTCTATATCAACGACAACGCGACGTTGCACAATCTGCCGTTCGAGCTGGCGCTTTGCTCGAATTTGGGCATTATGAGCATCGAGAATTGCCCTCTGTCGCAGATTCCGGGGGAGATCGTGGCCGGGGGGCCTTCGTTGGTCATACAGTATTTGAAAATGCAGGGACCCTACAGGGCTATGTGATAGATCCGATGAGGAAGCGTTGCCAAATTTCCGGTTTTGTCCGGAGAATTGTCGGGATGATTTTTATGACGTTTTTCCGAAGAGGTGTTGATTTTCTAAAAATCGATGAAATTGACAAATAATTGTAAGATAAAAAAAACGCTGTTTTAAATAGATGTTACGACGTATTAAGATGTTTTGAGAATATTGTATTAATTTTTTTTTGTATAATTTAATTTTGACGATGTTTCGTACAAAACAAAATGTGTTTATGTTTATATAGTTGTTGCATGAAAGAAAAAAAACCTGTTAGTTAATTCGCTAAAAGTGCTAATAAAATATTTTGAGCCTTTAGAAATGATATATCGTTTGCTCCATTTCCGATTGCAACATGGTCATTTCTATGAGTGGAACAAAGAAATGTTTATTAAAATGACAGTTGTCAAAGTGAAAAGTTGCAATCACACAAATCAGTCTCTCTTTCCTTTTCCTTTATAAGTGTCTAATGGAAGTTGTCTTTATCGCACCCTATATGTTGCTATCAAAAATGGATTATTAAAATTATGTATTAAAATTTTACTATGTACAAAAAAATGCAAACAGAAACCATTCCGTGTAATAACAAAAATAAGCTTTTTCCTTTTCATTCTGGATCGTCCCGATTCGCTGGCTACCGAACCGCAATATCCGAGCTTCTTAATAAAAAAGAAGAATTCTATTTTTCGCGCCTTTTGGTTCTCCCTACCGAACCTAGGCGCGTCATTAGCATTGTAAATTGTAATTAGTAAATAAGCTGTGATTAAATCGTCTCGCGGGTGTTAAACGGTCGTTTCGCGTGCAAAAACTCCGGTGCTGTACAGTACAGTGCCCGAATTTTCGCTCGATTTACTCACTCGGGCCTCATCTCTGTTGTTTCATCTGGTTCCAGCGGGGCCCCAGCAATCCGAGGACTATAATCGATGGAGTAGACATCGAATAGAAAGGTTAGTGACACGCTTTGTATAAATGTATTCGGTGTTTCCCGCATCGGATCCATTTTCGCTGTCCACTCCACCTCGTGGACTGGTCCTTCGATAGCCATTTTGATATTTTGCTCCCATTAAGCGTGCTCGTGCACGGCATTCCTTGAGATTTTTAAATCTTGATGATTTAAAAAAAATGTTTTGCGAATCTGTTTAAATAATGATCGTGTTCTTTTAAAATAAAATCCAAACAAATATTCAAATACTATATGACGGTTGACAGCAGACAGAAATAAGATGGTCGTTTTTGGTTGAAACGTTTGAAATCACGTTGAAACGTTAAAAAGTTAATTATGGGGAATATAAAGTAGTTAGAAGCGATATTTTCTTTTGCTAAATCACCGAAAGATTTCCCGTCTGTTTTAAAAAAATCATTTTATAAGCAATTAAAACGTATTAATCAACGGGAAGAGGCCACATTTTTGTTACCAGTAGAGCAGCAACCAAATTGACACTATTGACAGAACAGTTGACAGATGACAGCTAACTAATAACTGCTAATAAATATAGTAATTTATTAAATATTTAGAGGATAAATCGAAACGATACAATTTATTTTTCGTAACAAACACAAACCCCACTCGAACGCGTTATTTTTTTAACCAACCAGGTAAGTCCCGTTCGAATACGAATACGAATTGTTGGGTTATGTAAAATCTAATTGTCATTGCACCCGTTGCAGCAACAATACAATTATAAATATCGTAAACATGTCGTCCGGCCGGCCCATAAAATGCGTTGTAGTCGGAGACGGTACGGTGGGAAAAACCTGCATGCTCATTTCCTACACTACGGACAGTTTCCCCGGTGAATACGTACCCACTGTGTAAGTACCAACTACCATTGTATCGCTCAAAATCTTTAAAAATTCCCCATAATTCGATGCAGATTCGATAATTATTCCGCCCCGATGGTCGTAGACGGGATCTCCGTTAGTCTAGGACTGTGGGATACGGCGGGACAGGAAGATTACGATCGACTCAGGCCCCTGTCCTATCCCCAAACGGACGTTTTTCTAATATGCTTCAGCGTGGCGTCGCCTTCGTCGTTCGAAAACGTCACCTCCAAATGGTATCCGGAAGTCAAGCATCACTGTCCCGATGCACCTATGATATTAGTCGGTAAATAAATTATTCATTTTTTACATCTATCATAACTCCTTTAGGGTTACATCCCTGTACATAAAATTAAATGTCAACTTATCCCGTAGTAACGGAAATGACAAGTTTGACAGTTCGATGGTTTTTTTTTTCCATCGCCGCTGTCATTCGTGCAAGTTTTTTTTTAATTATTTGATCATTTCTCGGGTATTAGTAAATATAAATGGCCAAAAAAACATGGAATTGTGGGAATTGTGGTAATTTCTTTTATTCTCATCCGTTAAAACTGACGAAATGTTGCAAATTACGAAAAAATCGTATCCCGTAGTAACGGAAATGACAAGTTTGACAGTTCGATATTTTTTTTCATAACAGCTGTCATTCGTGTAGGTTTTTTTTTTTTAAATAATTTGATCGTTTTTCGGTTTTTTTCTTCGCCTCAAGACACTTTGCTTTGATCACCCTTTGTGATCATCCTGTACATCAATTTTTTTTTAAAGGCGCCACTTGAGGGTATTTTTAAATGGGAAAACATACATAGGTTCAGTAATTCCAGTAAGAATCAAATTTGGCTTCGTTAATTGATTTGAATCTTTCTTATACCTAATATAGTGACTTCAAGCAATGATATCTCCTATTTTTAATCTCTTCTACTTCATTACATATTTAAGAAAATTGCAATCAAAAATTGATATTTATTTGCAATGCTATTTAAAGGGCAAAACGTAATTCTAGTAAGACTCGAGTTTCATTGAAGGGATGTGTGAATAATTTTAGTAGGATGAAGAATACTTATTACAGAACGATGTCTCCTAGTTTATATTTATCCACAGGCTGTATTAAATTGAAAAATAAACTAATTAAAGAATTTTAGCAAACGATGATAATAGGTTCCTGTAAAATTGTGGTGTCGCCTGACATAAATGTCAAATCACAGAACAATTTTGTAAATTTGATTAGAGACAGCGGTTTTCGTTTTTCTGAGATTTTTTTTTTGGATAATTTGCACTTTTTTAAAGGGCAGATAATATGAAATAAGCTATTTCCAGTGCACCGGAATACTTTTAGAGCACTTTATTGAGTACCCATTTTTAAAACCCTACTTTTATCTTTTCGAAATGCAGGGAAGAGAATTGAATTTAAAATGTTCTGAAAAGGATTTCTTCGATTACTTTCTTGTATGTTCGATTTTATGTCAAGTGTATAATCAAACACGGAACATCTACTAGCCAATTAAACTAATCCCACACCATCTATTGTGGAAAAATTTAACCAAAAATTAGTTCTAAACTCCTTGACAAAATTAACGCAACATCATACAATTGCCACATTTTTTGTTCAATTTATGAACCGATTTGGATGATTTTTTTTTTTGTATTATAAGTTGGTTCCTTGACAATGTCATCATTTTCGCTGTTTATGATGAAATGTTCCTTCTCCATTATACCAGGTGTAATAAAAATGTAATGTTTTTTTCCGTAAATTCGTATCACCCTGTGGAGTATACTAACAAACGAGACATATAGCAGTTGACGTTAGACGGTAGATCCATCTTTTACCAACATTTTCTTTTTTTTTGTTTACTTCATTATCTCTGTTATTAAAGGAGATACGCCGTTTTACAGCGTAACATGTTTTAATAGACTGTATTATTCAAAACGTTCATTGTTAAATGTTTTCAAGTAGGCTATGGACCATTTTTGACATTTCAAGCGATGTGTCAATATCTATTTCTAATCTGAATAATCTACTCCAAATATACTGTAAATCTACTAGAAATACACTCTGAATCTACTCTGAACCTACAATGATTCTACTATTTCTACTCTGAATAATCTACTCTGAATCTACTCCAAATATACTGTAAATCTACTCGAAATACACTCTGAATCTACTCTGAATAGCTCTGAATCTACTCTAAATCTACAATGATTCTACTCTTTCTACTCTGAATAATCTATAAGCAATGTGTCAATATCGAATACCTCACGAATTACGAATTCGGCGGCCATAATTTTCATTTCCGGACGAAAAAACTAATTTTATTTCGTTTTGCAGGTACGAAAATAGATTTAAGAGACGACAGAGAAACGTTAAACGGCCTCGCCGATCAAGGCCTGAGCCCCATTAAGCGCGAACAGGGCCAAAAATTGGCCAATAAAGTGAGAGCCGTCAAATACATGGAATGTTCGGCGTTGACGCAAAGAGGGCTGAAGCAAGTGTTCGACGAGGCCGTTCGAGCCGTCCTGAGGCCGGAGCCGCAGAAAAGGCGCCAAAGGAAATGCTTGGTCATGTAACACCTTTCGAAGGATTATCGGTTCGAATGCTATTGGTGTTCTACTCCGTTCGGTAACGATTTTTTTACGATTTTTACAAATTTCTAACGTGAGAACAATCGAAACGTTTATTTCGACCATTTGTGTTTGGGAGTTTACAACGAATTGATTGGTTTTTATTTTATTATTTTTTTTTCGCTCGAATTGATAATACTCAAAATCTCTCTAGTGATACGTTTTAAATTTAGCTCATTTCTATTTTTCAGTTAAGATTATTCGAGGGGGTTGATCACTCTGATGTATTTTTGTATAGAGTATTTATTATTTTTTAAATTTACAATGGAGAGGTGTACGTAGTAAGTCATTGAAACTCGAATCGGTTTTCAGTTGCTGAAAATATTCAATAATTTAGGAAATACAAACGTTTTAAATTAAAAATTTTGACAGGTGACATTGTATTATTAGTGGTATAAGAATTCAAACGGAATGTTCGGAAGAATAGAAGAAACAAACAAAAGTGAAATGTAACATCAAATGACAGATGACATATCTACGGTTTGTAGATTCCATATACCTATTAACTACTATATCGCTAATAATGGTCTAAAAGCGTAGCAAACATTATACTGTGGTGTGCTTGCTTATTTATGCGCATGCTCAAGTGAAAGATACGTTTTGATTTCTGATTGGCTACTTTTGACACAGCAAATGAAACGTCAGAAACGTGCTAGCTTTTATTTTGGTATATTTTTTGATATATTTTTAAAAATCGACTTCGACTTGCGTTTGTAAATATGTCAGGTTACCGAATTTAAACACGATTTCAAGTATTATTTTCCTTCTTTTCTTTTTAGGCCTCAGCTACTCGCTATTGGTCCTTTTAAAATTTACGCGCTTGCGTATAAACGACTAAGCACACCACAGAGAGTCGGATCTCTATCTTTAATCGCTACGATTTTCTCTCATGGAATGTATATGGAGTTAGCAGTATATTAGTTAACAATTATAAGTTCGCTCCATATTTTTCGAATAAATCATAACTATCAAGAAATACAAAAAAAATAAATTATAGCATAGACGTACAAACAAACGCCTTTTTTTCAGAGAAAGAAGATATTTGACAACGTCGCTAAAAACGATCTTTACCACAAATTCTTAATTCTGATTGGTTAATGACTTGTGACTTATGTCAAACTTTAAAAATTAATTGTGTCCTTAATAGAAAACAAAGAAAATTAAAAATTTCACTAATAACTTCATAAGAATTCATAATTTTATAAAAAATAAAAAAAAATCGTACTCCTCTCCATTACAACGCCTTATATCTTCGAATAACACATTTAAATCCCCAGAATAATATATACATGTAATATTTCGATGTGATTTAACCTCTCAAACTCGACAAAATATTTTTCTGTTAAAGAGAAGACTGGTTTTGAAAATATTTATTCGTCGATCGTCAGTATTTTTTTAATAATTTCTCTACAAATAGTCTTGTTGAATACACCTCTAATTTTTAAGGGTTTATTTTCCGAAATAGAATAGAAGCAGCACTGATTTTTTTTTTCTAATAATTATGTTATTTATTTTACGTTTTCGAGTTTATTTTAATATATTTTATATCGACGGGCGTTCGAATTATTGTAGCCGTTACAGTAATTTAAATGCCGATTATTTTTATTTATTTACTATTATTATAATTGTGATTTCGATAGTAAAAAAATAACGTTTAAATTTTTTCGATTGAAATCCCGCCATCTTTTAAGGTCAATTATGTATAAATAGGTGAATGAAACACGATTTCTTATGACCTGAAAAGTTGTGTTTTTAATAAAAAAAAAGACTTTTTTTCGTGCCATGTTCGAATATAAACTACAGGGTGTCCCGTTGGAAAAGTAGCCCTTCTTAATGAGCTTATAATTAGTAGTTTTCTCAAAAATGTTTTATTTTTAGTTTTGTTATAGTGATACAGAAATTATGCATTACCAATACGTGTATTTTAAAAGATATATATTTCAAAAATATATTATTTGTACAAGTTATTCTAAAAAAGAAGATGTCCTATTTCGTAAAATTTGGTTAATGTGAATTTAAAAGAGGGGATTTTTATGAAACTCCCTGTACTGGCGATACAAAAATTTCTGCATCACTGTAACAAAACTAAAAATAAAACATTTTTGAGAAAACTACAAATTATAAGCTCATTAAGAAGGGCTACTTTTCATTTGGGACACCCTGTATAACCGGTAGAAATACTGTTTAATTATAGTCTTTACAAAGTCTGCTTGATCGAATAGTTTCATTTAAAAAATTTCATTAAATCGATGCTCAAAGTGTATTTCGTATAAATAAAAGCTACCTTGACTCATTTGTGTATATTAATCGACTTTAAAAAGACTATATACTATACAGGGTGTCCCACGACGAGTTGAAACTAATCTGTATATTGGAAACTACTTATGTAGATTTTGAAAATGTATACGGATAGTTTCAATTCGTAGTGGGATACCCTGTATACTATACACTTGTGTATCTTAATAGTTGCTTTTTTTTAATATGTATGTATTTGTTAGGATTTAGTTAAAACGATTTTTGTAAAAACACTACGTTTCGTTTTGTTTTAACAATTAATACTTTTTTTTATATATACATTATTATAATTCTTAAGACCAAAGTCCATTTTTTTTAAACTTAAGTTCTAGTCACATTTTATTCTGTATAAAAAACGATATGTCAGCACAAAATACTTTTCAAGTCCGGTGATGTGTGTACTGTTCAATTTTAATTATTATATTTAAATCACATAAGAAATAAAAGTAATTTGGAAGAGTTTTATACTATTTATTTTTCTTGTGTCTACTACAGCGTGTTAATTATTTGAATACCTTTACTTCAGGATGTGAATATTTGGATGCTTTTAAGAAGAAAAGTTTATATGAATATATGTCCTAAACCTCTTAGTTATCGAGCTACTTATCATCAAACTTTTCTTCTTAAATTCATCTAAATATTCACATCCTAAAGTATCAGATATCAATTAATTAACACCCTGTATATTAAGTTATTACCTAACCCTTTCTGGAAAAACACATCGATGATATAATTGATAAAAATATTAGAGACGTTTCATGTACTAATTTAATGTGTTTAGATTAGATTACCTCATATGTACTCGATTTTTTTTAACAAATTTCGATTCAAAATATTTGTTCCGAGAATATCTTCAAGTACCATTTTAGATTATTTACCTTGAATTTAAACCCGAATTGGAAATTTCGTTTCGTAATAAAGATTAACGAATCGGTTTTAACATCAATTTTCAATTCTGCTGTAATTCTCGCAAATCCCTTCGAACTGTTTTATTTAGATAAAAATGGAATAATTCAAATTATCAGCGAGCAAACAACTGCGTAATGGATGATAAAAATAAATCGAGAGAAATTTAATGATTGTTGTTTGTTACACCCGTACAATTTACATTGGAACAATCCATTTATCGTGAATCATTTTGATATTTTGTTATTGCAGAGAAACTAATATACAGATTGTCCATTTCCGATTGCAACATGGCGCATTTCTATGAGTGGAACAAAGAAAGATTATTCGAATTACAGTGGATAGAGTGAGAAAGTTGCAATAACACAAATCAGTCACTCTTTCCTTTTCCTTTATAAGTGTCTAATGGAAGTTGTCTTTATCCCACTTATAGCCTATATAATCTATATTGCGATCAAAAATGGAGCAACCTGTATATAAAAGTAAATTTTCATAGCAAAACATCTCGCGTTAAATTATACAAATATCATTCTCTTGACAACGTTTAAATTTATACATTAATTTGCCTATACAACACGTAATTTGTTAGCTTTTGCGATAAGATAATAAATTATTATTTTATATAAAGTGTGTTTGTGTGCTTACAAATCTAGTTCGAATACAGAAATTACATCGTCTCGTATTAATCAAGGAAAAATGGCAGGTAAGTTTTACTTTCGCGCCAAAACTCATTTATTCTCCCTTAATTTTAATCCTTTGTAAACTTTCCTGTTCACTTAACCCTTCCAGTTTCAGCTCCCTAAATGGGGAGGAGTACGCCTTTTTTTTAATTAGTGATTGGTGAAATTTTTAATTTTTTCCGTTTCCTATTAAGGCTAAAATTAATTTTTTGCCCAAAAAACTTAAAATAAAAAAAACCAATAACAAAACCCTAAATATGTCATCTGTCATTTGATGTTACATTGCACTTTTGTTCGTTTCTTTCATTCTTCCGAACATTCCGTTCGAATTCTTACACCACTAATGATACAATCTAACTCGTTCGCTTTTGTGATTGGTCAGACACTTTACACGTCACCTGTCAAAATGTTTAAATTTTCAAATGGCTACGTTTCCTAAAACACCAAATAATTTCAGCAACTGAAAACTGCTTTGAAACCTTCTGCTTGGTGTTAATTTCCCATTTATTCGAAATCTAACGAATTTTCCGGCATTTTTTCCACGTAGCTTACTATTGGGTGGACAGCAACGCTCGCGGATCCGTCCCGAGGAGCGCCCTGAAGGGCGGCTTCGACGTCGACGGGTACGAAATCTTCGTCGGAAGGGCCTTCCACGAGGGCGATTGGCTACCGGCCAAAGTTATACCCGGCAAACAGATCGCCTATGTGGCCTATAACGGGGCCGAAATCGGCGTACACCAATTCCAAGTAAGTGATACAACTGTGCTCCATTTCCGATTGCAACATGGTCATTTCTATGAGTTGGACAAAGAGAGATTATTAAAATGTCAGTTGTCAAAGTGAAAAGTTGCAATCACACAAATCAGTCACTCTTTCTTTTTCCTTTATAAGTGTCTTTGTTGCACCCACAGCCTACATTGCAATCAAAAATGGAGCAACCTGTATATTCGGGATTATTCATCACGCGACTATTCATCACTAGCACTATTCATTAGGGCGACGATTTATCACGCCTACTTATAAAAAAATATGTAAAATAAAACAAGACTTTTAGAGACAAAATATTCTAATGGTCGCGTTTCCATGATGGTAGAAATGAGTCTTTTTTTTTGGATTCTTTATTACATTTTAATTTTAATAACTATTTCATGAATCGTCATTTAGAACTGTCTAGAACTATTTAGAACGCTTTAGAATGCTTCAAAATCAATAAGAATAGTTTTGAATTGCTTAGAACCCTCCAGGAACCATTTAGAACGCTTCAAATCATTTAAAACCGTTCAGAATCATTTAGAACTGTCCAGATCAATCCAAAACGCCCCAGAATCATTTAAACTTGTCTTGAATCATTTAGAAATGCTTAGAACCATTTAGAACGCCTCCAGAATCATTTAGAACTCTCTAGATCTATCCAGAACGCTCCAGAATTATTCAAAACTTCCATTTAAAACTGTTTAGAATCATTTAGAACTCTACAGAGTCATCTAGAACTGTCTTGAATCATTTAGAACTTTCTAGAATCATTTAGAACTTTCTAGAATCATTTAGAACGCTCCAGAATCATTTAGAACTTTCTAGAACCATTTAAAACGCCCCAGAATCATTTAGAACTGTTTAGAACCATTTAGAACGCCTCCAGAATCATTTAGAACCGTCTAGTACCATTTAATAGAATTTCATAGAAGTGTCTAATTAAAGTTGTCTTTGTCGCACCCATAGCCGATAATGCAATGAAAAATGGAGCAACCTGTAAAACATCCCTTATAAATTCTCAGGTCCTCTGCGAGCAACAATTCGAATGGGTACCCTCCAGTGGTGGAAACATCCCCCCAGATGCAGTCGAAGGGGGTAGGACCTCAGATGGGGAACCTCTATATGTAGGCAGGGCACACCACGAAGGCTCCTTAACCATAGGAAAAGTAAGTTTTTTTTTCGTTTTTTCGTTGCGCAAAAGTTGCTTGATATGTTATACAGTGTGTCCCAAAAAGTTGTATTCAAAAATGGGGAAAAAGTTCTTTGTTTAAATTCTTCCAATGTTGCCAGAAAAATTATAAAACATGTAGGGAAACAGCAGAAATATTTAATATTAGACACCCTGATAAAACTATACTAGTTTCCTCAAGTTCCTTAATTTATTGTTTCAGTATTATTCATTGTCATTGTTTTATAAAAATGAATTATTTAACAATTTCTGAATTGTTTATTGTCTTTTAATTTTTATCTAGGAATATTAATAAAATCAACAATTATGCATCATTTTTTTACTACTTAATCACAATTTCAATGAACATTTTCCTCTCCACTACAGTTTGTGCATATTTTTCTCTCGATCCAAATCATTCTTTTTTGTTTTCCCTGTATTCGAGCCAATTTTTTAAACATTTTATACCTCATTGTCATCTACAAGTCACACAGAGAATTTTATCAAGAATACTTCTTTTTGTGTAATGTAAGATAAACTTTTTCCCCTTTTTATTTGTATACAACTATTTGGGACAAGCTGTATAATTCATTTCATTTTTTTCAACAGGTTCACCCGAGCCACGGTTGTTGTTACATACCATTCAATGGCGGAGAACACGCTCATCAGTCATACGAAATCCTCGTTCTCAGACAATAGAATATTTTACTTGAATAAAATAAATAATAAAAAGAAAAAAACCGAGCTCGAACCTAACATTATTTAGCGACGCCCTGTACATATATATTGTCCTAAACTTCACCGGACTTGAAAAGTGTTTTGAGCCGACATATCTTTTTATTTAGAATAAAATGTGACTAGAACTTAAGTTTAAAAAAATGGACTTTGGTCTTAAGAATTATAATAATGTATATATAAAAAAAAAGTATTAATTGTTAAAACAAAACGAAACGTATTGTTTTTACAAAAATCGTTTTAACTAAATCCTAACAAATACATACATATTAAAAAAAGCAACTATTAAGATACACAAGTGTATAGTATACAGGGTGTCCCACTACGAATTAAAACTATCCGTATACATTTTCGAAATTTACATAAGTAGTTTCCAATATACAGATTAGTTTCAACTCGTCGTGGAACACTCTGTATAGTATATAGTCTTTACAAAGTCGATTAATATACACAAATGAGTTAAGGTAGCTTTTATTTATACGAAATACACTTTGAGCATCGATTTAATGAAATTTTTTAAATGAAACTATTCGATCAAGCAGACTTTGTAAAGACTATAATTAAACAGTATTTCTACCGGTTATACAGGGTGTCCCAATGAAAAGCAGCCCTTCTTAATGAGCTTATCATTTGTAGTTTTCTCAAAAATGTTTTATTTTTAGTTTTGTTACAGTGATACAGAAATTTTTGTATCGCCCGTACAGTGTGTTTCATAAAAATCCCCTCTTTTAAATTCACACTAACCAAATTTTACGAAATTTTACGAAATTTTACGACATCTTTTTTAGAATAACTTGTACAAATAATACATTTTTGAAAAGTATATCTTTTAAAATACCTGCATTGGTAATTTTTGTATCACTGTAACAAAACTAAAAATTAAACATTTTTGAGAAAACTACAAATTATAAGCTCACTAAGAAGGGCTTCTTTTCCAACGGGACACCCTGTAGTTTATATTCGAACATGGCACGAAAAAAAGAGTCTTTTTTTATTTAAAACACAACTTTTCAGGTCATAAGAAATCGTGTTTCGTTCACCTATTTATACATAATTGACCTTAAAATATGGCGCAATTGTTAAAACATGTAAAACTTTAAGTAAACCCTGTATAAAAGTATTATCGAATTCCCCCCGGGGGGCCGATAGAGCAGTAAATGCACCGCTTAGTTCTCAGTAAAAGCCGAGAAAAGAATCTTCGTGTTTGTTTTGACGAGTACTTCACAGAATTTAACGGAACTCTACCGCATTATCTAACTAGTTTTTTTTTTCTTTTAATTACGCTTCTACCTAAATATTTATTATCGAAGACCGCCCTGTATACAGGGCGATTCGCCTAAAAAAAGCGACTTTTTTTAGGGGAAACCTAATGAGATTTATGTATGTACCCTTAAGGTCAGTTATATAGGGTGTTTTAAAGAACCCGTCCAGTTATAGGAGATCCTGAAGAGTTAGAAATTGAAAATTTAGGACTAAAGGAGTGTCAGCTGTCAACTAAAAAGCACGAAATTTCGGCCATTAGACACTTATAATGGAAAAGGAAAGAGCATAGACCTATTAACTATGGACGCGGTTTAGACAAAGAGATAGTGTTGTCGATGAATGAGAGAGATGCAGCTAGTTTGGGCATATGGCAATGAGAGATTGGACAATGCATTAGCCAATAGTATGAAAGGAAAAGACCACGTGAGTAACGTTTTCAGATATGCAAGGTAGCTGGGGTAGAGAAGGGCAGCTTATGGTAGAATAGGGTTGAGGAGTGCAGCGGAGGGTATTGTGATTTATTATTTTTTTGCCGAGCAAAATGCATTTTTCAGCTGAGCCTAAATTCCCACGCATTTGCAAATACAGTTCTTATTTTGTATTGTTAATTTGAACATCCTACCTATTAGCCAGTACAGATTTCGCAATTTAAGACCTAGCTGCTTTCTCTTGTAAAAAATATGTTTCTTCCTGGTCATTCTTCTGTCCAAGTGGATACCAAGGTAAAAACAATATTTAAATATTAAGCGTATAATTTAACAGGTTAATCGCCTTTTTCCACACACCCTGTATATATTTTATATATTTTTTGGCCCCGCCTACTTTTAGCCCAAACTAGCTCCATCTTTCACGGACCTCTCTCTCTATCATTGGGAACGCTGAATAACCTCAAAATAACGATTGTGCCGCGTCCATACTTAATAGGTCTATGGGAAAGAGTGACTGATTTGTGTGATTGCAATTTTTCACTATGACAACTGTCAATTTATCAATATTTCTTCGTTCAACTCATAGAAATGCGCCATGTTGCAATCGGAAATGGAGCAAGGTGTAGATTATACAATGCATTTCTTTAATGTCTCCCCCCTTTTTATTTTTTGAACGAATCAACTTAGAAAATTGAAATTTGGGATAATGAAACTAATGTATGATAACTATATTTTGGAGTAAAATTGACAGATGAAAATTTCAAGATGGCAACTGGGCGCCATATTGAGAAATAAATTTAAATGGAAAGGGGGGTCTTGTGACACATCACTTTGAAGCTCCTGACAAATACTGTACAACCCTGGAATATAAAGTCAATATCTTCACCCATTACAAAATGGCGGAACATTTAATAATTACCTGAATACAAACAAATTAATATTAATTTTTCTGGAAATATTTGTTTTTCTTTGCCAAATAGCAATCCCAACAAACCGATAACGATTGACAGGTTATTTTTGGTTAAAAAAATTTAAGTACAACAAACATTAATTGTATAGTCAAAATATTCTCATTTAGTTTTTGGTTTTCCTAGTGTTCAAAATATTCTCTTTAGTTTTCGATTTTCCTAGTGTTCAAAGTATTTTCATTTAGTTTTCGGTTGTTTAGTTATCATTGTAGTTAGGTACCACGTGAACTAACTCTAAAATGGCAAATTCTCGTCCATTGGAAGATGGAGCACCACCACATTACTCCAGACAAGTAATGAACTATTTGGATGCTATTTTCCATGGTCGTTGGATTGGTCGTCGAGGTCCTACGGAATGGCTAGCCTGATGCTCGCCAGATTTGACACCTTTAGACTTTTTTTATGGGGCTATTTGAAGCAAAAAGTGTACGAAACTGAACCTGCTTCAATATTGGATATACGAGAAATAATTACAGATATTTGTAGAAATATCGACGTTACTATGTTCGAAAATGTTCGGATAGGCTGTTCTTATATCAAGAAGTTAAAGGAAACCATTTCGAGCATTTTTTGAACTGAACTCAGCTTATATCCTCAAATTATGACGTTAAACGTCGATGTATTCAGGTAATTATTAAATGTCCGCCATTTTGTAGCACGTGCAGATATTGACTTTATATTCCAGGGTTGTAGAGTATTTGTCAGGAGCTTCAAAATGATGTGTCAAAAGACCCCCTTTCCATTTAAATTTATTTACCAAGATGGCGCCCAGTCGCCATCTTGAAATTTTCATCTGTCAATTTTACTCCAAAATATAAGGTTTGTTCCTACAAAAAGTCACTGATTTGTTACCAATAAGTTTCTGACTCTTCTATTTCGCATGCGCGGTTTATGATTGAATGGTGTAATCAAATTTCAGATTTCTTGCTGGAACAGTCTTTACATTTATTACATATTCACCGAGTATCAAACAAAAACAACAAACAACATAACCTAATAATCAACCTATATTCAGAAATACAAATTAAACCCGAATTAAAAATGCGCTTGCGCCGGATTCTAAATCTCTGTACTATCAGCAAATTTTTATGACTATCACAAAACCAGTCCCTTGAACTGTTGGAACAATAAATTGTTAACCAAGTCAGAATCAGAGATGTCTGTGGAGTTTGTTGGAACGCCTAAATTATTACTGCGCAGACTCCTGACGACCACCGACTATTTCTGACTGTTGTAGGAACAAACCTATAGTAATCATGCATTAGTTTCATTATCCAAAATTTCAATTTTCTAAGTTGATCCGTTCAAAAAATAAAAGGGGGGGACATTAAAGAAATGCACTGTATAGGCTATAAGTTCGATAAAGGCAACTTCCATTAGACACTAGTAAAGGAAAAGGAAAGAGTGACTGATTTGTGTGATTGCAATTTTTCACTCTGACACCTGTCAATTTATCAATATTTCTTTGTTCAACTCATAGAAATGCGCCATGTTGCAATCGCGAATGAAGCACGGTGTATATCCGCGATTTCTTGAGTAATTACGCAATCCGATTCTTCGCCGATCTCCGTTCGGAGCCGGTGAATAAAAGAAAGAGCGAGTCCTCGCGTTTTGTGTTACGAATCGCCCGGGGGGCTCCGGCGAATGTCGAACGAATGGAAACCAAACCAGGTCTTTCTGTCTTTACTGTCTTCAGTGTCTTTCAGTAGACTGTCGGGCTCGAAAGGAGGAGGAATTTTTAGCGCGCCGTTCACGGGCGAGTCCGGGCGAGTTTCTTAATTTTAATTTACTCTTCTCCGACCGAAAGAATCGAGAATATTTTTTCCATTTCGTTTCCGGTTGAAGTGAATCGTTTTAGAGGTGAAAATGGCGCGAATATAACGAAGTTAGTGCCGTTCGAAAAAGGATATATCGAAGATTTTCTCGTTAATTTATTGTTTAATCTGCTGTATACGTGCAAAGTAAGTGTTTCGAAACGTTCGAAATATATACAGGGTGTTTCGAAATTGACGATCGTCCATTCGGTCTATGAATAAGGCATAGGTTGCTATGATTGTTTTGAAAATTTTTAATTCTGCCCATTTTTTATTTCGAAAGAAGATTGAGATGATGATTGTTAACGGATTGAATTTGTGAGCGTCCTTCTTCGCTCCTATTCATCATCAGCATCCTTCATCATGAACCCATCAAACCCTCCATGATGATCTCATTCTAATTTTCTGCTACATCTTTCTTGCTCATTTTCATCATTTTCATTGCAATTCACTGCATATATTAAGTGCATTTAACCGAGTGAATTTCGTGTAGCTAAATATAACAGAAAGTGGAAAAAAATGGAATTTTAGAAGAGAAAATTCGTTATGAATGCACTTTCACCGTTTTCGCAAAATTAAAATTTCCCCGCAAACGAAACGGCGACTGCGATGAGATTTATTTGGATGTTGTAGCGGGAAAATTTGAATTATCCGCGGTGTAGAACGCGGAAGGGAAATTTCGATTTAATTATACGCTCGCTTATCGCGGATTAATCTTAATTATTCGTAGAAGAGAAAACGGCGGGTTTTTAAAAAGTGAAATCCGATTGCAATTTAATCAAGAATAAGGGGATGGTTAAAATCAACTCTCTAACTTGACAGTTTTCAATTCTGTAAGTCTGCGATTCTTTCAAATTAACAGTTTTACATTGTTGTTATGTAGTAACAAAGGAGATTCTTTTAAATTGACAGATTTACATTGTTGTTATGGAGAAACTAAGAAGATTCTTTCAAATTGACAGTTTTACATTGGTTGTTATGGAGTAACTAAGGACTTTGTTTACTATAAAGCGACCCTCTAAACTCTAAAAGAGTCATGTTAAGGAATTAAATGGGGCGCTGATTATGGGCCAATTTATAAATAGAACGGTTTAATTTTGCCCGGACTCATTATGTGCATATTACCTACGCATAATAAATTAGTTTAAACGTGTTTTATAGCAGATCTAGTTTGTACTGTTAGAAACGTTTGTATTAGGTATTAGAAGAAGAAAAAAAACTCATCATTAATATGTAGATGTGGAATATTTTACTGTTACTGTAGATGAACGAAATATTTTGTATATTTACAACAAAACGAGCCGACTTTTCGACCTAGATTATTATTGACAAGGTGTCGCGCATATTCGATAAGAAATTCCTAAAAAAAATAATTGGAATTTAGGCCGATTAATCGAAGGAATTGATCGTTTTTGTTCTTCATTCCTTTTCCCGTTCTATTACGAACCAATTACTCGTCATCGAAATGTAAAAGGTAATTATATGAATAAACATTTGCGGGTAACCCAGAAAATCGTGTGTGTGTAAATCCATCTTGGGTCGTTGTTGAATAACTGTACAATTCAATATACAATGTAATAATATGTGAATGGTGGGAATATAAGGAACTGTGTATTTGTATAAATATACCGGTAATTTATATATTTATCGGTGACGATGAGAAGAAGAATGACGATGCAAAAAAATCCGGGTTATCTAGCCAAGGAACTGGAGAAAAAATTTTTTATTTACCAGTACTTTATAGATATAAGGAATGTCCGTTCGAATCTATAGGAGATTTCCAGAGAATGTTTTTGTGATATTATTTCTTTATTCTTTGTATTTTACAGTGCATTCTAAAAGTAAGGAACAAATTCATTATTTCTGAAATTAAGAATTTTTCGAAAAAATCCTCCGACACGTCGATTTTGTTTTAAACAAATGCACTTTTTGATATACGATCCATATTTGTGAGGTAATCTTTATTCGAGATATGACGTCATCGACAATTTTTTTTAAATGGCAACACCCAATTTTGACCATGCCAATTGAAAGAGCGTGTCATTCTACGTACATATCGCCAAAAATATTTTTAAATTAGCCTATGTATAAGGTTAGATAAAAAAATGAAAAAAACATTATTTTAAGTTTTACCAAATTTAATGGTAATGGTTAAATTAAATGTTCAAATTTTGCATCGTTGGCTACCTGACAGTAACCTAGACGATTAATGAACTCTTGTTGAACATTTTCAGTAACTTCAGGAGGTGTACGATGTATCTCCTGACGGATTCTTGCCTGCAATTCTTTCAAATTCGCCGGTCTAGTAACGTATACTTTACTTTTTAAGTACCCCCATAAAAAGTAATCGAGGGGTGTCAAATCTGGTGATCTGGCTGGCCACTCAATAGGCCCTCTTCTTCCTATCCAACGATTCGGGAACACCTCATCTAAATAAGCACGTACAGGTGCTGCATAATGTGGAGGTGCACCATCTTGTTGAAAGTAAATGTCATTTCTCGGAAGATGTCGTTCCTCATTTGGATAAAAATGTAAGAATTCCGGAATAAGGTAGCCTCGAAGAAATTCCAAATATCTTGCGCCAGTTAGGTTATCGTCAAAAATAGGGACCTAGAATTCTTCCGTCGACAATTCCGCTCCAGACATTTATTTTTTGAGGATGTTGAGTGCTATACTCCATCATCCATCGAGGATTCTAGGTAGCCCAATAACGGTAGTTTTACCTGTTGACATGGCCGTTCAAAACAAACGTGGCCTCGTCAGAAAAAAAAGTTTTTTACGAAATTATTATTATTCGTGTATAGCTCTTGCATTTGCTCGCAGAATTGAATTCGCCGATCAAAGTCGTCTTCAGATAGTTCTTGAACAAGGCATACCTTATAAAGGATGATGTTTTGCTTTCTTCGCAATTTTATGCACTGTAGAAATAGCCATATTGAAATCAGAAGCCACGTATATCAAAGATCGTATATCAAAAAGTGCATTTGTTTAAAACAAAATCGACGTATCAGAGGATTTTTTCGAAAGACTCTAAATTTCAGAAATAATGAATGTATTCCTTACTTTTCGAATGCACTGTATAATAAACCATATTCTCTCATTTGACTAGGGGAATTTAGTCTCAAATAGTCTCAAAATTTCGTGCTTTCTTCTTTCTCTTCATAAATTTTTGGCCTCAGCTACCAGGACTATTCGGCCAAAATTTCGTGCTTTTTAGTTGACAGCTGACACGCTTCAATTACAATTCGCTTGAATTTCGTTGCAACCTTACCGACATTAATCGTGACATCTATTTTATTTTAATTCCATCTTTTAACAATAATAAATTAACTTATGAGAGCTAAATATGAGTGACGTGCATTAGTTGACACTTGTCTTGCACCAACAATATAATCTATGGGTGCAACAAAGACAACTTTCATTCTAAAAGGATAAAAAGAAAGAGCGATATCGTTTGATCGCAAGTTGATCACTGTCTCACTCTAACAACTGTCATTTCAATATAATCTATCTTTGTCCAACTCATAGAATTGATTAATCGACCGAAAATTCGCGCTTTTACTCATACACGCAATTAAAATTTCCAGATGATTCTTCCACCGTTGTATTGTCTTCTATCCCTATTAACGACCATCGTGACGTCATCGGAGATATCCAGACCGTGCATCGAACTATCCAGAGAGCTGCGATTGCCGTGCGCCTGCGCACTCGGACCGGCCGAAGAGGCCCTCGAAGGCAACCCCTCGGTGTCGATGAACTGCGACGGGGCGGTCTTCTCCTCGGACGTTCCCCGGCTACCGGAAGGCGCCCCCATCGTGGCCTTCACCCAAAGATGGGCCGGCCACCAATCTCTTCCACTACAAGTACGATTTAATACGGGGTGTTTTTGGAATATACAGATTGCTTCATTTTTCATTGCAACAGGCTGTGAGTGCAACAAAGACACTTATAAAGGAAAAAGAAAAAGTGGCGTTTGTGTCATTACTGTCATTTCAACTTTTCACTCTGACAACTGTCATTTTAATAATCTTTCTTTGTTCAACTCATAGAAATGCGCCATGTTGCAATCGCGAATGAAGTACAGTGTATAAGCGATCGAACTTTGGGAGCCGGTAGAGAATTTTGGAATATGGCGAAAAGTTAAATGGCGTTTTATCGAAATGTTTTTGGTTATCGGTATGCAGGGTGTTAAAGATGATGGATTCTTTAAGAGGTATTTTTATTAATAATTTCGTTAATAGAGAAGGTAAAATGATGTGTCTTACGACACTATTCGATCGGGTTAAAAAAAGTTGTCCAGGGGTGGGTTCAAATGGGGTGTTCGTGGGGGTAATTCTAACCTAACTTTTTTATTTTAACCTTTTTTATTGGTTTGTTTGAAGAATATGAAAAAAAGAAGTTTTTTACATAAAAAAGGTATACTTGTTGATTTTCCGTAAATAAGTGACCCGTTTTTATTACTAAAATTATTAAACTTATTAAACTATTGTCATCTTCAAAAATCTAGTAGGTATTAATTCTTTCAGAAACTTGACATTTCTTTAAAATGACATATGTTAGAAAAAGATCAATAAATATTCTCGGTTGCAGTTACTTTTTAATTCACAAGTTGTCATTACCTGTCTAGAACTGTCAACGTTAATCCAAGTCTTTGTAAAAAACAAAATGGCCGTTGTATGTTTTGTTTTATTATAATACAGTTAATTAAACTATTGTTCATTTTGCTTATCTTAATCTACACGCAGTAGAAAGGTTTAAATTTTGTCATATTTTAAGGTTGTCTACTTTTGAGCTACTTTTGAGCAACAACTCGACGATTTGGAGCTATATATTCTCGCGTGGTTTCCAGGTGTTTTCGTCGAAGGACCTGCCGCTGAGATCGGTGGATTTGTCGGGCAACTCGCTCAGGCGATTGACGGAGAAGACGCTGCGCACGTTCGAGGCAACTCTGGTGGAATTGCGATTGGCCGACAACCGCCTGGGGGACGGTTTGAATCCGATCTTCTCGACGACGGAGCTGCGCGGTTTGAGCCGCCTGCGATTGCTGGATTTGAGCGGTAACGATGTCAAGGCCATCGAAGAGGGCCTCTTCGACGGTTGCGACGATTTACAGGTAAAAGGAGTTTCTATTAAACGATGCTTAAGGCGCTTAAATTGCCTCGTTTTATAGTGCGAGATTAACATTATAGCGATCAATGCATACAAAAGAACGCGAAATAGCTGTTAGATCTTAGTAGCAACGTTGCGATGACATCTGTCACCTGTCATTTTTTTCAAATTGGATTCGAGAGTTTGTAAATTTTTTTTAACCGTAAAATACTTTAACCATCTGAAATCTATTTTAATGTTTGAATGGATAATTTTGTGCTCGAGTTTATTGCTAAAGTGTATCTAGTGAAATTTTTTTAACAATTTGGTCTCTTAATTATAATGTCTAACTAATAATTTTATAATTTCAGGAGTTACATTTGGAACGGAACAGTTTCACGGCGGTGCCCAGCGCATCTCTAAACGGTCCGAAAAGTTTGAGGCTCCTTTCGTTGGCCGACAATCGAATAGAATCGATAAAAACCGAGGCGTTCAAATCGCAGAGGCGTTTGGAATCGATCGATTTGACCGGTAATTTGATATCGATCGTCGAAAGTCGGGCCTTTTCGCCGTTGGATAAATTGAAAACGATAATATTGGCTGGTAATCGGCTGTCTAGATTCAACAGCGACGTTTTCCAGGGCGCGGAAAATCTTTTATCGATCGATCTATCGCGGAATTTCATCGGCGATTTTCCCCATGTGGCCCTCAAGGCTTTCCGCAATCTCAGATACCTCAATTTATCGTCGAATTTGATACAGGTAAAGTATCTAATACTGCTCTTAATAATGCTCTAATCTTTTAATTCTAAACAGCTAAGCAATTTTATGTATATTTCGATTGTTGATTAGTAATAAATCTTTTGCAGAGTTTGGAAAACGGCCAGTTGTCGAACCTGCATGGACTCCACCATCTTGATTTGAGCAGGAACAATTTGGCTAATATAGCGCCCGGTACGTTTCTGGGTTTGAAGCAACTCAAGCGATTGGATATCGGAGTGAATTCCTTAAGAACGGTAAATAATTAAGTAATTCTATTCTATTCAGAGCGCCCCCGTTTTAACCTTAAAACGGCGACTCTAACTTGACAGTTTTACATTGTTGTTATGGAGTAACTAAGGACGCATTCTTTCAAATTGACAGTTTTACATTGTTGTTATGGAGTAACTAAGGACGCATTTTTTCAAATTGAGAGTTTTACATTGTTGTTATGGAGTAACTAAGGACGCATTCTTTCAAATTGACAGTTTTACATTGGTTGTTATGGAGTAACTAAGGACATTCTTTCCGTCCGCAGATCGAAGACGACGCCTTCGAAGGCCTCGACAGCCTCGAATTCCTCGGCCTGAAAGACAACAACATACTTCTTATACCGGCATCAGCGTTGGGTCGCCTGCCGAAACTCCACACCGTCCAATTGGACTACAACCGGATCGCCGCCATTTCGGCCGACATCCTGCGCTCCGTCGCCTCCAAACTCACCGCTTTATCTCTATCGAAGAACATCATCAGGGAATTACCGGCCGGCTCGTTCGCCAACTTCCACCGCCTGGAAACCCTCGACTTATCCAGGAATTTGCTCGGCTCGCTCGATTCTGGCACGTTCGCCGGCTTGGATAACAATCTCCTGGAGCTCGATCTATCGGGCAACCGGATCAGCAACCTGCCGGCTGATCCGCCGGCTCTGAGCCGGCTCAGGCGACTCGATCTGAGCGACAATCACCTCGTAGACATTCCAGAAGGTTTCTTCGATCTGATGCCTGAGCTACGCAGCTTCAACGCCAGCCGGAATCGCCATCTAAACGGCGTGCCGGAATCGATTCTGCGCGGAAAGAATCGATTGGAATTGATCGATTTGAGTCACGCTTACGCGGGGGTTCGATCGATTCGAGTGGAATCTAAAACTATAAAAGAGATTTACCTAGCGCATAATAACTTGCAGGAAATAGGCGAAAAGGCTTTTAATAACATGCCGAACGTCACTGTAATCGATTTATCTTACAACAATATATCTCGCATCAAAGATGGCGCGTTCGCCAACGTGATGAACATCGAGAGATTGGTGTTGAAAGGGAACAAACTCGGTTCGTTTAAAGGGGAATTTTTCAATACCGGTACCGGTTTGGTCGAATTGGACTTGTCTAACAATCGATTGACCTATTTATATCCGTCGTCGTTTCGGATACACCCGCGATTGGAATCGATTCGGATCGATGGTAATCGATTGGAGGCGTTTCCCGGCGAGTTGATTGGGAATTTGCAGTACTTGCGACGCGTCGATTTGTCGCGGAATCGATTGAAGGCGATCGGCGAGTTGGATTTCGCGATGTTGCCGCGTTTGAATCGATTGAACGTGGCCGGGAATCGATTGGAATCGATCAACGAGATGGCGTTTCACAATACGACGCAATTGCAATCGTTGGATTTGGGCGGCAATAAATTGGAGAGGTTGGGCGAACGGATGTTCGAAGGTTTGTTGAATTGGTTTTTGTAATGTTTGCGAATATTTCTTTTTAATGATCGATTATATTACCATTTGATTGGTTGATACAAAATCGATTGGTTTTCCGAAACGTAAAAGGCCGAAGTCGGTTCGTTTTGACTTTTGACATTTAAGTATGGTCGGAATCGCGGTCGTGTATTAACAGGTCTCGAAACTACGTAGTTTTTTGTTTCGTTTAATTAAGTTAAAATTGTCGTATGTTAAATAAAAATTATATTTCGAAGGCAAAATCTGTGGGCAAAATGTCGTAATGAAGGGAAATTGGCGTTATGTGTGTACGATTAGACAACATTATTTTGATACTAGCGCCCTCTATCGAAAGTCGCTTCATCCGCATCACCTTTTACGTAAAGGAGTTTCCGGACCTGTCGTTATATACGACCGTGGTTTGAATACTATTATTCGTTGGGAATTTCGGACAAAAATTAATCTAAAACCGGGTTCAGGACGAAATTTATTTAATTATTTCCTTAAACTATAGCGAATACTAACACTTTCCTCCGTTCCTTCCAACAATTTCCCCAAAATCTAGTAATATCACCAGAATCTAGTAATGTTACCAGATTTTAGTAAAACCACCAGATTTAGTAACTCTTCCAAAATCTAATAATATTACCAGATTTTAGTAAAATCACCAGATTTATTAATAACATTTTTCGCCAGGTTTGGTCAGATTAGAGTGGTTGAATTTGGAAAACAACCGCCTGGCGGATCTTCCAGAAACGATTTTCGAACGACACCGATTACAAGCATTGGAAAACATCAATTTGGCGGGAAATTCGTTCGAAATAGCGCCGCTGAAGGCGCTCCAAAAGCAGTATTTCTTCGTCGACTCCGTCGATTTGTCGCACAATAAAATCAGAGACATCCCCGCCGAGGATAGCATGATGGTCAACATTAAAAAATTAGATTTATCCTTTAATCCTCTATCGGAGGCGGCCGTGATGAATATACTGAACGAGCCGAAGACGGTGAGAGAAATAAACATGGCCGGTACCGGTATAAAAAATATACCCAGATTGGAAACGCCGTTTTTGAAACGATTTAATTTATCGATGAATAACATTCGTGATTTGAACGGGGAGAATTTCGAAAGGGTCGCATTATTGGAGGAGCTCGATTTGTCTCGGAACGATCTAGCTGGCTTGGGGAACTTTTCCGAAATTTGGAAACTTTTGGGGAATTTGCAGACATTGGACGTGTCCGGTAACCCAATCGGGAGCATTTCGAACGGAGATTTCGACGGACTCGAAAAATTACGGTAAGACACAAATTGAGAGGAGAACGATTTTTTTTAATTTTTTTTTATAAAACTACGTATTATTATGAAGTTATTGGTGAAATTTTTAATTTTTTTCGTTTCCTATTAAGGCCACAATTAATTTTTAAAGTTTGACATAAGTCACAAGTCATTAACCAATCAGAATTAAGAATTTGTGGTAAAGATCGTTTTTAGCAACGTTGTCAAATATCTTCTTTTTCTGAAAAAAAAGCGTTTGTATGTCTATGCTATAATTTATTTTTTTGTATTTCTTGATACAGTTATGATTTATTCGAAAAATATGGAGCGAACTTATAATTGTTAAATAATATAATATGCCTATATTTACGAATTACTGTAAATATCTTAAATTCTAAATTATTGTTTAGTATAAATGGTAATGTGGCAACATCGAATGTATACTTTTGACTTTTTAAACTTGTCAAATTAATAAAAACAAAAACTTTACCTCCAACTAAATCAACTTATACAAATTTTAAAATGTCGCATCCGAAAGTTATTTAAAACTTGCCGTTTTGTGAAAATTCTTCATTGTATTCTAAAAAAGTGTTTATTCTTGACCCAAAAAACTTAAAATAAAGAAACTACAATAACAACCCTAGATATGTCATCTGTCATTTGATGTTACATTTCACTTTAGTTGGTTTCTTCCATTCTTCCGAACATTCCTTTCTAATTCTTACACCACTAATGATACAATGTAACTCATTCGTTTCTGTGATTGGTTAGCCACTTTATACGTCACCTGTCAAAATGTTTAAATTTAAAATGGCTACTTTTCCTGAAAACAGCTTGTAAAAACTGCTTTGAGTTGTAATAACTTATTTCTATTCATATATTTAGTTAAAAACCGTATAAATCTCACATCGTACTCCTCCCAATTCTAATCAATTCGTTATCCGAGAAAAAAACTAATAATTTTTGTTTCAGGCATTTAAATTTGCACAATCTAACCGAATGCACGCGCATCGAGAAAACCGCCTTCAAAAACCTGCCCGATCTATCAACGATGACAGCCTACGGTTACCCGAAATTGGGCTACATGGACGTCCAAGGCATACTGCGAAACACTCCTCTCCTAGAAACCGTCCACATCGAAACCAAAGACCCTTCCATAGGCAAGGACCAATTACAAACCCTTCTACATCCCAGGCTCAAGGAACTCGGCATTCGAGGCCGAAGGCTCGCCAGCATCTCCTCCGGCGCTCTATCGGGCATCAAAGGTAATCGTTTAAATCGCTATAATCGGTTTCCCGAAACGTAAAAGGCCGTTAAAGGACCTGCCCTTTACGTTGAAAGTGTTGCGCAGATGAGAAATCTGTTAAAGAGCTCCATCTTTCGATTGGAAAGGCAACTAAATTGACAAGTTATTTTCTAGTATTTTTTACTATTTACAAATTTGCACCAATTGTACAATATAAAGTCCGTGTAGTTGCTTTGCTTATCAAATGTTTGGTATAATTATATTTTTTAATACTTCAAATTTCAAATGTAATAATTGAAGCTTGTCAAACAACTTGGTCGAATAGCCTTTTAGTTGTTGTGGTGAGTAAAGAAGAAAAAGAAGACGAATTGTCATGTGATAAGAAAATTTAGCTAATGGCGACATCTCTCGATTGGAAAGGCAACTAAATTGACAAGTTATTTTGTAGTATTTTTTACTATTTACAAATTTGCACCAATTGTACAATATAAAGTCCGTGCAGTTGCTTTGCTTATCAAATGTTTAGTATAATTATACTTTTTTATACTTCAAATTTCAAATGTAATAATTGAAGCTTGTCAATTAGCTTGGCCGAATAGCCTTTTAGTTGCTGCGATGAGTAAAGAAGAAAAAGAAGACGAATTGTTAAGTGACAAGAAAATTAGCTAATAGCGACATCTCTTAAATGGAAAGACAACTAATTTCAACGAATCTAATTCTTCTTTTTACAGGACCGGAACTGTCGCTGCGATTCGTCGAGACGTCGCTGACGTCGCTGCCGCCGGCGCTCTTCTTTCCCGTGCCGAGATCGACGCGCGTCCTTTTGGACGTCACCGGCGGCCGATTGGGCGCCGTGGCGCCCCAATTGTTGGCCGCCATCGAAGATCGCCGCGGCGACTTCGAGATGATCGGCTTGGAGACGAATCCGATCGCGTGCGATTGCGGCTCGAGAGCGTTGAGACGATGGCTGGCCGGCCGAACGGTCGAGGTCAGGTGTTCGGCGCCCGAGCATCTCAAAGGTGAGAGGCGATTTCTTCTTCGATTTTATTCGGATTATCCTTGCTCCGTTTCGTCAATCCAGAACGCACCAGAGTTTTTCAAAACTGCTATTTAATACTGTTTAGAATCATTTAGAACGCTACAGAGTCATTTACAATTGTCTTTGATCATTTAGAACTGTTTAGAACTGTTTAGAACTGTTTAGAACCATTCAGAACGCTCCAGAATCATTTAGAACTTTCTAGAACCATTTAAAACGCCCCAGAATCATTAAGAACTCTCTAGTAGCATTTTATGGAACTGTCTAGATCAATCCAAAACGCTCCAGAATCATTTAAAACTGTCTTGAATCATTTAGAAAGCACCAGAATCATTTAGAACTTTCTAGAACCATTTAAAACGCCCCAGAATCATTTAGAACTCTAGTAGCATTTTATGGAACTGTCTAGATCAATCCAAAACGCTCCAGAATCATTTAAAACTGTCTTGAATCATTTAGAAATGCTTAGAACCATTTAGAAAGCACCAGAATCATTTAGAACTTTCTGGAACCATTTTATGGAACTGTCTAGATCCATCCAAAACGCTCCAGATTCATTTAAAACTGTCTTGAATCATTTGGAAATGCTTAGAACCATTTGGAACGCCTCCACAATCATTTAGAACTGTCTAGATCCATCCAGAACGCTTCAGAATTATTCAAAACTGCCATTTAAAATTGTTTAGAATCATTTAGAACGCTACAGAGTCATCTAGAACTGTCTTGAATCCTTTAGAACTGTCTAGAACCATTTAGAACGCTCCAGAATCATTTATAACTCTCCAGTACCATTTAATGGAACTGTCTAGATCAATCCAAAACGCTCCAGAATCATTTAAAATTGTCTTGAATCACTTAGAAATGCTTAGAACCATTTAGAAAGCACCAGAATCATTTAGAACTGTCTAGATCAATCCAGAACGCTCCAGAATTATTCAAAACTGCTATTTAAAACTGTTTAGAATCATTTAGAACGCTACAGAGTCATCTAGAACTGTTTTGAATCGTTTAGAACTCTCTAGTACCATTTTATGGAACTGTCTAGATCAATCCAAAACGCTACAAAATCATTTAAAACTGTCTAGAATCATTTAGAAATGCTTAGAACCATTTAGAACGCTCTAGAATCATTCAAAACCGTCTAAAACCATTCAGAACTCTCCAGAATCTTCTAAATAGCGGTAGCGATGAATCGTCTCCGCGATGCAAATGCCTTGAAATCGACTCGATCTATTAATTTTTTATTTACAGGTAAGTTACTGGTGGAAATCGGCGACGACGAGCTGACTTGCGACGCCCGAAAAACCGCCCCCGACGCCGCCAACGCGACGCCCCGACCGCAGCCGTCGACACCGCCGACGAACGGCGGCGGCGGGAAATTCAAATCGCGCAAAATCACCGAACCGGAAATCATCTGGTCGATGCCGCCCCACACCACCGACAAACCGAATTACACCAGCAACAATTACAAATCGAAGGCGAAGCCCGGCCAAACGGGCGCCGCGACGCCGCCGACGAACGACGACACGCTCGTCATCGGCATCGTGGGCGGCGTGGTCGCTTTCATAGCCATGCTGATCATCGTCATATGCATCGTAAGGTTGCGGATGACGGGCGGCGGCGGCGGCGTCGCGACGCCGGCGCCGCAGCCGGGCGGTTGCGCTTGCAGCGTCAAGGGCGGCGGTTCGGTGTACGCGGTGCCGCCGCCCTACGGGGCGGTGTACGCGGCGACGTTGCCGCACAAGATGGGGGCGCATGCGCAGATTGCGCAGATGGGGCGCGGGCCGCCGCCTTCGAATTATTCGAATTATTCGACGGTTGAGAGGGGCGGTTGCGGCGTTGCCGTCCAACCGTATTTCATAGCCGGTTCGTATCCGTCCGACGAGAAGATTTACCGGTAGTTTTTTTTATTTATTTTTCTCCGTTAAGGTAAGGCCGACCGCTCACGGAGCAACAATGTTGAAATAAAAATTGTAAACCAGTTGATCTTGCAACTATTTTGCAACCCAAATGAAACTAGTTTGCAATGAGTCATAAACCGGTTGTACTCGACCATTTCACGCGGTCGCAGTCGCTTTGCAGTTTCGAGTTGCTTTAAATTCTTGCCAATTTCTCGTGTGATTCATTCGACATTCGATAAATTACTATAACAACTGATTGAAACTATTTTATAATAGTCGCATCCGTGTGCGTACAGAAGTTTAATATTAGTTGTAAACTGGTTACAGACTAAATTAGATTGAAATCTTTATTTCAAAACAGTTGCTCCGTGAGCGGTGGGCCTAAGAATTCTCGCGCGTAAGAATCGTCGACTAAAGCGAGGGTTTTGCTTAAAGTTATTAGGGTGGTTTATACGTACGAGGGTAGATCGTGAACAGTTCTCGGCCTGAACCATTTAGAACTGTTTCCATAGTCATTTAGAATGCTCAAGAATTTATTACAACTTTTTGGAACTGTTTAGAACACTTCTGAAGCATTTAAAAAACGTCTAGGGCCATTTAGATTTCACCCAGATTGACTTAGAACTGTACAGGACCATTTAGAACGCTTCAGAATCATTTAGAATCTTAGAACTATTTAGAACTCGACGAATACTACTCAGAAGTCCTGAGAACTCTCAAAAGTCCGAGTTTGAAAAATTTTTGATCGTTTTCAAGAGTTCTTAGAACTGTTTTGAACTATTTAGAACACTTCTGAAGCATTTAAAACCGTTTAGGGCCGTTTAGAACCCCCCAGATTGACTTAGAACTGTACAGGACCATTTAGAACGCTTCAGAATCATTTAGAATCTACAACTATTTAGAACGCTTTAGAATCATTTAGAATCTACAACTATTTAGAACGCTTTAGAATGTTCCAGAATCAATTAGAACTGTTTTGAACTATTTAGAACGCTCCAGAGCCATTTAAAACGCTTAAGAATCATTTAGAACTTCCAAAACAATCTCTAGAACGCTCCGGAATAATTTAGAACTGCCTCGAACCATTTAGAACGCTTCAGAATCATTTAACTGTGTATCGAACTAAAAATTTCCACTCAATACGAAGAATAATGTAATTTTTCAACTGAAAATCGCGGTTTTTCATTGTCGGACAGAGAACTATTCACCTTATTACCCTCGTATAAATAAGTACAAAGAAAATTCGTAATATGATCAAATATTCTATGAGTTGAACAAAGAGTGTATATTAAAATAACAGTAGTTAGAGTGAGAAAGTTGCAATTCCACAATGATCATTCCTTTATTTTTCTCTTATATGAGACTAACGAAAGTTATCGTTGTTAGTCCACCACCATGGGGTGTTAGAAAATGTAAATAATTTAAATGTATACAACCCGGTAATTGTTTACTGCCATAAAATTAGGTAAAGATTAATAATTTTATTTAATCGAAAAATCGATTTTATACATATATTTTTTATATTTATTTATTTATGTAATAAAAATATATCAAACATCAATTCTATACAAAAAAAAATCGAACTACCGCGACCCGTCCACCTTCATTTCTCCCACTAACAATCCACCAATCTCATCCAACGTCCTATCGTTACCAACATTACACAAACCCATGCCATTGGTCCGTTTCGATCTATCTCTTTCTCCCGTATGCACCAGCACGTGATTGGTCAACGATTGCTTCCGATTGAATTGTTTACCGCAATGCTGACACACAAAAGGCTTCTCCCCCGTATGTATCAACATGTGATCCCTCAAAGTGGTACTTCTCACGAACTGTTTTCCGCACTGCTTGCACTCGTACGGTTTTACACCTACAATGTTATTTCCATATAATTAATTAATAATAATTATAAACAATACAGCCATATTATAATGCCTGTACCCGTATCTTTTTAATGAAAAATTCGCCAAAATACAATAAAAGTTTCTTGTGGAACTCGTCGAATACTACTCAGAAGTCCTGAGAACTCTCAAAAGTTCGAGTTTGAAACATTTTTGATGGTTCTCAAGAGTTCTTAGAACTGTTTTGAACTATTGAGAACACTTCTGAAGCATTTAAAATCGACTAGGGCCATTTAGAACCCACCCAAATTGACTTAGAACTGTACAGGACCATTTAGAACGCTTCAGAATCATTTAGAATCTAGAACTATTTATAACTCGACGAATACTACTCAGAAGTCCTGAGAACTCTCAAAAGTCAGAGTTTGAAACATTTTTGATAGTTCTCAAGAGTTCTTAGAACTGTTTTGAACTATTTAGAACACTTCTGAAGCATTTAAAACCGTCTAGGGCCATTTAGAACCCACACAGATTGACTTAGAACTGTACAGGACCATTTAGAACGCTTTAGAATCATTTAGAATCTAGAACTATTTAGAACTCGACGAATACTACTCAGAAGTCCTGAGAACTCTCAAAAGTCAGTTTGATAAATTTTTGATAGTTCTCAAGAGTTCTGACAGGAGTTCTGAGTAGTATTCGATGAGTTCTACAAGAAACTTTGAATGTATTTTGCGATTTTTTCAATTAATTTAAGTTATAAGTTGTCAGATAATATACCTAATTCGTTTAACTGTTTATACTTGTTTTTTGATGAAATTTATTTATTATTTTTCTTTTTTATAATTAGAAACTCTAGAACTCATCAAATTACAACAAGAACTATTCCATTGTAAATTTAGGTTTGAAGTTAGCAACGCATGTTTTAACGTTACATCAGAACTACAGTCGCGTTGCCATCTTCACACAAGTCTTTGGTCTACGATATAAAGCGAATGGAACTTACCAGTATGCATTAATTTGTGCCTATCTAAATGATAAGTGGATAAAAAACCCTTTCCGCAGAAACTGCAACTGTACGGCCGTTCTCCGTTGTGCCTTCGCATGTGGTAGCTCAAATGACTGGATTGCGTGAAGGATTTCTCGCACACCGTACATTTGTGCGCCTTTATCCCCGAATGGGTCAACATGTGGGTCTTTAAAGTGTCTTTCGTGATGTAACATTTACCGCATTCCCTGCACTCGAACGGTTTCACACCTACAAACAAAACGATCCGAGTAAAAGTGGATTGTGTTCGATGGATTCGTACCGACCGGAATGGCTGAGCATGTGCCTGTCCAAGCCGTTCTTTCTCGTGTAATTCTTGCCGCAAAAGTTGCAAAGAAACCTCCGTTTCCCCTTCAATCTCCTGCCTTTTACGTATTCCGCTTCGCCGTCCGATTCCTCTTTGATTTCGCGTTTCTTTCGACCTCTCGGCTTCCGTAGATACTCCACGATGTTGATGTTGTTGACGTTGCACGGCCGTTTCTGTTTCTTGTGTTTCGTGGAAATAGAAACGGAACCCGAATCGTCGGGAGTGCAACTGGAAAAGTCGCTGTAGTGTTTTAGAAGATCGGGGGCCGATGGGAAGGATTCGCTGCAGTTCTCGCAGGTCGGAGGCCGAGAGGCGGGGTTTAGGTGTAGGACGATGTCCGGTTCGAGTTCGACGATTTCCTGTTTGACGTTGTCGAGGAGAAAGTCGTCGGTTGTTTCGTTGTTGTCCGATTGATCTTGGAGTTCGAGTTCTTTGATGACGGCTAGTTTTAGTGTTTTTTCAGCGGTTTTGCACATTTCCACGAAATTCGCGATTATGTCGAATTGTCCGGCGCATTTCAGGCACACGTTTTCGGGCATTTTGTCCTCTTCTTTGATCTACACAAGTACATTTATAGTATTAGTATATAGTACAACACATTCCAAATGTAAACAACTATAAAGCTATAGATTAGGAAGATTAAATAAATATAGATAATCACACTGTCGAATCGCAGATATCAAAAGAGTTAAGTAAAACTCCAATAAATGTAAGCTATGAAAAATTAAATAAGTTTAGGATGCAAACCTTAATGTTTGTGATTGTCATGAATGTCTCGACGTTCTCCAAGTCTACGATGGGTTTTAGGTCTCCGTAACTCAGGCAGCATCTGCATATTTTGGGGAATTCTTTGAATTTTACGTTAGCGCTCATAATTGTTTTGAAAAATTGTTTCCAAACGCGAAAATGGAGGTTATAACTGTATTAAATCTGACAGTGACAGGTGACAGTGACATTTAGTACAGTTATTTTAGATGAACGTATTTATATTTAAACGAAATGCGAAATATTTTAGTTGTGTACGGTTTGTTTGAGCAAATAAAATAAAAATAGAACAAACTTGAAAGTCGATTTTCATAATTCTTCTTTTTATCAACAGAAGTATAAGTCTCTGGTGTCTATATAAGCAAAAGGCAATATTAAGATTAAAATCGATCTGACAGGACTGACAGGTGACATTGACGTTTACCATTTTTAAATTTATTTTTTTTTAGAATTGATGAATGTACTCATATTTCAAGAAATGTAATATAAAAGAAAGTAAATAAAATAAAAAAATAAACAAACCTAATGATGTTGATATACACAATTCTTCTTTTTAGGCACAAAATTAAATGGTGACTATATAAGTAAAAGGCCATAAACTGTTAAAAATAATCGTTACGATAACCTACAACCTTAACCGGAAGCGGAGAATTTAAATTCCAATTATTTTCTTTTGTGAGCATGTTTTTTTATGCCGAGTGTGCACTCTTTCGCCTTCCATTTAATGTTAATCAGGTAAGTAATTAAATAATAACTATAAATATACGAAACCAGCTCGCTTTAAAAAAACTATTCACATTAAGCACTTTTTTCTCGATAACGATTGCATAAAAGTTAGATAACGAGCCAATTAGTTTATCAAATTAGACAACATAATATTACTCAAACGTCGACGTTTAATAAATACAAACGAACACATTCCAAAGAACCTTCTAATGAACCGTTCTGTTGTAGATAAACCATCGAAAATGTCGGACAAGAAAGTATTAAAAGGCCTCGACAAACTCGCCTACTACGCATCGTACGTAACAGTCGAACCCACGCTGGTCTTGTACATGATGGCCTTTATGACAACCAGCGTCATCGAACAGTCCTTCTACGTGTACAAATCCTGCATAGCGAATCACGGCTACAACGAAACAATATGCAGGAATTTAAACAAAAAACAGCACGAAAACATTACGAAGGAAGTACAGGTGGATTTTACATAATACCCCCATCAAATACTTCTTTAATATGCTCGGTATCTTTTAGGTAACTACATCAAACTTCTTGATATGGAATAATATAGCAGGACACGCCGTTCCGATAGTATTGGCTTTATTCATGGGCGCTTGGTCTGATAAACGAGGCAGAAAACTACCTCTAATAATCGGACTAACAGGCAAACTAATATTCTCTCTGATGATAGTCGTGAACAGTTTAAACCCCCAATGGCCCGTCGAGTACATAATCTACACAGCCACTCTACCGAGCGCCCTATCCGGAGCCGATGTAGCCATATTCGCTTCCAGTTTCACCTACCTCATCGATGTCTCATCGCTCGAGTACCGAACGATGAGAGTCACCGTTTTAGAGGTGGCCTATCTCGCTACGATGCCTCTCGGAGTGGCCCTCGGCTCCTACCTCTACAACTATGTTTTAAACAAATCCTACACGTACATGTTTATAATCAATTCCTGTCTGATGATCGGGGCTATTTTGTACTCCTCGTTGCGTTTACGATGGAGGACGAATCTCAAGCAACGACCGCTCTCGGAGGCCCCCAACAAGCTAAGAGACTTCTTCGATTACAATCACCTGGTGAATACAGTGCAAGTGATGTGTAAACGGCGACCGAATAATCGAAGGATTTATTTACTAGTACTAGTAGGGATGATGAGTTTGTATACGTTTCAACGGGACGAACGGGAGATTATGTACATGTATTGTCAGAGGGTGTTCCATTGGAATGTCGAAGAGTTTAGTAAGTTTAGAACGGTGCAATCGGCTCTGCAGGATGTGATTTTATTGATCGCTGTGCCTTTGATGAGCAGGGTGTTGGGTTTACGTGATACTGTTATAATCATGTTCGGGGCGATTATGCATTCGTCGGCGAGGATATTTTACGCTACTGCGAATGCTGCTCTTCTGTTTTACATAGGTAAATATATAGGGAGTTGTTAATTCGGGTTGATTGTTTACAGGGTGTTTGTTTATTGATTGAATGACGCGATAGTTCGGGATGTGAATGTTTGGGTGGTTTTAAGAAGAAATGTTTATATCGATAGATGTACTAAATCTTTTAGTTTTGGAGCTACAGGGTGTTATAATTTAACAAAAAAAACCAAAAACTCCAGATATTTTTATGAAATTTTGTATATAAAAACGATCAAAACAATTATCAACGCTGTAGGTTAATTCGAAACAGTTCAGAACGATCTCTATATGATTCGGAACTCTTCATGAAAGAAATTCAACAGTTCAGAACGATTTAAAAGTCTTCAGGACGAGTTCAGAATGATTTCTGTACGATTCGGAATTGTTCACGAAGAAATTACGAGAGTTCAGAACAATTTTCAACGCTGTAGGACGATTCGAAACAGTTCAGAACGATTTAGAATAATTTCTGTACGATTCGGAACTGTCCATGAAGGAATTACAACAGTTCAGAATAATTTACAAAGTTTCAGGAAGATTCGAAACAGTTTAGGACAATTTAGAAGTGTCTGAAATCAATTAGAAACTATCCAGAGCGAAAAAATCTATAGGAAAATAATACTCTATCATAATTTTCTTATTACTCCAGATATTTTTATAAAATTTTGTATATACAAACGATCAAAACAATTTTCAACGCTGTAGGTTAATTCAAAAGAGTTTAGAACGATCTTTGTATGATTCGGAACTCTTCATGAAAGAAATACAACAGTTCAGAACGATTTAGAAACAGTTCAGAATGATTTTTGTACGATTCGGAATTGTTCACGAAGAAATTACAAGAGGTCAGAACAATTTTCAACGCTGTAGGACGATTCGAAACAGTTCAGAACGATTTCTGTACGATTCGGAAATCTTCTTGAAGGAATTACAACAGGAATTACAAAACTTAGATGTTTGGGACATACATTGACATAAACTTTTCTTCTTGAAATCTTCCAAATATTCACAGCCTGAACCTGAAGTATTGACACTCAATTAATTAACACCCTGTATAGTAATACGCTATCGGTTTTGATAATAAATGCGAATTTTCTAGGTGGAGTAATCGCTTCGTTTGGTCCTGTCGTAGCGCCCGTAATTAGATCGTTGGTATCGAAAATCATCACCGAATCGGAGAAAGGTAATTATTACAGTATTTTAAAGTAAATTAATTGCATTTAATGGCGGTTTTTAGGTAAAGTTTTCGCCGTACTGGCTGTAGCAGATGTCGCCGTTCCCATTTTATCCGGTACAGCTTACAGTTCCTTGTACAACCTTACGAGACATTCGAGCCTATCGGCTGTTTATTATTTAACCATGGCCACCCAATTGGGCGTATTTTGTTTGGTTTTGTATGTGTTTTTAACTGGTAAAAATAAGGAGTTTTCATTGCTGATGCATTGCGCGTTTCAGGTATATCCATTTTAAGACGAAACCGAATGAATTCGAAGAGGTTTCGAACACAAATTGCGATTCTACTACAGAGAAAACGGACGAAGTGAACCTAGATGAAAGGTCGAGACTAAAATAGTATTAGATATTAGATTTTGTATGTGCTTTGTAGGAATTGATTATGTAGGTAGATTTTTTTTATTAAATTTTGTATTTGCGTTATGCGAATTGCATACCCAGTAGTAAGTGATAAAAACCGTCGTTAACGGGATATCCGTAAAGCACAAGTCCTCGTTGCAACGCTAACTTCACATCGACAATTACAGTTTCCTACTTACAATCTGTCATTGCGACCGATTAGATTCAACGAGTAATCTTCCCGACTTCCACTACATTACACATTTCAGGTAAGACGGTTTTATTAAATTTTTTATCAGAGTTATGATAATTGCATACCGAGTAGTGACAAAAAACCCGTTATTGACTGGATATCCGTAAAGTTCGAGTCATCGTTTCGTCGCTAACCTCACATCGGTAATTACAGTTTCCTACTTACCATCTGTCATTGCGACCGATATGAATCATCGAGTAATCTTCCCGACCTCCGCTAGATCTCTATGAGTCATTTTCCATTCCGCTTTCCTCCGGTCATCCGTTTCTCGCTCCTCAATTCGAGTCCGTCTGACGAGCGGTTAAAGTGTAGTAGAGAGCAGAGAGACAGCCATGTTGGGTAGTGTCGGTGAAAAGAGTAGAAATTCTTAAGAGAAGGTACCATCGCGATATTTACCGGTGATCGAGTGTCGCGCGAGTATTCGTTCGGTGTTGTTTTTTGTGTTTAATTACATTGGATTATGATCGCCTCAACGGAAAATCTCAATTGGGGCACCGAGCTCTGGGTAAGTCGCACGAAAAATTTTGTTTACGTTTATATTTCCTCGACAAGTGGTCGAATCCGGGTTTGTGGCCGATGCCCGAAGAGCCCGAGACCTCGTTTATCGGCGTGTTTACCCGCTCGGGCAGGTACCAGTTCGAGACTGGCCGCAGGTGTTTGTATTTTACGGTCCCCCTCGGGCGATGGATCGGACCGGCTGTTAAAAAAAAAAAGAAAAGAAAATGGCATTTTAAATACCGTGTCAAGTGTCGTCATTTTCTCTTTTGTCAGGTCCTCCTGCGACGAGGATCTCGAAGAGGAAATGCAACGCATACTTTGTTTATTTTATTCGCGCTGATTCGAGTTTTTCGAATTCGCCAAGGTCGTATCGTTTCTCTGGTGCTTTGTTGTTTCGCAGGTGTAAAGTAGAGAATTTGTTAAACAATTGAATTGTTTAAACAATCGTTAATATATTATAGGGATTGTTTAGTATATTATTACAGTTAGATCTAGTGAGTTTTTGACATTGACAGTTTTGACAACTAAATGTCAATGACAGTTTTGGCAGTCTTGATTAATTTTTTTTCGTAACAATTACAAATATTTATAGTTATATCAATCTTTTTATTTGCAACGAACAAAATAATTAGTTGGTATGAGACCTACTACGTTTACTCATTGTTATTTCGTGTCTTTTATTACTTATAATTTATCCCTTTATTTGCTTCTTTATTTTTTTTTTTACATTCGCCTGTTCTGTCAAGTTTGTAAACACGCAATAACCGCAATAATGGAGGCCACATGCAATAAAAGTAGAATAAACAGGAGGTTTTCCCCCATTTTTTCCTCTCTCATTAATCGAATTCTCTATGCTAATGCAATCTCTGCTATGCAATTATTATAGAAAGAAATAAAAACGTAATATCCGCATAACGTTGAACTGGTTACAGAGATATTGACCAGAATTGCTCGGTAGATGGAAAAATAAACGCGTTTATATTTGCGGTAAATTGTTTATACGAGTACGTTTTTGTCGAATAAACTGAGAAACAAAAAACCCAATTTCGCGAAATTTTCCGAACGTGACTAACGCTTTAAAAAATGCGTTTCCTACGTAACGTAAATTCGCGCTAAATAAAATTTTTATGGCGTGTAAAATTTTATTTTTCTGTCGGTTTATATACGAAACAAACTCGAATGTATAGTTAAAATAATGATGGCAAAAGTTTATTTACATTACAACATATTGAAATTTTTCCGATTAATTAACTAGCAACGCAAATAATTCGTTTTCAAAAAAAAAACATTCCGATAATACGGCGAAATTCGAACTTTCTCCGAGTGTTTTAAATTCACTTCGACTTGCATTTTTAACGATGGGTTTTTTAAATTTAAACGACCGGAGTTCTTCTTCGTACCATCTGCTTCCTAGACTTTCCAGCACGTGCATTAATTCGATTCGGTAATGTACCCGAAAAAAAAAAATTTACTCTTTTCTCCGTATCATTTTCCAGTACACGCTTTGTAAGTCAACAAAAAAAACTAGATATGATATACAATAATAGATTAACTTTTGTGCGTGTAAAATGCAAATCCAGAGGTCAATTTCCTATACGCATATTCGTTCTAAAACGTCGTTAAAATGCACGTTTTAACGGTAATTATAGTAGTTTTATTACCGATATACAGGGTGGCCCAGAACTCACGCCACACCGGGAAAGGCCTTATAAAAAAAGGGCCTTAAAACGTATAAAAACGTGAAACAGGTACCCCTAGTTTTCAATTTGCTATACATCTTCTGGTTTTTCTCAAAGGGTGTTACTTCGTGTCATTTCCTGGCTACATTTTCTACAGCTACAGGGTGTTACAATTAATGGAAAAAGAACAAAAACTTCTATCATAATTTTCTTATTATTCTAGATAATTTTATGAAATTTTGTATTGTTGTAATCCAGTAGACATAAGGTCCTATATTATCTATTTTTTATATATATTTTTTATTCTTTTATCTTTGATACCTTAGATGGTTTCTTATCAGTTTCATTTATCTTCTTAAAAGCACGAATTTAATTTAATACTTCTTGTAATAAAATCTTCTTATGTGAATTTTGCTAGACGAAGCTTGATTCGCAGAATGCATTTTCAGTGTTTGTAAAAGGGAAATAAGTTCTGTTTTATCTTAATAATTTTGTGTATCTTAATCCGAATTTGTTGCATAAAACTTATTTCTTTTAATTGTGCATTTTATGCAATTAGATTTTTTACTGGAAAGACTCAGGGAGTCTATCAGAAACCGTCGCGGTATGAACACGTAATATTTTTATATTCTGTACTCCAATTTCTACAACCAATATATAATTCATCCTTAGTAATTCGGGCGTATTATTTCCAACACCTTGTTGGTTTACAACATAAATTTTGGTGGCAGTGGTGCTGGATTGTCCAAGTTATTCGTAATTTGGCGAACTTCTTCGTTGGAAAATACTTGTTTGCGAACAAACTTCTGCGGAAGGCCCAAAGAAAAGGTGAAGAAAATTGGTTGCAAGCTAACTTCGTTCAAGAATCGTACAAACTTCGCTAACTTCGTTCAAGAATCGTACAAACTTCGCTAACTTCGTTCAAGATTCGTACAAACTTCGCTAACTTCGTTCAAGATTCGTACAAACTTCGCTAACTTCGTTCAAGATACGTACAAACTTCGCTAATTTCGTTCAAGATTCGTACAAACTTCGCTAACTTCGTTCAAGATTCGTACAAACTTCGCTAACTTCGTCAAAGATTCAACGTTCGAGCAGAAATTCGTCTAACTTCGTCAGTGGAATACCAGTTCCAGAGGGACGCAAGGAGCAGTCCATCAGGTGTCACAAAATCTGTTAGTGTTTTCGGGAATTAGTGCAATAAAAAAATTTCGAAAATTTGTCAGAGTGCAAGTGCTAGAGTTATTCTTCGTTTCGTTGCGTTTTGGAATTCCTGGATATGGATACCAGTTGCTTATTTTTCATGTGAGTAGATATTTTGTTAACAACTATTATTAGCCATACTTTCGTTGTTGTTTCCTTGTTTATTGAGAATTTCGAATTAGATAATGATGGATCAGCCAGAACAAAATGCAGCAGCATTGGCTATGGATTCGTACATATCGGTAGATACGGCTATAAAATTGATCAGAGATTATGATGGTAGTACTTCGGGAGATAGAGTACATGATTTTATTGATAATTGTGAGGTGGCGATGAAATGTGTAAATCCTTTGAGTAAGAATGTTCTGTTTAATTTGATAAAAACTAAATTAGTGGGTAGAGCTCGTGCGCTCACAAAGTATCGAGAATTTGCATCATGGTTAGAGATAAGGGATTATTTAGAGGATGTGTTCTCCGAAAAACGTTCAGTTAGTTATTGGCAAGTTGAATTAAATCAATGCCGTCAGAATAAGCAGGAAAATATTGCTACGTACAGTAACAGAATCGAGAAATGTTTGTCTAATTTAGTGGACGCTTCTACTGTCGGAAAGGGAGCGGCCGTAGCAACAGAAATTTCAGATCTTTTAAGGGCACAAGCCTTAAACGTTTTTGTACAGGGACTAATAGATCCTTTGCGCATACATTTAAAAGCTAGAAATCCAACCACGTTGGAGGAAGCAATTGAGATAGCTAGGGAAGAGGAACGACAATTTTTGAGCTCTAGAAACAAGATGGGTTCACAGGGTGTTCGAGAAAATAATATTCAGTGTAATTATTGTAGGAAGTTGGGTCACAAAGAAAGAGATTGTTACGTAAAGCAAAGAAGATTTGGTTCTCCTCAGCAGGGTCAAAGTCGCCCAAATCGTATTTCGAATGTTAATGTTTCAAGCAGGCTGAATACCGATCGAAACGATAGTTATTGTTATTATTGCAAGAAGCACGGTCATAGAATCGCGGATTGTAGAAAAAGAATTTACAATGAATCTGTGAAAAGAAATGGTAGGTTGTCGGGAAACGAGCAACGCCCGTCGGAAGGTGGCCGACCGACGAGCGGCAATTAATTTCTCAAGTGGTCACAAATCAGAATGAAAATTCAGAAGCTTTCGTTTGTAGTTATCCATCAGCGGATCCATTTAATTTGAAGTACATATTTTTAGATTTTAATTTTGTCAAGAATACGCGGATTAAATTGTTAGTAGATACAGGCGCTTCGATTAATATAATTAGAGAATCTTGCATTAAAACTGATATTTTGGTACATAGGCAGTTGAGTACGGAAATTTGGGGAATAACGGGAATTAAAATAAAAACATTAGGTTTAGTTGCAGCTACTTTCGATAATGTTGCAGTTTGTTTCCATTTAGTAGATGATTCGTTTGTTTTGCCAGAAAATGCAGAAGGTATTTTAGGAAACGAATTTTTTGTTCTTACGGGAGGTATAATTAGTTATGAGAATGGGTTTGTAAAGATTAATGATCAGCGTATTGAGTTCGCGGAAACGCCAGAAAGGGAATCAGGATCCCTCGATCACAACAGAAAGAATTTTAATTCGCATGATTTTGAAGATAGAGTAGATGACAGTTTCAAACACATAGACATGGGAAAGATTGAATTGACTAGAGAGTTGGACAGAGAAAAACTACGTATTCCGGCTAGGTGTGAGCAGATTTTCGAGATACAGTGTTCCGTAGTAGAAGAAAGAGATGATTATATTTGCGAGGGAAAAGAGATAGTTTCAGGTGTATTTTTGGGTCATTGTTTGACTAGAGTAAAAAATAATAAATGTTTCGTCAGTATTATGAACATTACCGAGCAGGATGTCGAGATAGAGTCACCATTATTAGATTTAGAACCGGTAGAATTAGAAGAGGTTAAAGTAGGTGCTGGTTCAGTTTTTAATATTAATTGTAGGCAAGATAGAACAGATAAGATAAGGGAAATTTTACGCTTAGACCATTTAAACGACGAGGAAAAAGTGTCGTTATTAGAAATAATTGATAGGTACAGCGATGTTTTTCATTTGGAGGGCGAGATTTTGACAAGCACATCAGCTGTTAAACATAAG